ATAAATTTATTATATAATTTTAGCAAAAATATATACTTTATACTTTATAATAATAGGTTTATAAATTTATATTTTTTAAAATAAATTTACTAAGTATTTTAAGGCTTTTAGTTTTAAATAACTTAATTATTTATGCTAAATAATGGCTTTATTTATAAGTAACTTTTTCTTAATAAATATTATATGCTTCTTTCTTTATATATTAAAGGAACTTTAAGTAATTTTAAATTAATATTTAATAATATATTAATTATAAATATTAATAAGCAAATAAAGAATTAACTTATTTTATTATCTTAAAGTAATTAAATTATATTTATTATCTTAAAACATTTTCTTCTTTTATAATTACCTTAGTAAAATAAGAGTAGTTAAAATTTATAAATATAAAACAATATTTTTAAGATATAGGATTAAAATTTTAACTTACATAAGTATTATTTTATATATTATAATTAATAATTATTAATCTCTTAATTATATATAATTATTATAAGTTGCTAATTATAAATTTATTAATTATTTATTAATATTTATAATTAATATTATATTAATAAGGTTTAATATTATTAAATGCTTTAAAGAATATTCTTTTATAATATTTATAATAAAAGCTCCCCTAGCCTTTATATTAGCAATATAATATCTTAGTAATTAATCTTTAATTTCTTATACCAGCTCCTTCTTTATGGGTCTTAAAGTCTTAAATTTTAATTTAAATCTTAGGCTTTAAATAGCGCAAACTTAAGCTTAAAGATTAGCATTATTTTTAAGAGTATTATACATTTTTTCTTTTATTTTTTAGCTTTTTTTAAATTATAAAAATGCTTTTTTTAAAAATATATAAAAGTAATTAATAAGGGCATAGTTTTTATTGCAAACTATATATATTTTTTTAAGGTTTTATATTTAAAATTAATAGCATTTATTATAATATTAGCTAAATTTATATAATAAATTAAGTTTAATTAAACCTCTTTAATATAAGCTTATTTCCTTAATAATATAAGCATCCTCTTTACTATTATAATTATTTTTCTTATTATAAGTAGTTACTTATGCTTCTTTAATGGTTTTAGCAAGTTTATGCTATATACTTAAAGCTTGCAATTCTTTATAAAGAAGGTTCCTAACTTTTTAAAATTTAAGATTCCTATTTATTACTTTTTATTCTTTTATTTATTAGAAAGTAATTATTTATATTAGCATTATACCTTATATAGCTTATAGTAAATTAAGGATCTATATAATAATTTATCTTACCTTAGCAATCCCTTATTAAATAGCTTTAAATATAGCAAATTCCCATTTATTAATTTAAATTAAAGTTTCTTTTAAATTCCTTAGTAATTTTAAAGCATTCTTATATAAAGCTTTTATTTATAGCTAATTATTTATTTATAATAATCCATACCTTTATTATAAATTTAAGTATTATTACTAAAGCAAAATTCTAAATAAGCAGCAATTTAACTTATAATTTAAAGTAATTATTTAAAGCACCTATTTACATAACTTTTAAATAGCAGTTTATTCCTTAATATACTTTAATTCTTTTAATTTATACCCTTAAAGATTAAAATTATATATCTTAAGATTAGCATTAATAAGGTTAAAAAGCAACTATTAACCTTATCATTTCTCTTAAATAATTTTAAAATTATTTAATTTAATATTAAATCCGCTAATTATTTAAAAAACTGCACTTTAAATAACCATAATAATTTTAATATACTTTTAAAGATATATATTAAGTTTTTATAGCTTTAAAAGGAGTTTAAATTAATTATAAATATAGTATTTAAGTTTATAAATCTTAACTTAAAGGTTAAATTTATAGTTTTAATTATGCCACTCTTTTAACTTAATTAAGAAGGCATTTTAGGTTTTATAGTTATTTTCATTAGCTATTTTATATAACTTAAAATAATAAAACTTTTAATTATTAAATTCTATACTTCCTTTATAATGGAATCCTTATATATATAATTAATTTTAATAATTAATATAATAATATCTTAATTCTTATTGCTTTAAAGCTAGCTAATGGCGGGGGCTGGTTTTTTAACTTATAGATATTAATGCCTAAGGTATTTATTACTATGTTACCCATGCATATATAGTGAATTTACGGTTTTATAATAAATTTACCGTTTTTATAATAAATTCACGGTGAATTTACTAATTTATAGTGAATTTACAGTGAATTTATTAATTTATAGTGAATTCACGGTAAATCCACCATGCAACCATCCAGCCACGGTATATTCACCGTTGGTTGGATCTAATAATATTTATTTTTTAAAATTAATTAATTAGCTATAATAATTATTTCTATTTAAAAAATATTATCTTTAATAATTTAATATATAAATACTTTATTAATTAAGAAATTAATATTTATATAATAAACCTTCTTATTAAGTCTTACTTTTATAATATAAGTATTATTATTATAATTATTATCTTAATCTTATTTATTTTTATATTTATAAAATTTATCTTTATTATTTATTTTATATTCCTTAAACTTACTTAAAAAAGTATTAAAATTATCATTATAACCTTTATATTTACATTATATTAAATAGCTTCTTCTTATTAAACATTACTTATTAGCTAAATATTTAATTAATTAATATTTCTTTTTTTTATAAATATAATATCTTTTCTTTTAAAGTTATTTTTCTTTTCCTTTTTTATAAGCATTATTACTTTAAGCTTTATAATTAATGCTATAAAATCTTAGCTACTTAAAGCTTAAATAACTTAAATTTAATTAATTAAATTTTTAATTTCCTTAAAATGCTTAAAATTATAATTATTATCCTTTTCTTAGCTTTTAGCTATTATATTTATAATTAATATAATATTAATTTAAAACTTTATTTATAATATAAATTATAATTATATAATTAAGTTATATTTTTATTATAAATCTTAAGTTTAAAAATAACTTTTTATATAATTAAGTTAATTTAAAAAAAGCTATTTTTAGCTTAAAAACTTTTTTATAAGCTTTAATTATTATTATTTTTAAGTTATCCTTTTTAATATAATCTTAATTTAATATTTATTAATAAAATTATAACTTATTAAATATTAAATATAAAACTTTATGCAAATCTTTATTTAAGTTTTATATTTTTATTTTTATAAATATTATTATTATTTAATTTATATAATAATGCTAATAATTAAAGTTTATATTAAAATATATCTTAATTTTAAAATATATTATTATAAATATATTAATTTAATTTATAAAATAAAGATAATAAGCCTTAGCTTAATTTTTAAGTATTTAAAAAAAAGTTATATAAAATTAACTTAGCTAAATTTTAATATAATAATAAATATTAAAAAATATCTTTATTTTATTATTTAATAAATTATATAAATTCTTAATATACTTATAAGAATTATTAAAGATTTTTATAAATTATATTAACTTTATTAAATTTAAATATTTATTAAGAATATATTATAAGGGAAGAGTTTTATATAAGTTATACTTTTTATTTAATAAAGATATTTTTAAGGCAGCTTAAGATTATATTAAGTATAATATATATTTTTAATATAAGCTTTATTTTTATCTTTTTATTAATAATAATAAGCCTTGCTAATTATATTAATTTTTAATAAATTGCATTATTAGGTTTAGGTTTTATAATTATATACTTAAAGTTAGCGATAATAATAAATATTATCTTAGGAACTATTCTTTTAATAATTATTATTATTTAAAGCTTGCTTATGGCTCTTATAAGGGCTATATTTATAATTGCTATTTTTAAAGTTATATATAATATTTATTTATGCTTAATTTTAAGGCTAATAAAGCATTATAAAGCTTATTATTAATTTATTTTAATCTTTCTTTAGCTTAAGTTATAGCAATTAACTATAATATTATAAGTTGGTTATTATATCTTATATAAATGCTTTATATTTAAAGGAAGATTTTTAAATATTATTAATAAGGATTTAGCAATGCTTTAAATATTATTTATATTTACGTTATATAGTTTTTATAATAAATAATAAAAAGGTTATTATTATAAAGGTTTTATTATATATAGCTTATTAAAGTATTTGCTAAATAAATAATTAAGTATTTTATTAATATTCTTTATATAAAGGCTATAAATTATAATTTTAAATTAATATATTTATAATAAACTAAGTTAATTAAAGTTTAAGTAAGCATTTTATTAATTATATACTTTTTAATAAGAGTTAATAGCTTTTTAATATTATTAGCTATGCTTATAGGTTTTTATAATAAATATTATAAAAAGTAAAATTAATAAAATAAAGAAATATTAATAAAATAAGTAATATTTAAAAATAAGTTAATAATAATAGTTTAATAGTAAGTAAGTTATAATTATTAAAAGAAAAAAGTTTTTAGTTTCTTTAAGCCTTAAAAGCTAAGGCTTTTTTTATTATTAAGTTCTTTTATATTAGCTAAAAATATAATGCATAACTTATATTTATTAATAATATAGCATTATATTAGCTTTAATAATTATAATAATTACAAGCTTTATTTATTTAATAATTATAATAATTATAAGCTTTATTTATTAATAAAATAAAGCTTTATTAAGTTTTATTAAATCTTAAAGAAGATTTAAAAATAAGTTTATTTTTAATGAAGTTTTATATATAATAAATGCATATTTCTTAAATAGCAATAAATATATATATAAATATTGCAAAAAATGCTACTTAGTTTATTTAATCTTTATAATATTTATTTAGGGAGTTTAATAATATAAGGAGGCTTAAAAAAGCAATTATTGCTATATAGCGCTTATTAATAAGGAGGATATAATTTTTAAATTAGGGAAATCCTTATAGGGTTGCTTCTTTTACCTTATTAATTTATAATGCCTATGATTATTAATTAATATTAGTAGGTTTCTTATATATATAATAATTATATGGGAAGCAATTATGTATTGATATTATTCTATCTAAGTTCTGAGAGGCTACATGCCCCAGAGGGGATAACTAAAGTAGCCTTCCAAGTGCGAGGGTCGTACTTGCCAACAGGTGCTACAGAGCGCTTCGAGGTTCTTGAGCTCATTCTTCGTGTTCCAGCAGGCCAAGCGACCAAACAATGGTCGCAGGAAAGGCGGCATAAGCCCAGTCACCCCGGCGTTCATGACGATACTTTCAAGGGAACTAACAGCGGCGGCAAGATACTCCTCATCACGGCCTGTAATTTTCGTCAGCAATCGTGTCTCACAAGTAGCCACGTCTTGATCTCAGCAGCAACGTACACAGATGTTTCCCAACGACAAATCGGCAGCCGGCCCGGTTGATAATCGTTCGCATCGTATCAAGCAGGTCGACTGTTTTCCAGTTCTCCGTGTCCGCACCGAGCAGCAAGTCGGTCGCATGCTGTATCTCCTCTTGAAAAGGCTTAATGAAAGTCTCCAGGTCTTTCGTGAGCACATGGCGCGCTACGTCGACCGCCCACGTGTCCAGCATGTACTTCTCATGCCCGAGACTATGGCCTAGCTGGAACATCTCGTTGAAGGCTTCCCACATCCCCATCACGCTAGATGGTTGTGATAGCAGCCACTTCATAGAGCTATGCGGGAGAAATATCTCATTTCGAATGCCAAGTGTGGGTACAAGCACCGTGAGCCCTTTTTTGGAGAACTGCCCGAGCATTGAGCATACCGAGTTAATTTGAATGCCGATACTAGAGCAAGATTCCGCACAGATGGCTCTCTGGACTTACCTTGTCCCAGATGTCACGATACAGCGACGAGCAATGAAAGTAGAAAGCCAAACGTGTTTTGATACTGAAGTGCTTATTTTGTGGCTTTTCCCGGATCAGAGATACGTCTTTTGGAAGACTAGTCGCAGCACAAGCTCGGAGAAACAGGCCCAGGACCGTGGCTCCGGCGGCGAGGATGAGTAATCCGTGATCCTGCAGCATCATGAGAGGCGGATTTACCAACGTGAGGATCATTGGAATACCGAGAATAAATGATAGGTGAACCAAGAGCAAATGCAAACTAGTCTCAGAAGTGGAAGATGCCGATCGATGGCTTTTGATCTGTTTCCTAGCATCATGGTCCAGCATCAGAAGGACGAACATCACTGCCATCTTATATCTGTTCTGATGGGTATATCCACATGCCTTAAAGCAGCTCGAATGCTTCATCTGTTCAAGTGATCTCACTTCGCGGGCATATCGTGGTTCATGCTGACGGGCGTTGCTCATTGGAAAAGGTCCCCAACCTGAAGATGCTGAAATACAATTGCGTATTGCAAAAGTGTTGTCAGTAAGCCAAACACAAAGGGAAGGAACACTTCAGCCGGCGTTTGGTAACGCGTTCACAGTTTGGGGACGCCAGGGGGCTGCTCAGTAAGGCAACAGGTCATGTTGCACAGAATGGGCCGGCCGCTGCAGCCACCAACAGGCCCAGTCCTATTCGAGACATATCACCTGCGGCGTATGAGCAAGCTAGGTTCCATTCAGCCTGCCAATTGGGACGTTTTGAGCTGTATTGGAATGTGAGCTGGCTGCGGCACAGCAGAATCATTAACTGCACAAACCCCCCCCCCCAACACTACCTACCCTTCGGCACAACTACAACCTTTTGCTCATGCAGCCTTGAGGCCGAATACATATTTATAAATATCGCCTAGAGACAGTCCCCGTGACGCTCCTCGTGGCTGAAAGCCAAGATCCTTCTCCTCTCACCACCTGTCTTACAACTCAGCCTTACCAGGCCTGTGGTGGCGAAATACACAGCTCAAACATCAAGACGTTAACCGTTTGCACAATGACACTCGCCCTATCAAATAGCGCTACCCGCCCGGTACTGGGCTTCCTCTGCACCGAGGGAGCGTTTCTCGCCGTGTTCGGTCTTGTGATCATCCGTACGGCAGCGCGGTCAATCAACAAACGGATTTCCGGGCTTGTCATTTTATGTGCGAATGCAACTACCATATGGATGGAAAGCCAGGTTTTCCCAGTGTGTCTGAGGAACGAGAGGCCGCACTGGGCCGCTACAGTTGCCTCGCTGCTTTGGGTCCAGTTCCTTAGCGCCTCAGACCTGATTTTGGTTCGCCGAGTTCACGCCGCCCAGATTCTACAGCTCCATGGATCAAACTCGAATATATTACAGGGCATTAGAGCCACGGTCGGTCTCCTGTGGAATATTCGACGGGTTGAAAACCCCTGGCAGGTGCAGGATGTCCCGTCCTCAGCCGGTCTCCAGACATAGACCCGGGCCGGCTTCGTTCTCCGGCGCGTGGCCATTACACTCCTCGCCTACCTATTCGTCGATGCCGTGATCTCGATGCCACCGCCAGAAAAGGCCATGGTGCAAGCAGACAAGGCCGCGCTATTCTCGTTGCAAAGCTTAAGTGCCGGCGACATTGCATTCCGTTCCGGCACGGTCGTTGGATACTGGCTCACGACTGGCATTCTCAACCTCTTCATGAACAATGTGGGTGCCATTGCTGCCGTGACCTTGGGGCTGAACAGTCCCGCCGAGTGCCCGCCCCTCTACGGGTCCTTTTCGGACGCATCCACCATCCGTAGCTTTTGGGGGTGAGTCCCACTTGGCAATCAGCTGTAGGCTGAAGCTGCGTAAAGCTGACAAGACCACTCGCAGTGTTTCCTGGCACCAGATGTTCCGCTGTTTCTTGACCGGCCATGCCAATCTGATCGTCGACCACACCCTCCCATTCGCCTCGCGCCACTCAGCAGTCTCTCGCTACACGCGCCTGGCAATTGCGTTTCTTAATTCTGGTCTGATTCACCACCACGCCGATCAGCTAATGGGTGTGTCAAACGCCGAGAACGGGGCTGTGGTCTTCTTCCTCCTGCACGCTGCCCTCATCATGCCGGAGGATGCCTTTGGGCCTTTAATGATCGCCCTGTTGCCTAGGCGCCACCGCCATGTCATGGGATGGCTTTGGGTGTTTGCCTTCTTCACCTAGTCCAGTCCTGTCTGGATCTATTCCGGCATGAGGCTCGGCATCAGCTGGGCAGCTTTGCTGCCAGTTCGCGTGGTGGGACCATGGATAGAGCGGCTCGTCACAGCTTGACAGGGCAGAGAAATCGCCGGCTTTGCCGATGATTAATGTGGGAAGCTGGTAATGAGTGCGGATTGAGCCGGCCACCCCAACTTCAGCCCTTCAGGTGGGCAGTGAGGCTTATTTCTCGATGTTACGTAGACCATCTCCAGAAAAGAGAGCTTTTCTAAGCCCATGGCTTCGGGCGGTTTCCCCCTCGTCGCTACTTCGTTGCTTGGGATCCAGCTTCCACTGTTCGTCAGGGCCCAGTCCAAGATAGTTGGTGCTCTGGCGAGGAATGGTGCCGGTCGCTTAAAGGATAACGAGAGCTAAGTATTATCCGGCCGATTGTATAAATCGATATTCGAAGCACTAGTACGGGTACGCACCGGCTGTTCTGCTCCCCATATCATTGCTCAGCTGTTGAGAATACCGAGTCGAGTAGGATGCTGTTCGGGTCCGGTAGATGCTCGAGGCCGGGACACAGTCAGGGTCTGCGGCGAGGATCCCGTCTCTGCCCGGTGGGACAGCATTGATAGCATGATACTCTAGGCGTTGTCTCATTATTTCTGAGGCTCATGCCCAGCTTTGGCAACGTTGAGTATTTCATCCTCCAGTCCCTCGACATGGACAAATTGGATGCCCGCCTTCTCCAAGGCTTCCCGCCCCGTGTTGTCCGCAACAAATTTCTTGGGCTCCATGACACCAATATAGACGGTCTTTATGACTCCAGCCAGGCGAAGGATTCTCTCAGCACAGGGCATATTGCCGCTGAGGCGTTTCGAGCATGGTTCCACGGTGGTGTAGAGGGCCAGGTCCTTGGGTAGCACTTGGGCGAGGGACTCCTCGGGCACGCCATGGGCCTCTGCCAATTTGATCAGACAGCACTGTTCTGCATGTGTATTCCCTTCCAGCTCCAAGGTGTATCCGTGTGCCAGGATCTCGTTGGTGGATTGGTCAACCACCACTGCTCCGACCCTATAGTTTGTAGGCTTGGGAGGAGACTTCCTTGCCAGGCTGAGCGCAAGTTCCATGTAGGCACGGTGGTCATTCGACTTGATCTCAGACATGGTGGCGATTTTTGCCAGAAGATGTGCAGGAGCTTGGGTATCTTCTGGACCTGCACTGGGGATGACACGCAGTTGAACACTGATTGAGGCTCTGCAGGCGGTCTACTGGGAAGCTGCAAGCCTGGATTCGCTGCCGAGCTCGGGCAAAGGCACAGCAGCTCCCCCACCTTTTGACGTACAGCAGCTCCACTCCCATTTGGACCCTGGGCCGCAGCGCAGCGCGTCGAGTCGCGTCTCCCAACGGCCTGGACTCCAAGCCTTCTACAACCACATACTGCCCAAACATTCGTGATCCAAAATGTCTGACAGCGAAGATAACATGACACCCGAGCCACCGGTGATTGACCCTTATGAGGTGCTCGGCCTCGAGCGTACCGCGACACCTGACCAAATTAAGAAAGCCTACCGCAAGGCTTCCCTCAAGACTCATCCTGGTAAGTCGAGTCAATCACTGCCGAGCTACACTCGAGGCATACTCTTATACCTGGTGATACTCACCATCCAATCCCACCAAACAGACAAGGTCCCCGAAGACCAAAAAGACGAAGCCACGACCGCCTTCCAAAGCATCGCCTTCGCCTACGCCATCCTCTCCGACCCAGCCCGGCGCAAACGCTACGACGCAACCGGCTCCACCTCCGAATCCATAGTCGACTCAGAAGGCTTCAACTGGTCCGACTTCTACCGCGAACAGTTTGCCGAGGCCATAAGCGAAGATGCCATCAACAAGTTCGCCGCCAAGTACAAGGGGAGCGACGAGGAGAAGGACGACGTCCTCATCGCATACGAACAGCACAAGGGCGACATGGACGCCATCTACGAGACAGTCATGCTGAGCGACGTCCTGGCAGACGACGAGCGCTTCCGGCGCATCATCGACGAGGCCATCGAGAGCGGCGACGTCAAGGGGTACAAGGCCTACACCAAGGAGACCGCTAAGTCCAAGCAGGCACGGGTGAAAGCCGCACAAGGCGAGGCCCGCGAGGCGGAGGACTACGCGAAGGAGCTGGGCGTGCATGAAAAGCTGTTTGGCGACAAGAAGGGCGCCAAGGGCAAGGGCAGGTCGAAGGGCAAGGAGAACCCGGAAGACGCACTGGCGGCCCTGATAAGCAGCAGGCAGAAGGACCGCGGCGAGGATTTCTTCGACCACCTGGCGGAGAAGTACGGTGCTGGGTCGGCCAAGAAGTCGGCCAAGGGGAAGAAGAAGAAGGCCGTCGAGGAGGAGCCTGACGAGGCGGCTTTCCAGGCCGCCGCTGCGAGACTTGGCAAGAAGAAGGCCTCTGAGGACCCTGCGCCGAAAGCATCTAAGAAATTGAGGCACTAAGGTGTGTCTCTAGTCATGGTCATGAACATTCCGGTCTGGCGTTCAGGGTCTGAGGGTATGAAATGATAATTGGGACTTTCTGGATCGACAGGAGATGGTCTGGGCGTGAAAGGCATTGATAGATATTCTGAGAGTGTAGGCAATGATATCCAACGTATTCAGTACGGCTCATCCATTCTTACTCGCCGATGCTAGGCTCACGAGTCAAGCTCATACACCCATTGTACTCTGGGAAATAGCAGCGAGCAAGAATTCGGAAGGAAAGCGGATGGTAATGTTTTCGACGCATACGGCACAAATCTGCTTGATGTCAATTTAGAATTCACCATTCATACTCTATTTCTTTTAATATATCCCCTTATCGGCCCCTTCAACCGTCTCAAATCATTCAACCACCTCAGTAAATAAACGAGCACGCGCACCAGGAACAAGAACACCAGGCGTAGCACTTAAGAAACAAAGCCCCTCCTAAATATGCTAAAGTTAATATATTACAGTCTATTATATGTCCCTCTTGGCGGCGTAGAAATACTAGAAACGTCCTGTGGGAATTAGAATATATCCAGAACGATGTACGGTAGCTGGACCTCGGGTACGGAGGGCTTCCTTGGGATCAGGAGACGTGGTGTGACCTGACCATTTTTCCCTCTGCCACATGTGCTTCTGCTTCAGCACTAGGCCAAATGCTCTTCGGCCTTCCTTCCCACTTGGCATGTCCACCGCTAATGTCTTGGGGACTGGGTCCCTGATATATGCGTGGGGTTTCTTGGCGTGTGCAATGATTGCACACGCCATGAGCTCCTCCAGTTGATTATGGATGGATTCTGAGGCTGGCGAGTGTTAGTATCTCGGCTGCTCACTTTGGCTGTCTTCGAATGCGACATGCTTGTACCTGTGAGAACTTTGCTGGGGTCGTGTTGGCTTTATTGATAATGGTTAGAAGCTTGCAGAAGTGGGCCTCGTCAGCATTGCATTACACAAACTCTGGGCAATTATGGATCACATCAGCACTGAGATGATTGAGGAAGGAGGGCATCCCGCAATGTGACAACTCGTCATAGCAGTCGAAAAGGGGCCTTGAAAGATTGTGTAACAGATCTCGCTGCAACTAGGCTACTTACACATTGTAGGTCCTGAAGTTGACTGCCATGCATACTGGGTATCTGACAGCATATCGGACGGTTATGTTGACCCGATATGTGTAAAGTCGCCGAACTCAACATTCGACCGAGCATCACGCCACGACGATCCAACATGCCACATAAAAAGAGGACTACAGGTATTCCGAAGCTAATTCTCTTTCTGAATTAGATACCAACACTTTTACAAACTTGCTGAGTTGCCAAGATGAGAGTCTTCATTGTTTTCGCTCACCCAGAGCCGCAGTCACTTGGCGGATCCCTCCTCCGAGCCACAGTGGAAGAACTAGAAGCGCAGGGCCATGAGTTCAAGGTCTCTGACCTGTACGCCATGCACTGGAAAAGCCAGGTCGACCGCTACGACTTCCCCAAGCTCCCAGCCGACGCCCGTCTGAGGGTGGCCTACGCGTCGGGCGAGGCGACCTTCTCGGGTACGCTCACGGACGACGTGAAGCGCGAGCAAGAAAAGCTCATGTGGGCCGACACCGTCATCCTGCAGTTCCCGCTGTGGTGGTACTCCATGCCCGCCATCCTGAAGGGCTGGGTCGACAGGGTTTACTCGTTGGGCTTCGCGTACGGCATCGGCGAGCACAACGACAAGCGGTGGGGGGACAGGTACGGGGAGGGGAAGATGCTGGGGAAGCGCGCCATAGTGCTCGTGACGGTTGGGGGCTGGAAGGAGCACTACTCGCCTCGAGGGATCTGTGGACCCATCGACGATCTTCTCTTCCCCATAACCCATGGGACCCTGCACTACGTCGGCTTCGAGGTCTTGCCGTCCTTCGTCGTGTATCAGTCTGACCGAGCAGACGAAGCGGCTTTTAATGCAGCGGCCGACGAGCTTCGTCAGAGGCTGCGAAAGCTTTCCACGATGCAGCCTATTCCATTTCGTCCCCAGAACGGTGGAGAGTATGAGTTGCCAACTTTGGTCTTGAAACCAGAGGTGGAGGCAGCTTCTGAGTCGGGATTCTCCGTACACATTCGGCCTTCTAAAGATGCACAGGACCCTAAGCAATCGCACGAACATGTCCTCTGAATATCAATGGTATTTTCCCGGGCCATATGGATTGCAAGTCCGCTGGACTGCTTCGTGTGCACAAGTATCATCTGATGTTCAATATACCAAGGTCGATATGACGGATCCAAGCTCTGCTGTTTTGGGCACTCCTTATGTCATTGTCCTGGTACAAGACAGTCTTTGTCGACGTTGATACCAGCATTGGTCCTAATGATAACGCCATGCGCTGTCTCCAGCCGGCACTCGTAGCATTCCGCAAGTCCATCATGTCCCCACAGCCCGCTCGGCCAGTCTTGCAGTAATTCCATACAAAGCCATTTTGATAAAGCTTGGAACATGTCCAATTTCAAGTGTTGTCAAATCACATCAGCCTGCCGGCTCAGACTGGGAAAAGTCGACATCATCCTCCCTTCCAAATCCGGTTCATAATCCCGACCCCAGCAGAATATGCTCCCTCGCTGTCCCAAGCCTCAACTCCGTATGAAAACAAGCCAAAGAAGAATTGTTCATGCTATAGAAAAGAGCTCAGTTAGTGCCCGGCAGAAGACCGTGTCTTGTCTTGGTCTCCAACTTACGGATGATATTGCTGGCCCCAGAAATATCAGAGCAGACAACCTGCTTGTTGCTGTTCAGCTGGCAGGTGAGCTCGCCGCTGTCGACCTCGGCCTGCGTCTTGGCGCTGAAGCCCTTTGTGACATCGTCACCGGCCTGCGTGGCGCCGCTTGCCGCAGCCGCGGCATCGCCTTCGCTCTGGCCTCCTGCGTCTGAGCCACCTTGCTTGAAGCTGTCGAAGAACGCGTCTACGGCAGAGGTCTCCCCGTCGTCTTTGTTGTTGTTGCCGCCGTTTCTCTTCTGGGGTGCTGCTTGGCCCAGGGCGGACAGGACCGTCAGGGTGAGGAGGCCGAGGTTCTTGGACATCTGCATGGTTGTTGATTGTGGTGGTGAGAAATGTATAAGTGAGTCAAGTATGGTCGTCCTGCGAGCAAATGGATCCTTTGGATATGATTAAAATGGTATAGTGCAATGTAAGCTAATCAATTGTGACGAACAGACTGGTGACAATGCGCGGTTGTATAGTTACGCCTCTATATACAACGCGACTTCCCCCTTACTTGAGGTCCAAGCCGTTGTCTGCTGATTGTGTCTGATGTCGCAGAACCTTTGAGAAATGTAACTTTCCTGAGTCTGATTACAAGCCTGCCCTGGCCAGCATCGGCCGGTCGTGAAGCTTGGCGCGGCTGACACGGAGGAACTTGAGACCAGGAGATTCACTGAAACGGTCCTCCCTCCCCTTGGCTCGCTGCAGTCCTACGATACGAGTGGATCCTTCTCGAACATCCATCTGGAACTCGAACCAGATAGAAATACTGTCAGAGTTCAGGTGAAAGCTCCAGCAGAGCACGCGTCCCTGTCAGCACGTCCCAAAAGGATGGATGAGGCTCAATGCGACCTGACGAAAGCCTGGGCTTTGTCGATCAAACGTGCCATATAAGCATATTTCGGGGATGTGCAGCGCGACAGGAGGATCTGCATTATCATCTTTGGCTTACACAAGAAAACTTTCCCAGAAGCCACCTGTAGTAGTTGACACAGGGATTTAGGGAGACAATAGAGAAGCAAAGCCTTCAGACGCAATGGAGAGGTCGATCTACATACTAGTAGAATGGTCAACGTCCAAACTACTGTTGGTAAAGAGACTCCGTAATGAACTCTCAATGGGTACGAGACGGTACGGAGTCCATATTCTGGCCTGGCTTCAGGACTTAATTCAGGTTCAACAAAACATAGACGCTGTGTTTCACCGTGCCTCAACTTTTGTCAGGGTTTTCTTTGAATCAATTGCCCTTTTGGTTCCCTCGAATCACCTTACAAACGTTTCAACCCCTATAGGGATCCTGGTTCACCCTGGGAAGGATGAGCCCCGGCACAGCCGAGTCTTGCCTCCAGGAAGTTGTGAAGGGCAACAATTTCCGCAGGGCTGGAAGAGAGCACATTTGTAAGAAAGAGGTGGGTTCAAAAACCGACACGATGGTTGCTAAGCTCAATGGCATGTATTGTATTTCTTCGCACCTTTGGCGCGCTGTAAGTACAGCACAATACATGGGCAATCGAAAACAAGACTTCTAACACGCATTTTCATCATTCGCCATTTGATATCAGCCGAAGCACAATCAGGCAACGTAGTCACCGACCGCTCCCCCAGCACCCGTTCACTTCTTAATCTGAGCCTCCCAGTTGTACTGCGGGTCAAACCCCAGCTCCTTCCTCGCCTTCTCGATGCTCAACAGCGAGTCTCTCTCGCCCGCCGTGGGCGTGTACTTGATATTCGGGAAGCAAGCCTTAACCAGGTCCTCGTTCTTCGTCCGCATGCAGGTATCAGCAGCAGCAATAAGGTACTGGTGGTGTCCCACGCCCGCGAGCTCAAGGCTCTTCGCCACGGCCTGCGCCCCGTCCCGCGCATCAATATATCCCCACGCATTCCAACTCCTCTTGGACGGGTCATCCTGCCAGCCCTCGAAGTCGGCGTAGTCCGCCGGCGCCATGACATTACTAAACCGCAGCGACACGACCTTCAGGTCCGGGTCCCACCGCGCGTACTGCTCCGCGAGCACCTCGCCGACGAGCTTGCTGAGCGAGTACGCGCTCTCCGGGCGGCGCTCGTGGTCCTCGGTGACGGGCAAGCTGGCCGGCTCGTGGCCATGTCCGTCCTCGGCGAGCGGGATGCCGATAAGGGTCTCGCTGCTGGCCAGGACGACGTTCTGGACACCGAGCTTGCGGGCCGCCTCGAGGACGTTGTACGTGCTCATGGTGTTTGTGCGGAACTGCCTGCTCGAGTTCGTCTGGCCGGGGCTCGGCAGCGCCGCGAGGTGCACGACGGCGTCGACGCCGGGCCCGCCCACGCTGCCATACGCCATGTCGGTCGAGATGAAGGTCTCGAGCACGGCGCCCATGTCCTCCAGGTCCACCTCCACGAGGCGGTACGCCCCGCCCAGCCCGGACTTGCCGTCCTCGGATGCTGTCGGTGGACGCCTTACGTCCACCGAGATCACCTCCCACGACTCCGAGAGCAGGTTCACCACGGCGCGGCCGAGTTTTCCTGAGCCGCCTGTGACGATCACGCGCTTTCGGCGGGGTCGTGCGATCTCACCCAAGGCGCGGGTCTTGTCAAAGAGGGGGGCGCGAGAGGCTGGCATCTTGAGATGTATGTTGTAGGGGTCAATGCTGCGGGTGTGGTGTTGCTTGTGCTGAATGAGACCAATTCGTAGCTAACGTGATGACACAGTGCAGTCAAGAACTTAGATACATAGGATTGGAGACTGGAAGCGGACAAGACATTGCACATTGCCTTGCTCCAAATATATGGCAGCTAGATATAGCACCGTGGGGAGGCGGCGACCACAGACGTCACATCCCAACACTAAACTGAAGGACCAGGCAAAACGAATTGCCGAATCACCTTCCGGCAGATCTCCGATGCTATTTCCAAGGTATTCAGCGTTGCAGCTCTGTACCAGCCGCTGCCCGGGATTTTGGTTGGTTTTGAAAGGGAACGTCGTCATAGACTAGAATAAGATCGCCGGTAGCAACACGGCGGGAGCTCCCCAGGGATGACCGTTCTCCGGCTCGGGGGGTGTGGCGGCAGCATCGTGGGGCCAGACTTGGCGTCAACGAACAGTACCTGTGCACAGGGCTGTCAGAAGTCTGGGGAGAAGGTGGTCTGCCTGGTTGTTTCTTTCGAGGATGTCATTTCAAGCACCATTTCCAGTGGTGCCATGGTCACCGCTTGGGTGGCATTCCAGGTTTCGAGACTTCACTCAAGCCAATGTTGGCTGTTGCGAGACCTGACCTCGTCACAATGCCAAAAAAAAAAAAAAAAAAAAAAAAAAAAAAAGGTGTGTAAAAGTAATTGATGTGAGAGTGTACAGTGGGTGGAATCAATCAAACATTCGACCATCAGATATTGCACTGACTGAACAGCTCAAACTCGTCGCAACCTGAAGACGGCTATCCTTGGACTCGTCTCCCAGCACAGCTTTCTCAGCGAGCGTTACGCCTCGTGACCCGGTCGGCCCTTCGCCAGGCTGATATCCATCAATGCTAGGTGGGCAGGAGCCTCAAACCCTGTAATTGAACAACGCCGATCCGATAGTTAAAACCAAAACCATCCCCCTTTTAAAACCCTCCTTGGGTATTGCGAATTACCGTTGCGCCATTCTGGCAAGAGCCGTCCAACCAATGCCACTCCATCCGAGCTTTGTCTGCCGGTTTAATGCGAGTGCTTGCGTGTCCGAGGATATTCTAGGGACGCCGATCAAGTCCATCAAGTGGAGAGTTGCTCGGCGGCCTGTGGCTCAAGTTTGAGTCTTTCCTCCGGGCAGCCTTCTTCCATTTCCTTGTCTGTCTTGCCCAAGTACTTCTGCATCACCTTCTTGAATGTCGACTCGTCAACGACTGCACCGGAGCCTGAGCACTTGGCTTTCTTCTGGAGATCAGAGCACAGGCCATCGAGATCGAAGTCACCATTCTGAACCTTCGGGCAGCTCTGCAATTTCTCCCTGTAGACATTGTTAGATATTGCAATGTGAGTGCTGGGGGTCCCTGCGTCAACATACCATATCTTATTGCAAGTCAGGAGCTGACCATCTGTAGTCTGAACAAGCTCGGTCGCATCGTCGTTCTTCGCTGCATCGATTCGTGACATGAGATCATCTTTCTTTTGCGCAGGACTAGGTGCGAAGTATGGCGTCGTGAAGTCAACGTCAAAAGCATCGTTGAAGAAGGTGTCATCAAACCCGGTGCCTAGTATATTCTCCTGGGGCTCACGGTAGCCGCCGAACAGCTGTGGATCAAACTGGAAGTTGTTGGTTGACGACATGAAGTTCATGTCATTCACGTCGAAATTGGCGAATTGGCTAAAGTCTGGTATTTGTTAGCCTCGCTACAAGACGCGGGATGGTCGAGTCTCCTGGGAGTTGCTCTGCTGCGTCTCGCTTGAGACCCAGCATAATGTATATGATCATCTCTCACCTTGGTTGATGTTGCCGAGGGGATGCTTCTCCTCACCAATGGTGGTAAGTGTGTCAACTGGCTTGAAGCCCATCGGAGACTGAGTGAACGGCTCAGGAGAGGTCCCGCAAGAGGAGCTCGGACCCCCATGGGAGTTTGATGAGGCAGAGGGTGACGAGGTTGTAGTTGCCGCACCGCTGTTGCTGGACTCTGCCCTACCACGGGCCGCAGACGCCACATTATTGTTGGTCAAGGGAGGACTGAAGATTCCGGAGAAGTTGGCCAGGTCCTCCTTGGCCTGAGTATCAAGGCCATTCGTCGACTTCGAGCCCGTCGAGCCGTGGCGTGCAGACTGGGCCAAGGGGCTGGTCTGGTCGCTAGGGCTGCGGGTGTTGCGAGGTGACTGTGAGTTGGATGTCCGACCGTTCATGGAGGTCTGGTTGGACGCGGTTGGCGTAGGACCAGGGAGCTGGCCAAACTTGGGGAACTCGAACTGGAAGTTGACGTCGTTCAAGTTGTTGATGACGGCGTGGCCGAACGTAGGTCGTTGACCGCCAGACATGCTAGAGGCACGGTTGTTCACCATCACAGAAAGCCTCTTCTTATACTCGCTCAACTCGCTGGTCATCTTCTCAACCTGGGCACGCAGGACGCTGTTCTCATGGTTGGATTGCGCCGACGCCTTTTCCAACTCCTCGACCTTGGTCTCAAGGTTCTTGAGGTGCTGTTCCTTGCGCTCTCGGAATGCGCGCTGCGCAGCCCTGTTCTGCGCTTTGCGCTTCTAGACAGTCGAGCGTTGTTAGTATGTGGCAAGTGGAGAAGTGGTTTGCATTTGCATTGCGCGTGGCCGGACTCACCGAGGTAGGCTCAGTGGTAAGAGGCTTGCGTCCGGGTTTCTTAGAAACCTTCTCTCCAGTTTCCTGCCTCTTGGCATCGCCTCCGTCATCCTCGTTCTCATCGTCGGGGTGGCTCCTCTTCTCGGTCTCATTATTCTCGGAGCCGGACTTGTCACTGCCGGCCGATCCGGGCAGGTCTCCAATCATCTTAGCGTTGGACCCATCGCCAAAGCTGAAATCAAAGCTGGTGTCGCCGTTGATGTCATAGTCGTAGTCAAGGAAAGGACTTGTATCGAAGCCATTGATGTCAGTCTTCTGGGTCGGGGAGTTGCCAAACGAGGCCGGGGACATGTGCAGGTTGCCAGCCATTGGGGAGGCCATGGGCTGCTTGTTGGAGTTGAGGGCAGCGAAGAGCAGACTCTGCTGCTGAGGGGTGAGTACAAAGTCGTGCGGGTTTCCCGTGGAGGCCATCGTGAACGTGAGCTGTGAACGACGGTGACGAGAGCCAGCTCAGGGTGAGGTTAGATTTGGTTGGGCGGGGTGGAGTAGGGAGTCGAGATAACTGCTGGTGAAGTGGTCGTCTTTCCCCGTTCTCTGGTTTGGGGTTAGAAATTCGCCACTGGCGTGCCACAGCAGTCTGGACTCTGGGCTTGGCTCCGGCGCAGGGCGCAAGTGATATGGGATTTGACACTGTAGGACGGTCCGCAGTGAGGAGAGTGGTCAGGGCGCTCCGGTCAGGCAGTCGACGTCGAAAACCTGCCAGGGGCGTATGATGTTGTCCAGTCGAGAGAAATTCCCTGACAGGCGATGGGAGTCGTGTCTGAGAGAATGACGTGGAAGTGATACTGAGGGAAAGAGAATACGAAAAGGTGGGCACGGTTGAACCGGTGAACAAAGTACTGCGCCAGGAGCGTAAACGGAGGAGAGATTGGACGGTCAGCGCGAACGGAGGAGCTCCCCGTGCGGTAGGCGGCGTGATGTGACGGGCTGCCAGAGACGGAGCGGTCCAGGCCCAGGCGTAGGACGCAGGACTCAGAAACGGATACAGGATACAAGGTCAGACGGGCTGACGAGATACAGGTAGTGGTCGTAATTCACAGTCGATCCAAACCGGGTCAAGTTGTTGTCCGAGCAGGGTCCATCTGCGGATGCAGGTGTAGCGCAGGCGCAGGTGGAAGTGGGAATGCGATGGGGATGGGAAGGGGGAGAGGCGAAAGTCTGCCCGAGGCTCTCTCTCTCTCTCTCTCTCTCACACACACACACACACACAGTCCTAGCTGACCGTGGGGGACGGTACGGTGAGACGAGATGTGTCAAGTTGATGTCCGTTGCCAATGGCAGCTGCTGACGCTGTGGGCAACTAGAAGTTTCCTTTTCGCTGGGGCCGTTGGGACGTGGACACAGTACACAAGAACATAAGAACTAGGTAAGGGCAGGATTCAGGAGGATCGGTTTGACTGATCGCATTGGGTTGAATACTTGGGGGTGGACGGCGGGGATTGAAGGAGACGGAGGCTGGCTCCCCTCCCCTCCTTCTGGCTCCGTCTGGATGGAGGGGCGTGGAAGCCGATGTTGAATTTGTCAGCACCGTGTCTATGCGATGGGGAGATACAAAGACCACATGCGACCCGTCGCCTGACGACACGGCCCAGTCCCAGGGTCGCTCTGCCTCTGGGGCCTGCGGCCTGCGGCTTTTGGGCTTGGGGCTTCGGGCTTGGGGCTTCGGGCCTGGCTCCTGGGCTTGATGCTCGATGCTTGGGAGTATCACCCTTGCCGTGCAGGGCATGGTGGGACCTCAGAGTACCCAGTAACAACAGCTAACCCGGGGGCCTAGCGAAAGAATCTGTGCCCTTCCTGCCTTCCAGGACGGGGCAACCTTGATTCCATACGGCCCAGACAGCCCAAGCAGGACTGCCTGCATATAGTAGTCGGCTTATCCAGCCTATTCTGCTCCCGGTATGACTCCCAACCACCACACTCCCCAGTCTTGCTGCAGCAGCGCCGGCTGTGAGAGGCAGACGCGGAAGGATCGCCACCCATCATTCGCCTCATCCCTCACTGCCTGCAGTTGCTCCCGCGCTTGGCAGATGTGAAGATGCGTATGCCACGGTGCGCGTTGCGCGAGAGGACGCCAGTATCCGAGTGCCTGGAGTCAGATGGATCTGCGGACGTACCGTCCGTTCTAGACTATACCGTCCTAAACCCTTTTTGCCATCCGCTCGTCTTTAGGAGTTAAGTCTTCAACTCCGAACGGCCAGCCAGCCCAGTCCATGCTCATGTTACCCCTCAGATGTCTCCTTGTTTTCGGTCCTCCCCGTCGACGCTGGCTCGGATCCCTTTCGAGTACTGTTGTGCGTATTTGTTCACCCGCCCCACGGTCGTCAAGGCCGACCGTCGTGACAGAATGACTTACTACCTGACTCTGACGGTGCCCGGTAGTACTGAACTATGCAGTGCCCAGCCGTTGGTAAGACTCCAGGAATAGCGCCGTCCCGGACGGTCGGGACCCCCGGACGGTCAATCTCGGACTCGGACCTGGATCTCTCCGTCGGCGATGGTCGTGTGGGGGGCAGTCATGAGCAAAGCAACCGACGTCTGCAGGTGTCCCTGGCAGGATGCATCCCCATGAAAGCTTTGCCCATCCTGAAAATCCCATATCCCATGTGGTGCATTTCTAGCCCAAGGCTGCCATTGTTCACAGTCTAGTCCAGCATCCAGCATGAACGGCACTTTTCGAGGCCGAGGCCGAAACCGTAAAACGTGATTGTTTGGCAGACAGTCAAACAGTAGGCTACCTAGGTATGGTAGACTGGAGTATAGTCTGCTGTAGTGCATCGTCCAGCACCATCTAGTGGTGCAATTGTCGCCGGCAGGGCGTGATACTCGGTATGAGGTCATCCGTACCAAGCGCTGTGGTCCCCTGAAATATTTTCCCAATTGGCACCGACTTCCGGGCTAGGCAGTGGTGCGAACTTTTGACTGTGCCCCGATAAGAGGACAAGGCTTATCGCAGAGGGGTAGGGATTCGGGCCTGGGCCTGGGGGTGTGGGAGCAGGGACAAGCTTGTGAAATTTTTAAAGTGCTAGATTCAAATGTTGCTTGTCAACATCGCCGCCCACCTTTGACGCCGACTTGAGATCCCAATCTAGCTGTGATACCGTATTTCCTGACAGCTCCTACCTCTCTCGAAACGGTCTCCTATATTCCGCCAGTTTCGCCTCGAGCGGTTCCTCGAGCGCCAGCCAGCGCCCGTTACCCACAATGGCGTCCAGCGCAACAGCCGAGGCGTCCACAGGTCCGTCGCAAGCCCACAGCTCTGGCACGACCCGGCTTCACCCCTCCCCAGAAGAGTACACGCCCAGCTGACCAACTCGCGCAACCCAAACAGACAACCGCCAGTCCCGCTTCGAGCAAGGCGTAGCCCTCTCCCTGAACCTCTGGCCGGCCCTCACCCTTGCCGTGCAGAACAACTGGGGCGGCCCAGACTCAGCCGACAAGCGCGACTGGTTCGCCGGCGAGGTCGCCAGCCAGTTCCCCCCCTTCTCGAACTCCAACGCCGCCACGGCCAACGGCACCACCTCTGCCCAACAACCACAGGGGGACCAGGAGGAGCCCGACGCCGAGTACCTGGAGGAGCTGATCCTGCAGGTGATGCTGGACGAGTTCGAGGTCAACGTCGACGACGACACCGCCTTCGACGTGGCCACCGAGATCGTCCGGCTTCGCGGCCAGTGCGCGCGCGGCAACTTCGAGGAGGTCGACCGCCTGCTGGAGCGCTGGCAGTCCCGCAAGGGTGAGAAGGTCCACTTCAAGCATGGCGAGGACCAGGACGGCGAGACGGACTGGGAGGATGACGACGACGATGAAGACAACGACGGGTCGGACGACGACATGGACGAGGCTCCTCCACTAGTCGAGACTGCGGCGCCTAAGAAGGAGAAAGCGCCGCCCGAGATCGACGACGACGGCTTCACCAAGGTCACCAGGAAGAGGTGAGTATTCGGAATCCTGGCGCCGGGGGGCTTTCTGGAAACGTGTGGATTGGGAAACGACACGACTACCTACAACTACAAGAAGGGCAAGGCTGCGACATTATTCAAAATGTGGAAAAGTGATCTTGATACCCTGCGATTAGGTCGTCGCGCCGGACTACAGGAAGAGAGAAAGAAATATGACCAAGACCTCGGGAAGACCGGTTAAGTGCTGCCCACCGTGGCGTCGTCACCTCAATAACGCCATGACTCCTCCAACCCAGAGGATGAGACGAAATACCACGCACAAGCCACAGCTATCTCTGCAGCAGCGGCGGAAAACAACGAGGTCCCAATAGAGACAAAAACCAAACAGTACCAACGATTACTCCCAGTCCTCGTCGCTGTCATCGTCAGCTTTGCGGCCTTCCCGGGGGCTGTTGGGTGCGTTGCTCGGGACGCCAGACGCGGCCCCGACCATGTCATAGCTTGTCTCGCTGTCGGGCTGCGACCTCTCGTCGTTGGACTTGCGGGACTCGTTCGGCTTCAGGAGCGTGGACGGCTTCTCGGCAGACTTGGTGGGAGGGTGGATTGTGGTGGAGGACCCCGTGGAGCCGGGCCTCTTGGGCTCGTCGGACTTGCTTGGGCCGGCGGCCTCGTCGTCCGAGTCCTCGTCCCAGCCGACTTCCTCCTCGGCAGATGCGGCTGGTCGCAGGTTTCGTTAGCATAGATGATAACGCAACAACAATACAACGTATTGTAATGAAAATGAGGGGGAGATCCAGCACAAACCCTTCAAGAGCTCCTTCCTCCTCGCCTCCGCGAGGTCAATGCCGTGCCTCAGGAAGTAGTATCTCTTCCAGAAGTCCTCGTACGGTATCGTCTCGGGCACGAGCTTCTCCATCGTCGCCCGCAGCTCCGGGTACTTCTCCAGGTCCCTGCTGATGTCCTCAGTCTTGCCCTTGATGTCGAACTCGGCGCCCCACGTGTCCCAGTCGCCCGTCGCCGGGTTCTTGGTGAAGCTCTCGGTCGACGTGTGGATGACGTGCAGCTGCGCGTCGAACCGGCTCGTGTGGATGACCCTCTTGCCCGCGGCGTCCTTGCTCTCGAACAGCACCGTGCTGTCGCCGCCGCCCTGCCCGTTGTTGCCGCTGTTGTTGTTGCCGTCGCCCGAGGGCGGCGCGATGCTCACCGCGTCCCGCAGGAACGCGCTGATATTGGTGCCGAACCGCAGCAGCGCCTCGTCCGCCGCATCCTCGGCCCTCTGGATGTCCTTGAGCCGCTTGGCGGCCTCGGACCGCAGCCGCGAGAGCACGTTCTCGGACTCCGTGATGGCCTCGTCCGTCGTCAGCTCCTTGGCCTTCTCGCCGGTGCTCGATTCGCCCTGCTGCTGCTGCTGCCCATCCGCGGCCCCCGCCTCGGCCCCGCCGGCCAGCGACAGGCCCCTTGTCCGGCTGATGACGGCGTTGGTCAGCCCCGTGAACCCGCGTTGGGCCTCGCTCCCCACCGCGGTGAGTTCCTTCTGTGCTCCCTGGTACACGGTTTCGCCCTGTGGTTTTGAATGGCATGTCAGATCCCCAAATCTCTTTCCAGCACGCGCTCCCTCCCTCGGGTCTGTCCCCTCCCCACAAGACGTACCTGCTTGACCACATTCCCGAAGAATCCGCCTAGCTTCGCGCCCCAGGGGCTCGCAGAGAAGGCCTTGTAAGCATCCTGAAACTCGGCGTTCAGGCTGTTCTGCGTCTGCTCGGCGCTTCCGCTGGCATTTTTGCGCTTGCCGTCCTCCTCCTTGGGCAGCGACTCCTCGACGATGTGGTCGTAGGCCAGATCCATCTCGATCGTTGTGTTCGGCGGTCGTCCGAGGGCCGGATGTTGCTCTCTTGCTGTTCCCCTTTGGCTATCCGGGGCCAGTGACTTCTTGATTGATGCTACTGAGTGGATTTGATAGTGTAGTTGTGGTCTGGTAAGTGCTAGGAGAGCACGTCGGCGTGATTGTTTGAGGTTGAACCGTAGGAGGCTTGGAGCTGCCACGCCCGCGCCGGCAGAGCGTCACAGGTCCAGGGAGCCCAACGCGGCAAGCGGCAGGGGCTAACAGCCCCCACTCTCCCGCCCCCAGCAGGCACGCTCGAGGCACGTTCCCCCATTGCCAGTTCAAGAGGGGGGTTACTCTGGTGGAACGTGGCTTGAGGAACTCCAAAGTGCAGAGGCTCACTTTCAATGTTCCATGAGGATCTCACCATGTGAACGGCCTTTCGGACCAGCAGGAATTACTTGCTCATTAATTTTGACAAACATCTGTGTGGGATGTCGCCAGTTCTGATACTCTTCCGTGAGGGGCACGCAGGAAAAGACTGATTTTCCAAATCTACTGATCGAACTATTTGGGTATTTCCGCTACTTATGATCTCTCTCTGTCCCCCTTTACCATGCCATCAGTAGGTCATCCCCCACTGACGAGTCCCAGAGACTGGGCTCGCCTGCTGTCTGAGCCTCCAATAATCATGCTTGGTAAGTGCTAATGTTGACAAAAAATGTTATGCGTGGGAGTGATAAAAAAAAAAGGGAATGGAGATGACAGGCGGCACACCATATCTCGACTCGCTCATGCACCAAACGACTCCGCGATTCCCAATCCGGAACCTCATGCAAGCTTGTACTGCAACCAATACAACCCACCCAACCCTCTCTATCAAAGACGCCAATAGACCCATGAACAATACATTCGCACACGGACGGGGACGTCATGAAGCGAACCGAAAATAGGACACTGCCGCCCCATGCAAGCCGGTAAAGGTACCCCTTCCGTGACCTCTGTGCCGTACTTCTAACACCCGAGGCGCAACCCCGCCGTTCTTTGTTCGAAAATCTTCGCCTTGTGAAGGTACGTCTCGATGGGCCGTCAGTCCCCCACTAACCGCGACCGGCTCGCAGGAACTTCGATTGCTCCTCGCGTTCTGGCCACCGGGCTCTCGCGCGGCCCTCTCGGAGTAGGATCGCCACTGTTGCGATGACGACTGGATTATCCATCGGTAGTCCACTCGGAGCAGGCTCCAGCTTCGACGATTCGATCTTCTGGCTGAACAGTCCTGCCCGCGGGGGCTATTGAGTCGGACTAGAGGGTTCTGGTTCTCCGCCCACTTTCCTGTTCCTGTTCCTTCGCAACCATAGCCTGGCCGGTCATGCTCGACGACCCGAACTATGCCTAACCGATGACAACTCGAGCACCTTCTTTCCCGAGCACTCCCCTTTCCTTCGGCTTTGGGCTGTTGCCTCTTCCCTTCTTCCTACTCAGGAAACCAAAAACGCCGCCGGAACTAGCCTCGACCTTGCCACCCTCCTGTCCTGCGCCAGCTGCGTCCGCAGGAAGTGTTGCGTCTTGCCGCGCCAGGTCAGACCAGCTGCCACCACCATCAAGCGTGACTTGAACCCCGCCGGTGGGGCTCTCAACAAAGATGCCCTTGGGGCCAGCTGCCTTTCCATGCTTCGAATTCGTGTATGAGTTTGGGTATGGGGGCAAGGGAGGTGGGCGCCCAGGGCCGCCCTTGCGCTCTCTGCTGTTGTGTAGACCCTTTGCATGCTGCTGTGACGTCGGGTTGGCCTCTGAAGACCGCGAGGGCGCGAGCGGCTGTCCTGTTCCCGCCTGGTACGTATTGGACGAGGCTGTCGCCTGTGATAATGGCCGTGCATCGTTTGTGGTTAGCGCTTGTGGCTGTTGTGCATCCGGCAAACCATTTACGCCTGCCGCAGAGTGCTCACAATCCGCGCTGCCCTCCGTGATCCTGTGTTGATGACCGAGTCAGTACGTGCTGCACGAGACGGTGCATGAGCATGACTTACTTCTTGTAAGCGGCCACGGTGTAGTCAAACGGTCTGAAGTCGCTCTCTATCATCCTGTACAGCTCATCCTCCCTGATTTCTTTGTCTGTGGCGTCGTCCTTGAGCCGCTCCCGTGGCTTTTGCCTTCGCGCCCGGGCCTCCAGGGGAGCTTCCTCCAACAAGAGCTCTTCGAGGTCATATGTTGCGTCGAAGTTGGTTTTCTCGGATGAAGGGACAAACACTGGCTCTACCTCCTTCCTCTCGAGCGCCTCGAAGTTGATCACCCGGAAGAAGTCATGCTGTGTGAATGACTCCCATGTGCGACCCATTCTTTTGTTCGGGTCTGCAGTTAATGCATCCTTGATGGCGTACAGGCAAAGCAGGGAGACGGGTGGCTGTGTGATTGGATACTTGGGGTTGGCCGCTTGTATGACGGTGCTCAAAGCGTTCTCAGAATTCCCCTCAAACGGTCTCTGTGCGACATATTAGCTTTCGACCCCACCGCAAATAAACTTTATCGTGAATCTAGTGCTTCACGCGAGCTCCCGTGTGGTCCGCAAATTGGATTGAACATGTGCTCATGTGGATGACCAACCTTGTTGTAGATACATTCATAGAAGAGCACTCCAAGCGACCACCAGTCAGCCCGTCTGTCGTAGCCATGCCCTGCATACACCTCGGGGGCAAGGTATGCGAGTGTGCCAGATTTACTCGTCAGAACTTTTCCGGGAATGATGTCTGATGCCACGTTCTGTAAAAACTCCGTTAGCACACAAGGGTAATGCTGCATCGGTTGGGGGTGTCCTTACGAAATCCGTAAGATGTACGTGGCCATCTGCGTCTAGGAGAACATTGTCCGGTTTGACATCACGGTGGATAATGCCCTGACCATGTATGTACCTCAAAGCGCACCCCAGCTCGGCGATCCAGAACCTGACGGCTTCTTCCGTAAAGGTCTTCCTGGAGATGTGAAATCGAAGGTCGCCGCCGCTCATGAGATCAACAACAAGGTACCTGGCGTGGAATAAGTATCACATCGCAGTTTGGGAACGAGCTGTTGTGGTGGAGAACGCACATGTACTCTATATCCTGAAAGCTGTACCGCAAGTTGCAGATAAAAGGGTGATTAACATGCTCAAGCATGCGGCGCTCTCGTATGATATTTCGTACGCTTTCGGACCGGACGACTGTATGGTGTCTACGATGTCAGCGACCATACCAAGAGCAAATTTCGCTGGCTTGTGGGTCGGCCTGCGTACCTTCATCTTTGCGGATATACTTCAAGGCAAACGACAGATTGGTGTCTTTCCGTTCAACAATGCGTACTTTGCCAAAGGCTCCTCGGCCGACGACTCGCAGCAGTCGAAAGTGGTTGAGGTTTACTGTTTGACAGAGGTTGTCAGTCGAACGTGCAGAGACAATGCGACGACGCGCAGGCCAGGGGCCGAAGCAATCAGGGAGGGAGTAGGGGGCGGATGGAGTGATAAGCACCTTCACCGTCAAACTCGACGGGTTTGCCCTGGCTGTTACCCATTGGAGCGACCGCCCTGGCTCTCGAACTCGAAAGGCAATGGTTGAGTTATGGTACAACCGTAGACATTTCAGTCGGTTCGTTGGTCCAGACGGATAACCCAGGTCGAGCGGCTTTGATTCGACTTGGCTTTGTTCGGCAGGCGGGCGGGCGTAGCGAGGACAGAAGCAGGGGTTGCAGGTGGCAGGTGGCAGGTGGAGATGGTTTTGGTTTAAGATAACTGTCCTTTGTGGACGCGAGGTTTGTTATGGCTATGGAGGGCCTGCTGAGGAAGAAGTTGACAGTTGACAGGTGACGGGTGCTAGATGATCGTAGGGACCGCGGCAGGTGTCGGCTCGTGTGTCTGCGGCGACGCAGCTCAGTCGGTGAGGTTGCCTGCTAGGTGGAGACCGGCCGGTGTTGTACCTGTGCCTCTAAGAGCCCGTTGACTCGCCTTGTCCTGACGTATCACAGAACAGGACCGGGACCACGCAATAGCTCGTTGTAAGCTCGAGAAGGGCAGCAGACAAATCGTGGAGTGTCTGACAAGGCTGGCAGGTCTGTTCTGGCAGGCAGAACAGGCGAGCGGGTGGGCGTTGATGAATCGGGGCTGGCTTGGTGGAGGTGAGCAGCCCGGTGTTGTCGATGCGGGAAAGGAGCAAAGTAGCCGCAGCCAGCGAATGGCTGGGAGAGATTGGTGGGAGAGGCGGGAGGTGACAGGACGATAATCGACCAGGCAGGCTGGGCTGCAGGTCTGTAAATATGAGAATAAGGAAGACAGTAGTCTACAGAATAATACGCTGACAGAAGCGGTCGAGCGGTGGAAGAGGAATGGAGGATGCAATAGACGGCTGCAGAGTCTGATGAGGTAAAGGGCCCCGGGTGGCAGGTCCGAAGGGTGGGCGAGCGGCGAGCGGCGAACAAGAGGCAAGGCAGGAAGCGGAGGGGGGATTTGCTCCAGGTAGAGGTAGTCCTGGCCTTGGACTGTGTCGGTGGTGGACTTTGACTGGGCCGGATTGGACTTTGACTGGACAGGACTGGGCTGGCTGGACCGGATTGGATTGGATTGGACTCGAATGAGAGTGGGTTGGACCAAGTGCGTGCGTCGAGCGTGCCTCTTCTAGTGGTGGGGTGGATAGGATGAGGAACGGGGACGGGGATGCTGATGGCAATTGGGAACCCCTGGATCTGCCTGGCTCACGAGGCGGGCGAGGATGCAGGCGCTGCAGATGGATAACTGGGTAGAGGGGGAGAGAGGAGACTGGCTGGCCGGCCGGCTGGCTGGTCGTGATGATGCGGCGGAAAAGGGTAGGCAAGAGACAGCCAGACCACTACTACGTGTAGGTACGGGTGCGTTGGTTGAGCGGGCGAGGTTGCACAGGTGAGGCAGGTGGGCAGTCGGTCTGGAGATGGGCTTTCCCCCTCGAACTCTGCCGACCCCAACCTTGCATCTTCTTGCCCGTGCTTCTGTGCTTGTGTGCTTGTGTCCAGGAGGCTAGGCCTAGATGGTGGCGGCTTGAGCTTGCTTTGCAGCCCAGCACCAGGTGGGTGGTGATGCTTTTGCTGCGGGAACAGGGACCGGGATGCGGGGTCGAAATGGTGCAGTCGCCTCGTCCAGGGACTGTACCATGCCTGCCTGGGTGCGGTAGGTTAGTCTGCTCCTGCTCCTCCAACCTCCCCTCCCGCGACACGCTGGCCTGCCCCGGCAACACTGGCGCAGAACTGGCGCGCAGTAGATAATCTGCCGTTGGAACGCTTCTTTCTCATCAGTCTGCCCTCGTTGCTGATGGCTGCTGCCACAGGCTCGTCTCGTGAGTTCAAGCCTGCCTGCCCGTATGCACCTTCGTCTGCACCTCCAGGGGGAGACTAACGTGTGGGCCGGGGCAGCTGACGGTGAAGCCAAGCCAGCATAGCGCCAGCAGAACAGCGGAGGAGTGAGGAGCCAGGGCCCAGCAGCCAGGAACCCAAACCCGCTCCGGCCTGTCAGGGCGCAAATCCCAGGCGAGAACGTGAGACTCTGAATCCTCCGTCCGTGGCCCTATTCATCCTTCGTCTTGATCGCCATCCGTCGCTATATGATGACAGGATGAGTAGGACCCACCTCAAAATTGCTAAGAATGTGCCAGCCAAAGCTGTACCCGCAGGGTGTTTTAAATTCTTTTCTTTTTTCAGGGAAAATAAATAGTGAGGAGAGGAAAAAAAGGAAGGGAGAGGTATGCAAGGCTGTTACGCCATCTGCTTGATCCAGCCTGTGACCTATCTTCCCATTGCTTCGGGTATCACCCAGCCAGACCTGCCTACCTCTAGGTGGTTCTGTGGCGCTCATCTCACTCAGTGCACATCCATTTCTCCTTTTACAGTCATGGCCCAGGTACAGACCGTATAGTAAATTGATAGACGGCTTCTTAGGATGCGTAGCGCCCTGAGAGCCGTGCCCTCGGCCGGAATTGCCCGATCCTCCTATTCATCCTACTCTGTCGGACCTGCACCTCGGCCGCAGTCAGTCATCCTTTCTCATCGCATAGTCATCACACTGTAAGTAGCACGCAGATCGGCCGCGATTGACATTGGGACGGGATGGGCCTGCGAACGCAGTTTGTAGCCCGCCACCTGGGGCACTCGAGCATCTTGACCGAAAGAGACCGCCCATCACCCCCCCCCCCCCCCCCCCCAAAACTATCGGATCACGGCAGGCCTTCAGATCGCGCAGCCATCCCGTTGCTTCTGCCTTTTCGCCTGGACTTCTAGAACAGCTCTTCCGCAATTCTAGACTCGCCCAGGGCTGTCAGCTTCCCCCCTAGTGCTCGCGCCGCCTCGCGGGTCCTGGCTTCGGGAGTTGGGTTGGTAGTGGACGCCGCCACCTCAAAAACACAATACTGAATCTCACCCCACCCCCGTCCCTATACGCTCGGTGGCCGTGCTAAACCTAACAGCGCTTCCCGAGCCTCGTGCGGCTGTTTCGAGTTGTACTATCTGTTGTTACGATTCGGAGAGAATCTCACGGCGCTGGGACGCTCTGGGCCATTTGAGAACAACTGCCGTCGTCCTTTTTAGAACGTAATAACTATGCGCAAGAGATCATTCGGGATAGATTGGGGGGGCTAGCAACCTAGCGCAAGGGGTGAGTGAGGATGGTGTTGAAGGACCACCGGCCAGGGCATATCAAACCCGGGGGGCGTTCTCCCACAGTTCCAATGCCTCTCAGATACATACCCACTGCAGGGTGGTAGCAAGGCAAACCGTGCTAGTCCCGGCATGAGGATTCCGCTGCCGGGTGCAGGCACGAGTATTCCACGTGTTGTGGGTTACAAAAGATGCACATAGCCTGGACCACATGTACACCTACTGGCCAGGCGCAGTGTCTGGGCGGGCCCGAGGGTCTACTTATGCACTGGTGCCGCATCTTGTTCGGTCCGGAAAGCAGGCCGAAGGTGTCGGCAGCTGCCAAGCAGTCTTTACAATTCCTGGCCTGATGCTTTGCCGCTGGATCTAGTGACACCACATGTCATTTTTGGCAGTCCTGGATGGATGCAAAGTCTGCCGAAATAATGCATGGATAAATGGGTATGCGCAAAAGTGGGATTCTGGCTTGGGCGCTTGAATGAGAGGCCGTGGATTGGCGGTCGTGGAGACCTACAATCTGGCACTGTCCGAGCACCGCTTGGAGAGGGCCGACTCTGCTTCAACGTCCAGCTTTTGCGTGCAGGGACAAGACCTTCCGGTGTCACGGGGCGGCCATCAACCGGAAAGCCCATGCAGTGCTGCGTGGTTCTTTTGTGTCAGTATTATGAAGTAGCCATCAAATCGTGCATTTGTAGCCACATCATCCATGGCTGCCGATGTTGGGGCGCGCCAACTCGTCCATTGACGATCCTGATGATTCGCCATCCGCCCATCTCCGATAGTCCACGGCCCCACCAACGCCGTGGTCGCTGTTGAAGCTGCTAAATCGGGACATGGGGTTGGATGCGTTGTTTGGCCAAGGCCAGATCTGGTAGGTCATCTAGGTCGTACCGGGGTCTCGGGTCCATCGCGCAGGAGGCTCCCATGAAGGGCTTTCGCAATCCGTACAGTGGCGCCATCCTCAAATAGTTGTGCGCTTACTGTGGCCCCAGGGGCGGCCATGATGGTCAGGCTTGGCGTGCGCCGAAAATAGGCTGCTCTGTTGCTGTGCGCGCGTACAATCCCTAGATCCTGTGCCGCACTCATGCGCGATACGCCGCGCAGGGGTGCAACACTGGCTGATACGGTTTAGATTTGTCGTTGATCCAGTCCACTTTGCCTAGCTGCCAGGGCTGGGTGACTTGTTCCGCCAAGGCCAGGCGAGGCATCGACATCTAACTTCACTGCCAAGACGCAACAGCGTCGAGCGTCGTCGTCAAAGAGTATGTTGGTCATATCGTACTAAAGTGTCAGCTGGGTAACGATCTGGAGACTTCGTTGCAGGTATTGGGGAAGAGCTTCAGAAAGCTGAATCCGGGCCGCTGCGTCGCATTCTAGGAATGATACCGCTTCTGCCTGTCGCAGGCTAGTTGTGTAGGTGAAGATGAAGGCGAGGTGGTAATCCCAGTGAGCGCGCATGGGGCCTCAGGAGACAGGATGATCAGTCTTGCCTCTCAGCCTCCTTGCGACATCTCCTGACCTCCCGGTCCGTTAACTTCCAAGGCTTGTCCAGCACGTCACCTCTGAATTGCCTGGCTTTCTCCCACAGGACCACCTCCTCATCCGTCGAGCGAAGGATTGTCATCTTCTCGATTTTGATCTGCTTGTTACCTCTGAACAAGGCCAGGCCGCCCTTGACATCCACGACACTGCCGACGTCGACGTCTTTCGGAACAGTCGTGGTGGCCGGTTTCGCAGATTCGTGGGAGTCGAGTTTCGACACATCTGCAACGCACTCGATACACAAGCCGTCACTGTCGTCAACAGTATAGATGCGCCGGTGGGGGAATTCGTCGACGGCGACTACCATGCCGGCGATACGGACCCATCGTAGGGGAAGGTTTCTGTGAAAGAAGACGTCTTGTCCTGCGAGAGGATTAGGGCGGGCGAATGACTCGGTGCGAAGGTTGTGATCGGCGCACCTGCGAAGCCCGGATGCGTGGTAAGGCTCCCAATGTTGCCGGACCTCAGAGGGCAGAACCTGTTGATTGTAGGAGAGAGGGTGGAAGCAGTACTGAGGATATACGGGGTGCTCGTCTTTCTCGGTCATGGTTTCAAGGGGCAGCAGGAGCGTCGGGGCCCGGATTGGGGGCGGAGGAAGGGGGCCCGTCTGGTTTCGACCTGAGGCTCAGATAGAGGGCGCTGACCAAGGCTCCCACGTGGATGAGTCAGTGTCATTGCCTTATTGCAGGCAACGCGACGAATCGAAGCTGGCCGCGGCTCGTCTCGCAGGAAGCTCAGGCTCGACAGATGCTACCGCGTAATCACTGCAGGAACGTGCGGGTGTGAAAATGCGCGCAGCAGGAATGCCCAGGCAGGCGTGTGCAGTGGGACTGGCCACTTTTTTCTCCGTTGTTGAGAGCGGGATGGAGGTGATTGGGAGGCAGCGGCCACGTCGGCCTGCTGATGTCGTCCACCGTATGCAGTGTCACGAGAATAATTGAGGCCGCCCATGCGCCAAGCGACATCGACTTTAATATTGTAGGGGGAAAAGTGAGAAGTGATCGGACAAGCTGCAGTCGCACAGCAGGCCCGGACATTGAAGCTACCCGTTCTGGGGCAAGCCTAGGGAGCTCCCCACCAAAAGCAGCGGGATTGGCCAATCTGACGTCGTCGCCCGACTCCAAATTCCGACAGCTAGCCCCGTTGCCCAGGCGCGCCAAAGCTCAAGGCGATCTTGACTCTCGAAAGCTTGCCCAGAACCTCAAACAAGCATCAGGCCCGTTTCAATCACAGCACATGTGCGCCGTCCAAACACGCCCCGTCAGTCTGTCTGCCCTGTACCCAAGAAATTGCCGCAAAGTGACGTGGAAGCTTGGGTGATATTCCTCGACCAAGAACCCGCTAGGTAACAGCCCGGGCGAGTGAGCCAGCAGCAATTCGTCACCGAGAGAGGGCGACACACACAAAAAGAGAGCGGGAATAGAAGGGCCTTGTTCCTGTTCTAGGTGGGAACTACCGTCTGACGTCGTTTTTTTTGTTGGCTCCAGTAGCCAAATCAAATCGTCAAGTCTCTCAGTCTCGACGCCCTCCTAGTCCTGCTTTGTTTCTGGTCTCCCGTCCGCACTTTCGGCCTGTTCCCCTTGGCTTCTCTTTCTCCCGTCCAACTACTTGCGACCCTCGGTTTATCCATCTCAATCTCGACTCGGAATCAGCCAAGACCGCCAGCACTCTGGCTTAGGTTCCACTGGTGTTCCAGCCACAGCCAAGCTAATAGATGAGCCATCCGTCATCGTCACCACCTCGCGCTCAGCCTGCCACGGCATCGAACTGAGCACCGCAGCTCCGTCCTAATCTCCAAATAAGCTCCCGCGCTTTGGGTCTTGTCCCCCCTCCAGACGTTGGCCCTCCGCCGACCTCGAGCATATCCTTCACTGGGACCCCACCCTCTTGCCCGCGATCAGCGCCGGGCTTATTGCTCACCAGCCACCGAGGACTGACTGTCCTCCAACATCCTCCTGTTGTCCTGCGCAGATCCGAGTTGTGAAGCTTTGATAGTCTCCCCTTGGTACATTTGCCCCTGGCCCTCACGTGCTCTTGGATCAACCAGGCTGTGCGCCTTGTCAATCTAAAATACCTTGGCACCACGGAGCGGCTCTCCTACGACAATGGTTTGTGAGTACTTTTCAGCCAACCGTCTGCGCGGCCCTGCCTGACTGTATCCCCTTAACGTCTGCTCCGGTCGCCTTTCCGGGTCTCAAGCTGGCGTCGCACATAACCCTTCCCTCTCGCCCACCCTCTCACAACCGTGAAACACCAATCCCATTCTTGCATTTCCAGCCAGCTCTGCCGAGTAGCTTCATGCCCGACCTCCCTCTAGTCGTCATCAGCACCCTACACCCCTGGTCCAAGCTCCCGTGCTCGCCTCGCCGACACCACTGTTCGTCCTGAAGCGTTCCGTAACGCGCGGTGCCTTGCAAAGTTAAATCGCTGACAATGCGGCGTGCCGCAAAACAGCAAACGTCAGCTTTCGAGAACAACTAAAGAGAATGCGGCCCAGTTTCAAAATCGGACAGAACGGCACTGCCGACGACGAGGGCCAGAGTCACGTCGATGAACACACGCCCTTGGTCGGTGTCCCTAACGGCGGTGGCTCGTCCCACAATAGCCGCGGCTTCTGGGGCCAGGTTTTCCTAGGGAAAGACACACCTGGGTTGGACAGCCCAAACCCCTTTGTGAGGTGGCCAGTACACGTTTGGAACGTCCTCAAGATCACATTGCTCAGTAGTAAGTGCCTCCTGCGCCCAAGCTCGGCTCCGAAAGAGACGATCGCTTCTACCTCTCTCCTCCCGCCCATACCGTGTTCTTATTATCATATACAGACTATGTCAATGTCCTCTTGTTCTTCGTTCCACTCGGCATCGTTGCCGGCGTGTCCGAGTGGAGCCCTACGCTTGTGTTCACCCTCAACTTCCTGGCCATCGTACCTCTGGCCGCCATCCTGTCCTTCGCCACCGAGGAGATCTCTTCCAAGCTGGGCGAGACTCTCGGCGGCCTGCTGAATGCCACATTTGGTAATGCTGTCGAGCTTATCGTGAGTAGCCCATCCTGGCAATGCTACTGGACTTACGTGGACTAACGTGTTCATCAGGTGAGTATCATTGCACTGCAGAACAACCAAATCGAGGTGGTCAAATCCTCCATGCTCGGGTCTATCCTCTCGAACCTGCTGTTGGTCATGGGCATGTGCTTTTTCCTTGGTGGCATCTTCAACATGCGAGATGCGCGCGGCAATGGCAGTGAGCAGGTGTTTGCTTCCGGCACAGCCCAGACTGCCTGCTCCCTGATGACTCTGTCTTCGGCATCACTGGTCATTCCTGCTACTCTGTTCATGGTCCTCGAAAGTGACAAAGACAAAGTCGCCGCCCACAAGAGCGTCCTGATACTATCCCGCGGGACGGCCGTCATCTTGCTGCTTCTCTACTGCCTCTATTTGTTCTTCCAACTGAGGACGCACAAGAACCTCTTCAACCCTGAAGAGCCAGAGACCACGGGGGAGGATGACGCTGAGGAGGAGGAGGAAGAGGAAGGCGAAGAATCATCTATGAGCGCTTGGTCTGCAGCGGCAATCCTCATCATCACGACGGTTGTGATTTCATTCTGCGCGGACTACCTTGTCGACGCTATCGACCCTATCGTCGAGACCGGGGCGGTCAGCAAGAATTTCATTGGTCTCATTCTCATTCCGATCGTTGGCAATGCTGCGGAGCACGTTACGGCCTGTGTTGTGGCTATCAAGAACAAGATGGACCTGGTAGGTCCCGATAGGGCTGACGCCTTCCCCCTGTGCGCTGGATGCAGATACTGACCTTTTGATGCAGGCCATGGGAGTTGCTGTCGGATCAAGTGTACAGATTGCCCTCCTTGTGACGCCGTTCCTTGTTCTACTTGGTTGGGCCATCGATCGGCCAATGGATTTCCAATTCGAGACGTGTAAGTTGCCAATATTGCTCCCAAGCTTGTGTCGGCATCTTTTTGTGGGTCCTGTGGCTTACACTACTTGCGCACCTCTAGTCGAAACGGTTTCATTCTTTATTTCTGTCCTCGTCGTCACCTACGTTGTCCAAGACGGCAAATCGAACTACCTCGAGGGAGCTATGCTTTTCGGTTTATACGTTATCATCGCCTTGGCTTTCTACGCCACCCCCAGTGACGCCCTCAACAACATGCTGGCTTCCATGTTCTGATAATTTCTACCTCGAATCAACGGCCACAGACCTGGTGATCCAACCTCAACATTCCCTTCGCGGGTTCCGATTTTTGGACCACTGTTGGCTAGTCGATTACATACGGGAAACTATTCCTCGAAAATTGTTCAAGTCTGGCATTGGAAAGTACGTGGAGCAAGCAGGAGCCAGAATTTTACCGGAGAACTAGAATAGTGTCGTGTCAACGCTAGCGGAAGGGCGACAAGTTCAAACCTGTTCCACACGTTGACCGCTTTTCCTTTTCAAGGATGTCTACAAGGGCAGGTTCTGCTTGATGAAAAGTTGAGGAGTCGGGACCAGGGAGTCGAGGCAGGCAAAGGTGGAGAACGTGGGCGTTCTGGGGATGTTTCCTTTGTCACTTTGTAAAAATATCAAGGGCGGGTGGTCAAGACTTTTGCAATCATCAGCCCAGGCGTTCGGGTTCGAGTGTTGTGCCAATTCCATGTTCTGAATAGTGTCACCAAATCTGCCTTACAAAACCCAGACCACGGTGACTTGTCTCGGTGGTAAATGATGGCATTGTGACACGCCGCCAATCTAGCTGCGATTCAAAGCCAAATAACCACAAGCCAGCAGCAGTCCGGCACGAGCGAAAGGCGTCCAGGGGCAGGGAGGCGGGAGAGGCCCGGGTCCTACGACTCGGCGAGCGTCCTGCCGAGCTCCTCGCCCCTCTTGGTGGCCGCCTCCACCGCCCTGTCGACGATGCCCGCCAGGCCGGACGCCTCGAAGCTCTCGAGCGCGGCCTGGGTGGTTCCGTTGGGGCTGGTGACGTTCCTGCGCAGCTGCGCGGGCGCCTCGGCCGACTCGAGCATGGTCTTGCCGGCGCCGAAGCACGTCTGCTTGGCCAGCCGCGTCGCCTGCTCCTCGGGGAGGCCGAGGCGCGTCGCGCTCGCGACCAGGTGCTCCACGATGGCGAAGAAGTACGCCGGGCCGGAACCTGTTGAGGTCGAGGGAGGGTTAGAATATGAACAGCAGTCCCGCGGGTCTAATGAAGGGGGAACCCGGAGCAGCAGAGTAATCAAGCTGAGTAGGGTAGGGGATCTTTTGTCTCACCTGACAGGCCGGTGACAACATCCAGCAGCTCCTCCCTGTCGACCCACTCGGTGGCCTTGCTGACGCTGCTCATGAGCGCGGAGACGAGCTCCTTCTGCTCAGCCGAGACGTCGCCGGCCGCGTACAGGCCGCTCGCGCCCTCGCCCACGAGCGCGGGCGTGTTGGGCATGACCCTCACGACGGGCGGGGCCTTGCCGGCGGACGTGGTGCTCCAGGCGCGCAGGCTGTCGCTCGTGATGCCGGCGGCGATGGACACGAGCAGCGGCAGGCCTGCTGATGACGATAGCGACGACGACCACGCCCCCGCCAGCTCCTGGCACACCGTCTTGGCGACCTGGGGCTTGACGGCGATGATGAGGACGTCGGCGCCGGAGGCGGCCTCGAGGTTGGAGGTGGTTGTCTTGACGCCCAGGTCGGCCATCTTGTTGCGGTTGACGTCCCAGGGCTCCGAGACGTGGATCTTCTGCTTGTCGAAGCCCTTGCTGACCAGGCCGGATATGATGGCCGCGGCCATGTTGCCGCCTCCTGTGGAGTGGTTGTCAGCTTCATGAGTCTCTTGCCTGCGGTTCGAGGGTTCTTTCTGCTGGTATGGCGAGGGGTAGAGGCAAGGGTGGGGTGGACCTTCCCTATGTGGTGTTTTTCACTTACCAATGAAGGAGATGTTCTTGGTGGATAAGTCAGGCGCCATGATTGCCGGCTTCTGCACCGGTGAGTCTTGGAGCGGAGGTGAGGTTGTTAGATGAGTGAGTAGTCTATTTTACCCCATCACAACTGCTTTTGAGCATTGACCCCCACTGCGTGACAAGTGAGAGGTCATGTTGCGCAGTCCGGAGGCGGACCATGTCTCGAAGGGTAAGGGTTGCTGCTGTCTCCATCGCCTCCCACTGCAGCAATGTGTTCAATGTGTTGTGCAGTCCACATCATGTTATATTACCCTACCCTTCCCTGGAGGTAGCCACACACGCGTGAGGCCCCCCCTCCGTGCCCGCAGCGTAGCAGCTTGTGGGCCTTGCCAGCCTATCGTCAAGTGTCGACCCGCAGCTGGGAGGTGTGGACGGCGTCCGATGCTCGTGGGGGAGAAGCACCCTCGCGACGGCGGGACAAGCAACGGAAAGGGATATGAAGCCCGCCTTTTCATCTTTCCATCATCCTCGGCCTGCATTTACGAGCGCGGATGTAATGTACGTCGCCACGAAGCACTTGCCCCCCCTTGGAAGGGGATGCATTGCATCTCGAGGGGGGGTGAGGGCAGTGGGAGAGGGAGGAAGAAATAAACAGGGGTGTGGGGGCCCTCGGTTGGGGAGGTCGCATGGCCGGAGCCAATATCTCGATGCAGGCTGTCAAAACCCAGTGACAGCTGCAGGCTGCCCGGCTACGGGGACGAGCACCGGAAGCCTCTTGTACCCAACAGGAACGCGAGGAATGAAAAATGCCGGAGGGAAACCTGGCCAGCCGTTGAATCTTGGATCGACCCGGCTGCATATACATCAGACCAGACCGAATGTTCCCGCTGCATGGGTCCCCGGGAGGGTCGTTAATATCTGCACGACTACAAAAAGTCTCGTGGCCATGCTTCTCTCCTTCTCTCTTTTGCTTTTCCCGCGTCCCTAGTGTCTTCTTTTCACTCACCTCTCTTTCCTCATCTGAGCCCATTCCCACTATTAGGTGGACGAGGGCATCATCTCATTCAGTTATCTCACAAATGTTCTGATCCAGAACACCCACGCAGGACCACCCCAGCCGGATTCCCACTATTAGGTGGATGAACCGCTGGCCTCGCCTCCCAATAAGAATATTCATTCAGTTTCATTTGTTACCTCGGCCCACTACCGGGTCTTCTCGCCCTCACTGAACAAGTGCAAGTGCCGCTGCCAGTGCCTGCCTGACGCCTGACGAGGTCAGCAATGTGCACTCAGATCAACAGCCTCTTCAAGTGCGGCCACCGCGCCTTCAACAAATTCGACAACTGCCCCGAATTTGTACATATATTCTCATCTCTTTCTCTTGCCCAGCCTCGACCTCACCCTCCGACCTCTATCACAGCTCTCCCTCCGCCAGGGCCATCATATGTTCGGAAGTCCACCTCGTTCTGAGATCCATCGGCTGACCAGAGCGATAGGGAAAGTCATGTCTCGGGGCGGGAGGCAAGCACAAGGACGTTGCGGTCGACCATGTGTGCCAGGACTGTAAGCTGCGGGAGTCCCAGAACAACACTCCCGCCGCCGGCACTCCTGAAAGCAGTGGCGGGGAGAAGAAGGACCCGTGGTGGGATGGTGATCCGTGGAGGAAGTACAGGAAGGGCTGAAATGCTTGTCGAGGCCAAGGTACGTCTGTCACAGTATAAGTGACTTCGAAAGCAAAAGGGGGCGTTGACAAACGACAAGAATGGAAATCAGAGACACGGCAGAGAAATCAATACTGCGTTTTCATGACCTGCTTTCATGATTTCTTGATTTGACATGGCACTGTTGGTCAAGTGATGCCTTGGGTAAACATTTATCCAGTTGAAGGTGGCCGGGTGACGGTGAGAGGAATGGTGAGAGGATGCTGTGGATAGAATGCTGATGCCCATGGCAAGCAAAGAGGCCCTCCACATTGCCATTTAAACACGAAATACGATATCAGAACATTCTGCAAAAACTGTTCAGAGCATACACACTCGCTAATAACCCGCTTTCCGATTATATCCTCGCTAATGACGTGCTTCTAAGACTCCATCGCCGTACCATGTGAGAAGACAAAAAAGAAAACCATACACGAAACTGTATGAATATAAAAAGTGCTCCCACTACTTCCTCATGAGCGCCCGCCACTTGTGCTGCTCCTTCGACCAGCGGTAGTTGACAGGCGACTCGCTACCGACGAAAACAACAGCGTCGTACACAGCGCTCCCAACAAGAGCCCCAGACACGCTGGCGCCCCAAGGACCATAAGCCCAGAAGCCCGTCCTGAAGAGGTCGTCTGTCCGGTACCCGCCGGCCAGGGCGGCGAGGCGCGGGCCCAGGTCTGCAGCCGGGTTCATCGCGCCCCCCGTGTTGTACCCCAGCGTCATTTTTAGTACGGCTACTAGCAAGCCAAGGACGAAGGCGTGCATGCCCGCGCCGGGTGGGTTATTCTGGTCGTCACCGAGCGAGAGCACGGCCACCATTATAACAGCGCCGCCCAGGAACTCGGAGAAGAACGCCGTGGCTGGGCTGACCCAGGGCTGTGGGACGGCGAACCAGCTTGTGTATGTCTCGGTCCTATATATGCACGTCCTGGGTTAGCGAAATGTTGCATCCGGGCATGTACGATCAAAGAAACAAGGGCCGGCACTTACATCATCGGGTCAGCCTCCATGATCGCATCGTAGTAAAGCCCGTACGCGAGAATCCCGCCCGCAAAAGCACCGAGAACCTGCACGACAACGTACGCAACGCAGCGCTTCCAGGGAAACCCACGGTACACCGTGAGTGAGATTGAAATAGCCGGGTTCATATGGGCGCCCGAGACACCACCACCCATATAAATACCAAACATGAACGCGAGCCCCCACGCCCAGCAGAGCGTCTCGTACGTCCCGTACTGGGAGGCCTGGTTCTTCGACAGGTTGACGCTAAGCGTGCCCGCAACACCCAGGAACACAGACATGGCCGTGCAGAGGAACTCGGCCAGCAGCTCCGGGTACTTCGCGCGGAACCGCGCCCACCAGTTGCGCATCGAGTTGGGGTCCGTCCGGCCGTCCTCGACCGCGTCCTTCTCCCGCTGCCCGCCGTGGTTGTCCGCGTCGATCTGGAACTTCTTGGCCGTCTCAGTGCCCTCCGCCTGGTCGTCCTGTTGCTTTTGCCGCGACGTCTGCGGCCGCGGCTCCTGGAGAGTGTCGTCCGAGTCCGCGGCCTTTTCTTTGGTTGGTCTCTTGCGAAGGCCCTGCTCCACGTCCTCGTCGTTGTTCTTGGACGATTTTGGTCTGCGCACAGTATGGGGCAACGGTTCGCCGAGACTGAACACAGGTTTGTCTCTCTCCTGGGAAATTAAGAGCGGTTAGAAAAGAAATACAAAACCACCATGGGGTTGGCAATCTAGAGTGGTGAAATGTTGTTATGCGGAGGGGAATCCGGGACAGGTGAGCACATGAGGATGATTTTGGGGAAGCACATACCTGATCACGCCCGGGGGTCCTTTCACTGCTGTCTTCACCGACGTGTGGCAGGGTATCACCGAGACTGAAATTCGGCCTGCTTCTCTCTTGATCATACCACGGGTTCTGGTCGCGATAGTCCGAAGAAGTCAGCTGCCCCTTAGGCTTGGACCTCTGCTTGGCAAACTCAGACACGAGCTGCTCCAGGTTCACCATGCCCTCGTCGTCCAGCTGTGCCACCACGCGTGATATCTTATCCGAGGTCTTTGGGTCTTCGTGCATCCTCCCTAGGGTATACGATGCGGACGTGGAAGGACGACTAGCCATCGCCGGGCGGCGCTTGGTTCTGTCTGAGCTGCCTTCCGCTGATTGACCTGTGCGGCGCGTGCTGTTGGAAGCTACGTCTTGCTTCGAACGCTGGAAGTAGTCGTCCTGTTCGACGGGCGGTTCACTCAACTCGTCTGTGTCATCATTCTTCTCGAGGTGGCTTGTCTGTCTTCGCTCTGGGTCGTGCGGCCCATCACGGCGACCGCCGTGAGGCTCTTGAGCTTCTTCTGCAGACATGATTGACGTTCGCCCTCCCTAAAAGGATTGTCAATGATTACTTCTTGGGGAAAGAATGAGCAGGGAAAGCGGATTCAAATTACCTAGAGTAGTTTCAACGAAAACGGACACCAAGTGAGCAGGCTTTGTATGGTGCTGGGTGTGTCAACCAGAGGGTTGTTGAAATCACTGGACTCAGATGGCGAGATCTTCAAAATTATTGTGATGCAGTAATTGTGGCTCCGTACAATTCTAGGCATTGATATACCTCAACAATCCGATCAAGTTGCGGCAAGACCACATGGACAGCTTGAGGGGCTGAGGCTTTCCATATCATCCGGCGAGTGACTCTTTCGCTTTTATCGAGCAGACGACACCAGGCGACAGTTGTCCCATGGTGGCAGCGCAGTGCCTCCTGACGTAATTGAAGCCCCTAAAGCTGTAGCATTGCTGCGAGTCCAAGGCCTCGAGGGTCAAGTTTTACGCCAGACTGGACCCATCCGGAGATCTTTCTCCGTCATGATGAAGACGCATTCGCGCCCGACCGGATGGCTCCACATTACAAGCTTCGCGATATCTGAAGTGCCGCAAGCATGCCTCAACAGAGAAAAATCAGGAGTTTCAAGGCTGGAAACTTCCGAAGGTCGAGGCCCCGAAGGAAATTTTGTTGCCACCCGGAATTTCAATGGAAGACATGGGAGGAAGTAATGCTCCTGTCAAGGGTGTCGATCATTGAGGCTTATAGAGTGAGAGTCAGGGGGGCTGAGAGTTCATCCACGCGGCCCAACTACGAACGTCCCACTGTATCAAGTGGGTCTTGGGACAGAATCGTCCGCCTTGGGAGCGGCGAATTCATATGAACAAAATTGAAATCAAAAATGTGTTAGGGAAAGGTGAATTAAGGGGGGCGGGGTGAAAAATAAACGAAAAGAAAATTTTCAAAACGTCGTGCTGTCTGTTGAAATGTCAGAGCTGTGGTGTGTCGTCATGTTCTCACGGAATTCGCCGCCGGGGAACTCGCATGAGGGCGATACCAACTGGGCGCCCCACCAACAGAATTACCAAAACAGCAGGGCCCTGGTAGAGGATTTTCATAAGCAGTCGATCCTGTTAGTGTTTGCACGATGTGCTGGCCGTACAGGCAAAGAACTGATGCCAGTTGTCTCTGCAGTCTATCCGCACGTGTCGTGAGACCATATTAGTGACAGAAGTAAGCTTTGCAGACAAGGGGATGTAGCAGCTTTCACGCTGCAAGTGATTTGATGTATCATTTATGACCCATGTGAGACGGCTATCCTTCTATCCACAGTACCCGAACTTTGGACTGGCACTGACCAGATCGAAAATTCAGGACGTAGTTCCGAGAAGACGGTGACACTCAAATCGTGGGCTTCGCCATGGGCGCGATGATTCCTTGCTTCACGATGACCCTCGGCTTTGTCGACGCCTGGAATGACTCCTTCGTCATCCATTCGGGTCCAACAGGGAGGCGGAGAGACCGCTCGTACTGCTGCCTGGACTCGAAAGGGTGAGGGAGCTGGGAGGCGAGGAATTTCTCGTTCTGGATGAAAAGCAGGGTTAGCGACCACGTTCTTGGTTTCGGCATCAACAATAGCAGGACGGAATGACCAGGCTTACCTTGCGATTCCTCTTCTCATTGATAATGACTCGCTCCAGCTTTGCGTCCTTCCTGTCCTTCCTCTTGATGCCTTCTTTCTTGGTCATCACCTTGCCCTTATTGCGCTTCAAGGCCCGTTTGCTGATACCCTCGCCGGCCCAGCTGCCCCAGCCCGGCATCATGTTGTCGACTATCTTCTCGTCGTCCTCTGACATGATGGCTTCTTTCTCTGCTTCGAACTCAGCCACGACTTCATCGCCCGCAAAAGCGTGGTTGGCAAGGTCAAGATCCCGGACCGCAAGGGGATGGTGAATCTCATCGTCTGAAGAGTCGTCCCCGGCTTGCAAAGTGGACGAGAGGCCCTCAATTGCTCCTTTGGATGCCGTCTTGGTCTTGGTCTTGAAAGATTTTGGTGGCTGGCTGGCCAGTGTAGCGTCATGTAGCTCCAAATCATCCTCACGCCTGTCACCTGGAACTTTCTTCTTCTTCCTTTCAACAACAGCTGATTTCCCGCGTGACCATGCACCTGCTCCGCTCGGGGCTGATGACGCATCGTTGATGTCTGTCGCAGACGAGGTGTGCATGTTGTTGTTCGAGAGTCCGCCCTTCGAGGTCTTCTCCTTTGCACTGTTGGCAACCGAGAGCTTTACTTCTCGCAGCAGGCGCTTCTTCTGTTCTGGGAGGCCGTAAGATCGTCGTCCAACCTGGACCTCAGCGTCGTCTTCGTCCTCTTGCTCGGATCCAGATTCAAGATCACGACGGATTTCCGCTACGAGCCCATCATTTTCCTGTTTGCGTGCCGCCTCGGCCCTTTGCATGAACTTCAGCTTCATGAGATTGGCATGTGGACCGTCCTCTTCGTCCTCGTCATCTCCATCGAGCTCCTTGAGCAGTCTGGAGTTCCCGTCCTCATCCCCCGATGAAGATGTCGCATCCGAGTCACCTTCTTCACCTTCACTCCCACCAGTCCTCCCTTCGACCCTCCTTCTCAGCTCCTCATCTCTCCTGGTCATATCGGTAAGACCCGCCCGGTAATCGTCATCCCACGCAGCGCGACCGACTTTGGACCCCATCTTAGCCCATTTGCTGTCTTTGTGCTTTGCGCCCACTCTCTCCAGAGCACGCCGCCGGGCGGCAGCCTCGCGCTCGTCCTCAGAATCAATCTCCCCGGTGGCCTTCATATCCTCATGCAGTTTGGCTTCTTCGCCCAGTCGCTCTTTGCGGTGAACTCTGCGGTATGTCTTGGACTTGATCTTCTTGATGCGCTTTGCGCGCTTCTGCTCGCGAGACTGTACTTCACGTTCCTTGCGGCGCTGAGCCCAGAGATCTTTCAGCTCAGAGCGAGAGATGGTCTGCTCCTCGTCATTGGCATCAGCCTTCTTTTCCTGTTCCTTCTGTGACCGAGAAGCAGGCCCGAGACCGGACTCCTCCATAATAGACATAATTGCTTGCTCCAACTCCGTGCCAGCGGTCTTCTTGGTTAAGGGAAGAAGTTCGCCATTGTCAAGGCCAGCATCGGTAAGAGTGTCCGGAAGTGGGAACATGAGGTGATCCGCGCGGCGATTCTGCTTGACTGTGTCGTTCCACCTGTCTAGCGTCTTGTTCGTTTGCTCGTACGCCGCAATTCGGTCTAGCTGGTCTTGTCGTCGCCTGGCGAGTGGTACATCAAGCCTCTTGGATGTGCCCTTCTTGCCCGCCTCAACTCTTTCCTCCTTTCTCATCTGTTTTAACTTCTTCTTCATGAGAGGGTCCCTGACGTCCGACAACCCAAGGCCTTGTATGAGGCTCGCGTCTTTTGAGCGCGGCCCACTGTTTGCTTCTGTGTCCTTTTCGTCCGGATCCGCATAGCGTTTGAGCAGTTGATCAAGTTCGGCCCGCTTGGCCGGAACTACTTCATCGTCAGACTCGTCGGAATCGCTATCCTCGTCGTCGACATCGGTCTCTGAGTCCGAGTCCTCTTCGTCCGACCCAGACTCGGTATCTCCCTGGGAGCCTTCATCGTCCTCATCTGAGGACTGCATCAGCGCATCGGCGAGGTCGATAGCATCCGAGCCCAGCGATTCACCGTCATCGCCGCCATCATCCTCTTCACCATCTTCATCACCAGGGCTCTCATCTCTTTTCTTCTTTTTCTGCGTTTGACCGCCTCCGAAAGCGTAGCCGTCGAATTTCTCGTCGTCACTTTCTCCAAAGGCCTCGTCACTCTCAATCTCCGAGTCGTCATCGTCGGAGTTGACACCAACGTGCCACTCGTGCCCCTCGCTATCACTGCCGCCATCCACTTCCTCGCCATCGCTTTCGCTTTGATCGTCATCATCGGCAGCGTCTTGTCGTGGGCGCTTCTTGCGGGGACCCTCGTCCTCGTCCTCATCATCTTCTTCGTCGTCTTCGTCATCCTCGTCCCGACGGTGCTTGCCGCCCCCGGCTTTTCTCTCGGGGTCGAGCTCAAGGTCTCTGCCGCGCCTTGTCATGCGGTCCGGCTGGACTTGTTTTCCAGCGATGGCGAAGGCATCGAGTGCGTGGGCCCGGGCTTTCGTTTTGGACTTCTGGTTGGGTCGCTTCGAGGCTTTGGGTTGCGAGTTACCCAGAAGGCTTCGACCATGGGATTGACGTCCTGGCATTTTCGATTTGGTCGTCCCCAAAATAATAAGCAGCGAAACAGAACAAAACTTGCGAAAGGCGGGCGAGTTATCCAAAAATTTAGAGTGGGAGGCTTATCGATAACAGGCAGTACACGTTGGCGGCAGGCAATTAGCGCCGAGATCCCGCTGGAAAATCAACCTCGCATCCAACTTCACCCGTCGATATTCCCCCCCCCCCCGAAGAATCGATGCGCCAAAGGATGACAACGCTGCCCAAACATTGATTTATTTCGGTTCTGCGGTCCGTCGCATTCGTATAACTTCCGAACTGGGTTGGCTGCCGAAGACCCTGCCATAGAGCCAGTTAAACCACCAAGGGCCAACCGGGCCACGGCGACCATCCAAACAGATAGCAACCATGTTCAGGCCAACACAAGCCCTCGGCAAGAAGTTCCGCAAGCTGCGGCTGACGACGAAGGACATCAACAAGGGCTTCTACAAGGGAAACCGTACAGGAAACATGGGATCGCACGACAAATGGGGTGGCTTCACGGTCGAATTCGCGAAAGTGCGGACATACGCCGTGCCCGCAGGGCTGGATACATTCAAGGTTCGTGGTCTTGTCTCGTTTGCCTGAGTGATGATGCCGAACTCGTGTGCTGACCACCTGCGTAGCTCACACCCTTCGTCACCGAGAATGTGAGGGCAAAGTCGGGCATGGAGAGCTACCGAGAATACGGCATGGAGGGCCCGAGGAGTCCGAAGCTGTACCTGGACAGGTGGAAGGCGGAGAACGGGCTTGACTGAAGACTTGGAAGGCCGAAAGGAATATTCAAATAAACTTAAGAGGCATCGAGCCGTATTGTACGATACCCGGAATATATAGCGAGAACAACTTCAGCGGGGCCTACCGAATCTCATCTGGAACCGTGTGAGCTGGCTATTTGTTGATGCCGAGTATTGTACCACAGAGTAGATGCGCCCCGTTATGGATCTTCCATGTCACACGATTATGGGGCTCACAGCGTCTACGCGACCACGGAGACCTGGATGCTGGGTTGGTAGCGGTAGCACAACTTGTCAGTTTGGCGAACCTGATGATAGAATATTACATGTCACTGGAAGACCTTATTCAAAGAAAATAGGATCCAAATTCCATCTATTGCATCGAGGTCATAACGTCGTCATCCTTCAAATGTTGAACAGCGGTATAGCCCGCTCAAACTTCAATCCGAGTCCAATCTACCGGCTCCAACCAAGCGGCCAAGAAGAATTACATGACAGCTACGCTGCACCAGAAAGCTCCTACCAAAAGTGCCATGATGATACTGTCTAAAACGAGTGACAGACCTTGCGCCTGTGCGTGGAAACCTTCATTGCGATGACATCAAAGGTCAGGGAATGTCGTCCGCGGTGAACAGGAATAACTCGAGGCCAGACCTCACGGTGTGTCGAATACAGAAAGTAAAGCGCCGCAAGTATGAAAGGAAACCAAAATGAGAAAATGTTCTAGGCAGTCATGGCAAAGTGTGCTCTACGATGGAGATCGGTGAGCAACCATACAGGAGAATGCCCCAAACGGCTTCAAATCCAGTACATGGTATTTTCAAGATTCCCATGAACTTTCTTTGCCAAAATTTCATTTTTCTCGTTCTCTGAGAGCCCCGGTCTGGAAGCAAGTCTTGCGAGGCCCGACGCGTGGAGGCGAGCCCTCGTGCAGACAATGTCAGCGTACCGCGCAGGCGTGCAGATGCTGATTGCCTTGGTCGCCCGGCCAAATACGTAGCAGAGATGGTGGGTGATTGCCTCCAAGTCATCAACAGCCTTCTTCCCAGCTTCGAGGACATCCTTCGGTGACGCCTTTTCCGGGAGGTCCTTCAGATGCCAGTTGGCAAAGATTTCATCGTGGAGGACGACGTAATGGGCCGGGCGGGCAGTCCCTTTCAGTGCACAGTGGGCGGTGAGATAGAAGTCCCAGTAGCGTGCCTGCGTCACGCCGCGGTCAACCACGGTTCCGCTCTTGATGTTCTTTGACGTGAAATTCTTGTGGGAAGGGTCCAGGTACGTCGAGCTGTCCATTTCCTCTGCCCTCGTAGGGAAAAATCGAGCTGCGTGCCTCTTGACCGACACCACGATGGTGATCTTGGGCTTAGCAACTTCATCTCCGTATACACTCTGACAAGCATTGCGTATTAGAGGCAGTTCTCTTTCTAGGACCTGCAGATACTGTCCTTCTGAGACACCATCTCGGTAAATCAGGATCGTCTCCGGTAATTTTTTGTTGTTCTTGTACAGTTTCAACCGACTTTCAAACTTTGCGGTCAGTTCTTCACCGAGGATCTCCTGCCTTCCCGGCTGAGTCCAATAGCAGGCTCTCCACTGTCCAGAGTGGTCATCGATGCTAGACACCAGACCAACTTGACTATTCGTTTCTTCCTCGTTTCCAGCTTGGCCGGTTGGATGAACCACATCGTAGCCAACGAACATGGTCTTGCGTGCGACGCAGTGTCCGAACACGGGTTGGATAGCATGATTGACCCCACCAAGCTTCAAGTTGATTTTGGCGGCGAGGTTGGCGTCTCCATTCGGCCCTGCGAACTGATCCGCTAGGAAATTTTTCTTCGTGACACAGACAGTGTGGAAGCCGAGCTCGATGTCTCCAACAACTTTGACGGCCGTGTAGATGTCTGCCCCGTTATCGGGAAGTATGACGAGGGCGAAGTCCAGCCTGCTCAATGTTCTGAGTTTTGTCTCTATTCTCTCTTTCAAAACTTCCATGCTGTCTGCTTGCTGGTACGGGATGATGACACTAGAGGGATCCACGGTCCCATTTCGCATGGACACACGCAAGCCAGTAATGTACCTTTGAAAAACCGCTACACGATTTTCGATGCGCTGAAGGTCTTCAGGTTCTTCAGGTTCGGGAGAGAACGCAATCCAAGCCCATCGGTTAATTGGTTTGCCGCATCCATAAAACCCTATTCCCTGGTCGTATCTGTCTCTCATGGTCCAGCCAGCTCTGTCGACCGCGACTTGCATGATTTTGGGTTCGCTTTCTCCTTTGGCTGACCGGTAAGTGACTTGAGGCGGTTCCAATTGTCGACCTCTGACGGTGATGAGTTCAGGCTCGACGGTCAGACCGAAACTTCTGAGCAAGCTGTTCGAAGGAGTATGCTTGAGAACAGCGGTCAAGCCTGTGCCGAGGATCAAATCCGCGTTCTCAGGAGGAGCTTTGACGGAGAACTTAATCATTTCGCTAGTTGTTTGCTCGTCCAGCTTGTACTTGATACGATCAAAACCAACGAGCTGACACAACTCGGCGGGAACGTAGACTGGATCCGTGGGCGTTCCAACATTGACAAGAGGAAGATGCGTTTGTGGTCGGTACTTGTACTCTGCGAGAACCAGTCAGTTCTGATCGTGCCGTCAAGGCAAAGCCTGTGAGGTTACGAGGGAGTGAAAACGTAGTTGCTGAGCGAGGGTAGACTTACTTATCCAATAATAATTGGACACTGTGTAGCGCTTGCCCCATTCAAGCCCTGGGGCAGGTCTGACGGCGGTGCCATCTGACTGCTTGGGAGGCTCTCCCAAAAGAAACTCGACTTTGTCCGCGTACCCAAACTCTTCGCCAGGTGGAAACTTGATTTTCTGCTTCTGTTTGTTGGATGTGTCCGTGCTGCGAGCAAGGCCGGCTGCCGTCACCTCCTTCCAACATGGCTTCGCCTTCTTTGTAGATAGAATTTGATAGTTTACCCTCGCCTTAGAAACAATCTTCTGGAGACTCTGCAGTTTTTTAGGGCCACTGCCGCGAAGTTTAGTAAACAGCTCAGGTATTTTGTAATCACGCCTAAAGATGCCATGTGTTACATTGACATTGAGAAGGAGTCGACCTGTGGCAGGTCGGACACTTTGAATGAACCCTTTGATGACCTGCAGAGCCCCCGCATCAACGATTCCTTTTCTCAGAGACGGCTCCTCTCTGCTGAAGAATCTGGAGCTTCCAACAGCAACAATATCCTGAGACTCACGCGGAGCATGACCCATGATGGTATTGATGGCACTGATGGTATCTTGGTGAAAGGGAAAGGCATCGAGCTTGATCGTGGTCGCAAGGCTTGCGGATGGAGTCTGGTTGTCGAGAAGGGACATAAATTCCTCGACTCTGAGGACTTGCGGCTCAGAGACCGTGATCTTGTATTGACGAGAGCGGTAATTGAGGTGTTCCGGTAGTGAGTTCAGATAACCCAAGGTCACAATCTTCTGCTTGAAGTCTGTAGCAAGTTCTCCTGATACGTTGTCCCTCCGTACTTGGTCAAAGATTTGCTTGAAGATATCCATTGCTTTGCGACCAGTAACTCTGCCATCGTCTTTGCTGTCCTCGGAAATGTTCTTGTGCTTGGTCGCTTTTTCATCGTTCTTCTTGTCTCCAGAAGTTTCCTTGGGATCGGTCGCTCTGCCACTGTTTTTGTTGTCCTCTGGAATTTTCTTTGGATCGTAGATGACAATGTCATACTGGTAGAGTGTTTCAGACTGTTCGAATTTCAAATGGAAGTAATTGGCCCAAAGAACAACCTCCGTACCATTGCTTCCAAAGTTTGGGCGGTGAGAAAGCATCGTGCCCCTGAGGTCCTTGTCAAGATCTTGTCCTTTCGCGCCGTAGTACTCAAGGTATTGCTTTTCGACGCTGTCAACATGCTCACTAGGAAGCGGAAAATTCCCGTCTCTGTGAGTGATTAGTCAAGTCTCTTCAGCCATAGGGTGAAGGTTTGATAATCACCCATATACGGCTTGGGTGGTTGCCGTCGCTTCGCTGCTGTGGCCCTGGTCTCGGTAGAAATTACCACCGCCCCGGCCTCGACCCCGTTGTCCAATGGGCCCAGATGATGGAAATCCTCCTCTACCTCTTCCGCCTCCCCGCTGTGAACCGGACATGTTTGTGGTGAATCAGAGCCTAGCACAGATAGTTGCTCAATACTTGGAAGGTACCTTGTAAGATTGAGTGAGATTAGTTCACGAAGGATCGCCTTAACTTCAAATTCAATCCGCCAGGGCAACAGTCACTCTGTCGATCTGACTACAGGCAGACACGAATGGGATCTTGACGATGACACGGTCCAAAAATGGACTCAGGGCGGGGAGATGTTATGTCTATTTATACAAGACACCTGTGGTAAGGTCTGATGAGATCAGCCTCAGCCAAACAATGAGTCTGCGCACACTCATCACTCCAAGACGTTTTCGTCGTAATTTGTGCCAAGCAACATCAATGAGGCAGCATTGGCTTGCCTGTCGCAAGCAAGAGATGTGCGGCTTGCGACGTGACGGCAGACTGGGCCATCCAAGAGCAAGACCATAAGGACCACAACACGAATCTATAATCGCGAACATCAGCTGCCTCCGTGACTAACATAGTAGCAGACAAGGCTTGACAGTAGCAGCGAATGCTTATTCGCCACATCTTGTTGCCACAAGAGACGATCCTCAGAACCCGTTGGTGGCCAAACACCTACGACGTGACTTCATGACTGCATAGGAGAGAATGAGTACAACCTGAAATTGTTGGAAACTTTTCCTGACACAGACTTGCTTTCAGCATCCTTTTCGTCTTTTTTGGTCACCAATCGATGCAGCCAAGCCTATCAAAAGCTCCGTGTGGCTCACCCCATGGTATGCAGCCCTGGCAAGTGGGACAAGGTTGAGATGGTTGCACCGCTGCACTACCTGCATCAGGCAGCTCGGCAGCTCGGGTGTGCCATCCTTACGCCATACACGACGGAATTGGAGACCTTATCTGGAACAAGCCGTGGCATGGCATACGAAACCAAACGGGACTCCTTCAACCCGGCTTTCCTCATTAGGAGGGCTTACACCTGTCCCATGGTCGGTAATTCGTCCTCCTGTGCCAAACGCCGTGCATCTGACCGCTTGCGCGTGCCCGTCCCCGCAAGGCAACCAACGCAGGCCAGGAACGTGCCTGCAGGAGTGATATCATCGGGACCGGGCCGCCAGTCTCTACGGCCCGGGGGCCTAAGGAGCGGTCTCAACGGTCTCGGCAGGGATCCCGATGGAACGAGGTGCCAAAGACGGGGGACCAGCCATCTGAAGCGACGAAGCTGATTTTCACTGGCTTGCTGGCGTGACTCCTTCGATGTGGCTTCGCGTGTGGCTCGAATGTGTCCGTGGTGATATCATTGGTGTCGAAGCCACGGTTCTCACAGAGTCTTCGGAGCATTTGCTCCTTCGTAAGGCAGACTCCAGTTTTGCTTCGGGGGCGACTGATGCAATCACCCAATTCAGGGTCGTGGGGAAAACGATGTGCATGCAGATCTTCTGAAGATATCGGCGATGACAGAAGAGATACTGTTGTTGTACTCAGATTGTTTCAATGCGGCTCAAAAACCCTGCTTGAGTGATATCATCCAAGATGGACCTTGCGTAGACTACAATTGCGTAGGTCGCCTGGGGTCTCCGGCCCGGGGAGCTGGGGGCGTGGTCGCGGAGCACTCTGACTGGGCCTTATGGCAGGTTGATGTAACCCACAGGCCGAAGTGATGGCATGTGGGGTGCGTGTCGAGCGCTGATCGATTTCTGACAGGTGCACTTCTGCGTGTGGGAAGCTGGGTCAGCCAGGGATGTGCGCAGGATCAAGTCGATGGCGATGTTTGTGATTGCGAAGGAGCCTGAGAGCGAGGTGTGGCGGCGAGTGGCGTCAGTGGGCCCCAGGATTGTTTCTAGAATGAAGTCACTGGGTCAGTAAAGGTCCTGGTGTGGCTGTGAGGGATCTTCGGGGCCCCAAGATCTTCAAAAGAGCAAAGGACTGGAGTCTCCGGAGTCGTGGCCGGGGCCCGGCACATTGTGTGAGGACTGCGAGCGACTGTGTGGAGTTGCCTTTGTCAGCCTCTCGAAACAGCCCGAGACCCTCCTGAGATCGTGAGTTGCATGCAGCCGGACGGTCCAGACGGTTCGCAGGCGGAAACACCACTCCGTCCAGCGTCGTGATGGGGAGTGGGGAAACATCGTGGGCTCATCTTCCCCTTACTGTAGTTGCAGGTCCATTGCTCACAAATCTCGCGAGGCGCCGGTCGTCATGTAAGGCCAACAACAGTCGCAAAGTTGAGTCCACCGACCGACTGCGGCATTGAGTGGCCAATCCAGAAATTGGTTGCGAGAGACTGTGCAGGTGACTGACAACTTGAGAGCTTGTCCGAGGCGGCCGTGACTCTTCTTCCCTTATCGCAGTCGTGCATGACCCCGGCGAGAGACGTGGTCTGGGTGACAGAGATGCGCCGCCGGCTGGGTGCGGCAAGTGTTCCAATAAAAAAGCGCCTGCGTCGAATCGGAGATAAGCGTGATTGGGCCTCGAGGACAATTTTGATTTCGGCTCCCCTGGTTCCGCCACGGTACAACTGTCTGTGCAGACCGAGGATCCGGGGCCACTGCGCGTCGCCAAGCAGAAACTCAGTGTTGGTCCATCTGGAGTGCATGAGTTTCGGCCACGATGTTAGATGCACACTCCGTTTGGTGATGTGGGCCTTGGTCCGCTGGGCGAGAGAGGCCAAAGGGCGCGGGGGAGCCGGATGGGAGATTTGGATCGAGGGGCGGCGGGTGTGGGCGATTATATCTTGGACTTCCAATAATAAACCCACAGCCCCCTTTCCCTTGGGTTCCTAGACGAGAAGGCCCGTATCGACGGTCGTGAGAAACGGAACAGCCAGGAGGGGGAGGTCAATTCCGCATGGACGTTGGACGGGTGCTGTCCACCTCGTGTTGGAACTTGACGCGAATACTGTATCCGGAGGTCACGATGGATGCATCTCGCCCCCCCTTCCGGTCACGGCCCTGTCGGGTCGCAGGGCGAAGTTCGACCTATGGCCGCCCCGCCCTGCACGACTCGCTTGGCCTTCCTGAATCTTGTGCTCTTGGCCCAACAAAGCTGTTGTCTGCTTGACTTGAGGGGAGGGGCATTCTCGAGTGTTTCTTGTCTGTTTGACTCCACGATGTAGCTGCCATGCAGGTGAGAGGACGAATCTGGTAATCCGGAGATGTCGGTATGGCCCAGGGATACTGGGAGTAAGCAATCACGCCTTCCGGGCCTGGATCGAAGCGCAACCCAATCTGATGCGTTGTAACCCAGAGCGTCGCAACGCTCGCGAGGCTGGCTGGCTTGGTGAAAGTTGGCTTTTCTTCCAATCTGTTGCACCCCAAGCACTCGGCCTGCCCGCTGGAAAGTCAGAACGCAGGCGGGATGCGTGAGGCATTATATATCCGGGCAGGAATGTCTTCATCCATAGCATCACCATGCCGGCGGCCTGGCCTGGCCTGGCGTGGGCACGCGACACACCGTCCAACGGCCGTCAGATTGCCGTTCCCCCAGAGATCGAGCCATCGCCGATACGAGGGGGGAACAGCTGGATGCTCAGACCAGATGCCCAGATTGCCCAGATGCCGAGACAGATGGGTTGGGTTCTCCAAGATTCTGCCCCGATGAGGCACTCACTGGCAGATTCTGAGGGCACGGAGGGCACGCCAGCCCGGGATAGGAACAGCTGTCGTGCCCCACCCTGGCAGAAAGGCAGAAAGTTTGACGAGGGCTTGGTATGCGGGGGATTCTAGGCGGTTCCCTGAAGGCCGCTCCCGATGATTGAACTTTGTTTGGCGGGAAGCAGTGGCAGGTGAGCGAGTGGAGGTGCTCACCTGGCTGACAGGTAATTTCGGCTGGCCCCACTCCCCCATCTCGCCCTCTTCTCGATGGTCCGCGAGCGCAGCCGGACCAGCCAGAACCCAGAGAGCCAGGACAGCCAGAGCCCAGGAGGATGGAAAGGGATGGGGCAAGCGGCAGCAGTTCTGTGTGTGTGCGGTGTGTGGCGGCAGGGTCGAGGGTGGGTTCGCTGCTGCGGGCGAGGTGGACAGAGCCTAGAATCTTCGCCGTGCCGAGGACTGTGCGTCCGTCGAGAAGAAAATAGCCTGCCCCTCATTAATCCCACGAATGGGCGGCTCGTACTGGCGGGCTCTTTGCACCCCTGTGGCTGCCCCACACGCCTGCGCGAACGAGCGACCCTCGGGCGCGACACTGGCACATGGATTAGCTCTGGGGCCCCTGCGACGGCCTGCAGAGACCTGCGAGGACCTGCGCAGCGTTACAGAGCCGTGACGTTCCAACCGTCCCAAACCGATCGTCGCCTTACTGACGTTCCTGCCATCGGCCTCTTCTCACCCTCCCCAACCCCAGACTGACAGACGGACGGAGAACACAGCCAGCGTAGCCAGCGAGCCCAACCAGTCCGTACCCAAACGCCCAGAACTCTGACTACTGGACCGGATTACCCTTCTGGGATTCTTGGCCTGTCCCTCGCACCCGAGGCACTTCAACTCAAATACCCTCCCATCCTCCTCCCTTGGATCACTTTCCGATTCTGTTCAGCATGTTAACCATCCCTCTCTACTCTTGCTTTCACATCTTTCACAAAGACCCAAGACACTTGACCAGATTCTTTGTGGAAGCCATCAGATCTCACCATCAACAACTCTCACAACAATACCATTTGCCTTGCTAGGCCAAAGGGCTGCTTGCCAAACAACCAAACCTCGTGCCGTGCCCGTACCATAACTACTACCCCCACGCACGCAGCCCCCAACTCCTGCCCCAACGGGCCAGACCTCCTGCTTGGTACAACCAAGCCACATTCCTCGTCACAAGACCGAGCCTTAGCCTGAGACTTGGCTCCAGCCGCTCTGCGCCGTCGCCCAAGATGCTTACCACCGCCGTAAAACAAGCAAACCGCAATGTCGTGCGTCGCGACTCCAAGAGACTGCGCTTCGGCCACGAAGTAGGCACAATCAGTCTCGAGGGCACCCCCATCGACGAGAAGGCCGATGCCATCTCCGTTGAATACATCGAGTGCCGCTCAGCGCCAGCCACCCCAGTTGGCAGACAACCAGGCTCCATGCATGATGACTTCCTCCCCAAGGGGATCAACTCGACGGAAATGGAGAAGGATGAGCAATGGTTCGTCGGCGCTGTTGACCAGGGCACCACCTCCTCAAGGTTCCTCATCTTCAACGAGAAGGGTGAGCCTGTCGCCAACCACCAGATCGAGTTCGACAACCTGTACCCCCAGTCAGGGTAAGTTCCTGTCCCTGCTCCTGCTCCTGAATCATCCGCATCATCAGGGTTCTGACAATAATCCCATAGATGGCACGAGCACGACCCCATTGAGCTCCTCACCTCCGTTGAGGCGTGCATAGAGGGTGCCATGAAGCAGTTCACCGAGAAGGGTCACACTGCCAAAGAGATCCGCTCAATAGGTATCACCAACCAGCGTGAGACAACTGTCGTCTGGGACAAGACCACCGGCGAGCCTCTCCACAACGCCATCGTCTGGCCAGACACCAGGACCACGAACCTTGTTCGAGAGCTCAAGGGTCGGCCTGGCGCTGATGACCTGCCCGAGATGTGCGGCCTGCCTCTGAGCACCTACCCTTCCAGCGTCAAGCTGATGTGGCTCATCCAAAACGTCCCTGCTGTGAAGGAGGCGTACGACGAGAGCCGCTTGGCTTTCGGAACCGTCGACTCCTGGCTCATCTACAGGCTGAACGGCGGTGCTGACGCCGAGAAGCCAGTCCATGTTACGGACAGCACCAACGCCTCCCGCACTATGTTCATGAACCTGCGCACAATGAAGTATGATGATAAGACACTTGACTTCTTCGGTATCGACCCCACCAAGTGCGCTCTCCCCGAGATTGTGCCCTCATCAGACGACAAGGCCTTTGGCAAGCTCGCCAGGGGCCCCCTGGCTGGCGTCTCCATCGCCGGCTGCCTGGGTGACCAGTCCAGCGCCCTGGTCGGACAGTGTGGGTTCCAGCCTGGACAGGCCAAGAACACCTACGGTACCGGCTGCTTCCTCCTTTACAACGTCGGCACTGAGCCCGTAATCTCCAAACACGGTCTGATGGCGACGGTCGCATATGACTTCGGAAAGGGCCACCCACCAGTGTACGCCCTGGAGGGTAGTGTCGCCGTCGCCGGCGCTGGTGTCAAGTATCTCATCAACAACATGGGCTTCTTCGAGAAGTCGGACGAGATCGAGGAGGTCGCCGCCAGCGTTGATGACAACGGTGGTGTCGTCTTCGTCACTGCCTTCAGTGGTCTGTTCGCGCCCTACTGGATCGACGATGCCAAGGGAACCATCTTCGGCATGACACAACACACCAAGAAGGGCCACATCGCCCGCGCCACACTCGAGGCCACCTGCTACCAGAACCAGGCCATCCTCCAGGCCATGGAGAAGGACAGCGGCAAGAAGCTCCAGGTCATCTCCGTCGACGGTGGTCTGTCCAACTCGGACCTGTGCATGCAGACACAGGCGGACATCAGCGGCATCCCCGTTGACAGGCCCGCCATGCGGGAGACCACAGCTCTCGGTGCTGCCATCGCCGCCGGCCTCGCCACTGGCGTGTGGGCGGAGCTGGAGGACCTGAGCGAAATCAACCAGAAGGGCAGAGTACAATTCGAGCCCAAGATCGGCGAGGAGAAGAGGACCAAGATGTTCAAGAAGTGGGAGCAGGCCGTGGAGATGAGCCGTGGATGGGTCACGGACAGCTGCGAATGAGCTGGCTGCCCCTCCAACCGGCAGCGCCGGGTGGTGCCTTGAGCATCTTCTGATATAATTAATGTCTTCTGTGCTTGATTGACTTGGGCTGGGAATGAGCGTGTTTGATTTATTGAATGGCTATACCAGGGACACGATGGTGTTTTGACGGATTTTGGAGTTTCAGGGAGGGATGGGAAATACCAACATACTCGCTGCGATAGCATAGCTGAGACACCTTCGGGGATTGAACAACTTCTATATACTTCTACCAAACACAACCGTTTTCCCCTCGCCTAAGTGAACACACACACCTCATAGCCAATTCCACCAATGATCCACTGGGTGGTTGGAGAGGGCCGCATGATGAGGCGCCTAGAGCTCCAGAGTGGTGCGGTGCTTTGGGGTAGCGAGAGGAGGGTGGTACGATTTGGTGGCCGCCCCCTGCCCCTTTACGGCGTGCCACGTACTTCAGTAGGGGATTGGAGCAGCCCAGCCCTTCTGGAACACGCTGGAAACCCTTTAAAGGGATGGCCCAAACCTAGATGGTTATTACCTGCATTGGACGGAACAATGCCGCTGCATCTCTCAGATGCCCGGACACCCTCCCATCCCATGTCTTGACTCGAGCGCGGGCGGCTCACGCCCGGATGGAAAGTCGAGCGAGAAGGGATGGATTGTGATTTACAAGGCGTTCACATGTGTGATTCAGTGGGCTCCCCTCCACCCCAACCAAGTAGGATTCCGAGTTTCCCGTTGTGCACGAGTGGTTCCGATATGTAAATTGACGTCTATTCAAGTGAGACCTAAATCAATGGTATCCCCAGCTGGCACTGTTGCCAGGATGCTGTATCTAGTACGAGCACATAGAGCGCTGTAGATCTTACTGCGTCGAAAGATGGTATCAAATAAAATAGAACAATGCAAAGCAAAATGGCAAATATGTGAAGACATGCTGCCACCACGTTAAAGACAGGTGGCTTGAGGTGGCAACGGCAGATACACCAAACGAGTGAGATGGCCCTCCGGGACAGAAAGAATTTGAGCCGATGCTCATCTCCTAGAGATTTCCCAGGGCTGCAATTTTCAATGTTGTTAGCATAACGATCATATAAACCTCTCCGATTTGTGTTTTCAGTGAGGGTACGCGATAAACTCACCAGCAGCATAGGCCAGATACCAAGTCAGACTAGCCCCTCCGTCCAGCCAGCTCGGGTCAAAGCTGCTCGAGCTGAAGAAGTTCCAGGCAGTCCCGGGGTCAATGGTGGCAAGATTTCCGTAAAGGACGCCCCGCCACCCCCCGACGACAGCGTCGGCCCTGCCGTTGCTGAAGTACTGCGCCCACTCCTCGCTGACGAACCTGTCGCCGCGCACGAGCTTCGTCGCCGGGAGCAGCGGAAGCATGTGGATGCCCTGGATATACTCGATATTGGCACCAAAGTAGGTGACGTGGTCGATCTTGTTCTCGAACAATATCCCCGCGACCTTGTTGCCGATGAAATTCGCCGGCTGGACGGCGTTGTCGCTCGTGTAGAGGTAGTACAAGTTCAGGGACCGCGCCAGCACCGACAGCTGCAGGTTGCCCCGGGCGGCCATGTTGGCGTCGCCGCTGACGAGCCCCCACATCTTGAGCGCGTAGCTGGCCATGACGTCCTCGGAGCTCGACTCCTGGTCGCGCCCGTCGGCGCTCTCGTAGAGCCCGTGCGCGAAGCTGTGCCCGTGGTACCAGTCGAACATGCGGTTCGTCGGGAAGTACGGGTCCCGGGACGACGGGTTCGCGTAGTCGCGCACCAGCGTGTTCACCCAGTCCTTGTTGGCGGGCAGCCACGTCGGATCCAGGTGGCCGATTATCGCCGCCGCCAGTACGTGGTAGCCGTAGTGGAAGTGGTGGTCGTTGTAATACGTGTTGCCGAAGTCTGCGCCGCTGTCACCCGTCACGTATGAGGCCGAGGAGACCAGGCCGCCCCAGGCAGCTTTGGAGGGTTAGCATGATGGTCTTGAGGGCAAGTCAGTTGGCCTCGTCTTGGGTGTACTCACTTTCGTAGACGAGTGGGTATATCTGTTGGTTTGTGGCGAACCGTGCCATTGCTGCCTTCAACTTCTCCAGGCCGGCGGCCGCGAGGGCTGATTCGCCGAGCAAGTCGTAGACGACGGAGAGAATCTGGGCGAACTTCGCTAGAGCCTAGAATACGTCGATCTTCAGTAATGGTCCCGTTCGGCAGAGTCATCATCACCAAACTGACCTTGCCACTGTAGTACATTGAGTTCAGGTTCGACTGGGTGTCCATGTCCTGACTGAGCTCTGACTGCGCGACCTGCAGTATTCTCGCCTTCGCAGCAGCAGAGACTCTGTTCTTAGTTCCCTCGGTGTTTGACCACGGCAGGAACGACATGCTTATGGGCAGCCTGAGCTCGACCATCTTCCAGGCGTCGGCTACGACTGCTGTGCCCTTGCCCTTGGTGGTGGACTGCAGCTGAACATTGGACTGTACCGCCGCAGCTGTCGTAGCGTCGAACGACTGCACGTGGTGAGGAAGAGCGTACATAAGGAGCGGCGCGCCGGTCAGACCTTCTTTCACAAAGTTGAAAGAGTATTCCCCGCGCATGCCTGAGGCTGTACCAGACAGAGTCACACTGGTTGCGTATTGGCCGGAAGCCGCATCGTAGAGCGCCTCGGCACTGCCAGGGTCCTTCGCAACCTGGATCGTGCCAACGAACGGGGAACTCGAGCGTACAAGGCCATTGTTGATGACCTGCAGGTCCAGGGGCAGCCCGCTTGTGCTGTAGGCATAGAGAAGCCAGTTCTTGCCATCGTTGAGTGTGATTTTGTACTTGGTGACCCCGGGCCGGGGCTGCACGTTGACCTTTGTCACACTCGCAAAGAAGATGCCCGACTGAATAACGGGTGTTCCACCATTGTACTGCGCCGTTATGAACCCTGAGCCCTGCACCAACGGGAATTGTATCGTCGGCGCGGCTGCTGCACTAGAACGAAGCTGCACGAATACGGACGACTCGGTGGCCTGAGTAGTGGTGAGGGACGTGCCTGGCCCGAGTTCCGCCGCCGATAAGATCAATGACTGGATGCCAATGGGATTGATGAAATACTGGCTGGCCCCATTTGCCCGCGTGGGACCGAAGGCGAACTGGCCGGCCTCGATGTGAGAGACAGACAGCCCCCAGCTTTGAGTCGCACCACCTCCCTTGACCCAGGCAACGGAGTAGGGGTGAAGCACAGTGATCGCGGTCTGAGAGCCAAGGAAGAAATTCTGATAGAACTTGTTCGTAGAGAGGGGCGAGGACTGCTGGATGCCGAGCCTGGGGACGGGATGGTCGCCCCTCCGGCTGAAGAGAGCTGGAGGCAGATCGGTGCTGATGGGCGCATCGAAAATATTTTGAGACGCTGCCGCTGCTCTCATCTTGGCTGGCTTTATGACCATTGTCGGGTCCGTGGCAATGGAGCTGGTTGGCGATGGAATCGGATCCTCAATCAAAGGACCGTCTGTTGCTCGTCCTTCTCTTTCCAGGCTGGTGACTATGGTCCCCACAGTGTCTGCTTCGATGGTCGGGGACGGCAGTATCTGAGCCGTTCCTGTCTCAATTGCCTGAGTGATAACGGGAACTGTAGTTCCGGAGATGAGGTCCTTGATAGCTTGTGTATTCTGCAAGTCTTCAGTTTCTGCATCTCCGCTCTCAACATGTGGACGGCATACCACAGTGTGATTCGTCTCTCCGGATGCCTGCTTCGGGACGATGTGTTTGGCTTCCCCTATATCCCTCAGGGCTTGTTTAACCGAAGCCCCTTGACAACAAGATAGCTGCAACCCCATCAGCAGCAGATACAAGCACATTTTGCCCGCGCTCAGGGCCTTGTCGTCCCTGACTGGAGCGGAAAACATGATGAATCGAGGGCTCGCGCGTCAGTGGAGAACAGCAACTACCCAGCCTGAACAGTCCATATCCAGACAACACCCCTCGCGAGCATATATACACACACAGAGAGACAACATGGCTTAAGAAGGGCAGCGAGAAAAATTCACACATATGAGACATCTCCCAGCACGATGATGGAATGGTGGCATGAAAACCAGAACCTGCCGCTGGGACGACTCAGACACACCCGCGCATGACCCGGGAGTCTGGAGGATGGAGGCTGATCATGCGGGCAAAGGCGAGGTCCGGCGGAAAGAGAAAAGAAAAAGGCATCAAGGGAGTTTCTTACCCGGTGAGGCCTGGTTGGAATGCGCGGCTCTTGAGCTAGAAGCTAGGGCAATGGTACAGTGGTCAGACGGACCACGAAGGGCGGCAGCTAAGGTGGTTGGAAGAGCAGAGAGAGCTGGAATGCGGGAGGCGTAAGATGGACGGCCTGGACTCGAAACCGACGACAGAGAGAATTGGTAACTCTTAAACCTGAGGGCGGGTTGATATCCAGGGTCAGGTTTTCAGGTTTTCAGCCAGAGGCGTCGACTCGTGCTGTGCGATGGAGGAGGGTGAATGGGACGCAGACCCCTTGGCGATTTGAGCGTCATGCTCGTGACCCTCCCTCCACTTGCCCATGGCGAGCAATGCTGGCAGCACCACAAACGCCCCGCAGTCTAGCATTTTGGACATGGTAGGGTGAGGATATCTTCAAGAATGATCCAAGGTTACAATGCCAACCAGCCTGCCGTCAGCATAGCCGAGAGGACGGGGGTTGATTCGCGGTTGGCGCCGTCGGCTGCTCGCGTCTGGTGACGTGCGTTCGGAGCTTCCTCCCATGCCGGGAAACGGCCCAGCCCGGAGTAAGCCCTGGTTGATGATCGCATGACTGGTACATGAGGACACTCGCTTGATCCAGCCAGAACCAAAAGACAGGTAGTTGGATGTTTCTCTCATGTAATGTGATACTGGAGGCTGAGATCTCGGTGCTGGTGTTCGACTCCCTTGATGCATTTTGTGGGTTCCACCACCCCCCTCCCCACAAAGTGAAGCGAATGTGGCCCTAACCCTGCAGCTACACAGGCCTCGTTCCTACAGCTCACAGTGAGTGTGGTGCCAAGGTTTCGCGGCTCTTGCCTGGGGAGAAGTCAAGGCACAAGTGCTCGTCTGCCAGTCCAGGCCGCCACGCTGGCTGCGCTGCGCTGGCTCTGCGCTGGCTAGCTCTGTCGCGATTCCGGACAATCTGGTACACTATCAATCATGGCTTGGCAGAAGCCTTCATGATTTATCCACCGAAACACCTCGCAGCCGTTAGCGATGTTCCCACCCAAGGGCTTTCATCACGTGGGCTGTCCTTGTTGGTAACAAAAGGCAGCTCACAAGAAGGGGACATCGCCAGGGAGGTGCCTCTCGCCTGACAATGCGGCTGCCATGGATTAGAGCACGTCGGTCGCTAATTACCACGCCACCACCGAAAAAGGAGAACGAGAAAAAGGAAATAGACGAGAGGAATGATCACGAATACACCATCTAGCGCACAACTACCGGATGTAATGGCACAAGACCAACCATTCCCACTAAGCATTGTTCCGGTGAGTTTTCCAAGGACGTGAAGATCTTGAATCCGAATTTGGACAAGATATGCATAACTTCGGCCGAGAGACTGGGGTCGACTGGGACAATGCCTCTTGGGATTGGTGCGGCAAGGATCCCTCCATATTCTGCGCCCCAGGTTCTAGGAAAAATAATCACGGCCCGTCTTGCATAATGTGAGTGACAGTGGCAGACAAATGCAACCCCTTTGCCTTCCCTACCACTGGAACCCAGATAGATTATCCGCAGACTTCCATACGCGTACCTATAGAAAGCATCTTCAGGCGTGACATCAATAAAGGGGCGGCTATAGGCCTGTGCTAAGGCCATGGGCCCATCCCTCCGGGGTTGCATTGTGGAGGCACTTAGAACAAATCTAGTCCGTGCCACCCGAGGATGTTTTGGTTAAATTCATTACTGGTGACCCGCGACACGGAAGGCCAACCCCGTCGTTTATATTGTAGCGCACGATTGTGCTTCGGTCATTAAAGATGATCTATGCCTGTGGAATATGAAATACAAAAGACAGACATCATCCAGCGATGCTTGAGTCGGAGTTGATCACTTGGGATTTTTGCATCTTCCTTTCCTCGTGCCCTGCCTCGTGAACAGAATCGATCACCGCCAGAATGAGACCTACAGGGACACTTTTAGGAGGTTTGCTGGCTTCGGTGGCCGTAGCTGCGCCTCAAGCCTGCACTCTTCCGTCGACATACAAATGGACATCGACTGGTTCTCTGGCAAACCCTAAGTCGGGGTGGGCCTCGCTCAAGGACTTCACCACCGTCGTCTACAACGGCAAGCATCTTGTCTACGGAACATACCACGACACTGGATCGACATGGGGCTCCATGAACTTTGGCACTTTCACAAATTGGGCTGACATAGGCTCTGCCACCCAAAACACAATGTCTTCAAGCGCGGTCGCACCGACACTCTTCTACTTCGCCCCGAAGAGCATCTGGATCCTCGCCCACCAGTGGGGGCCGACTACATTCTCCTACAGGACGTCGAGCGACCCGACCAACGCAAACGGATGGTCATCGGCCCAGCCGCTCTTCACCGGCACCATCTCGGGGTCCAGCACGGGCGCCATCGACCAGACCGTCATCGGCGACAGCTCCAACATGTACCTGTTCTTCGCGGGGGACAACGGCAAGATATACCGCGCCAGCATGCCCATCGGCAACTTCCCGGGCAGCTTCGGCACGGCGTCGACGGTGGTCCTGAGCGACACGACCAACAACCTCTTCGAGGCGGTTCAGGTCTACACCGTCTCGAGCAGCCAGTACCTGATGATCGTCGAGTCCATCGGCTCCGGCGGGCGCTACTTCCGCTCCTACACGGCCACGAGCCTCGGGGGGTCCTGGACCCCGCAGGCCACGAGCGAGAGCGCCCCCTTCGCCGGCAAGGCCAACAGCGGCGCTACCTGGACCAACGATATCAGCCATGGCGATATCATCCGCAGCAACCCCGACCAGACCATGACCATCGACCCGTGCAACCTGCAGCTTCTGTACCAGGGGCGGTCGCCTAGCTCTGGGGGAGACTATGGCACTTTACCTTACAGGCCTGGCGTGCTGACTCTACAGAAGTAGACGAGCCACATTCATAGCTGCTGTATCATATTTGACACTTGGAAAACTGTATATATGACTCTCTACCAGTAGTAAACTCAAAATAGGGAGTTAAAGAATCGTCAACGAGCTCTCCAAAATTACTTGCTTGTGCTCTCTGATATCATTACCGCTGACAAGTCGCGGTCACACGGGTTTGATAAGGACAGCACGCAATGGTACCTCACGTCCGACTATGTCTAAAATGATGAGAATGCAGACACAAACATGCTGCACGGTGCTCCGGGTAGAAATCTTAGTTGGAACTGAGGCCTTTGTGGTATAAATACGGAGCACGGTGGTGAGACATCCTTACCCCCTCGAGTTAAAGACATTTTACGTTTCCTATGAAGTTTTGCCTCCTAGCTAAACGTGGCCCATGATGGCCATGTTAAGACCCTCTATTTCAGACATCTAGTCTGGCTGCATACCTATTCCACTCTAGATCTTCAAACACATCCATCGCCTCACTCTTTAAAGTAATGATGACATCCCATCCCACCTCCTTTGGTGGCAAAATGACAAACATCCCATCGCCAAACCCTTTATCCATCAAAGTCATACCCTCATACCGCCCCAGCACTTGCCCCCACTCCTCCGACATCACGAGGCCCTTGTACCTTGTGGACGTTATCGCAGTGCAGTTCAATGCTCCATAAAAGTTGAACATCCGCAAATCTGGCAAGCTCTGTACCACGGCAATAAAATTATCCACATACTCCGCATCGACGGCCCGAATCGCCTGCCTGATCTCCCTAGCAGCAAGTTGTAATCCTCCGACTCCGACCAAGCGGTTGACAGGCAAGAAATTCGTAGCAGTAAACAACACGGCATTACCAACGAAGTCGGACGGAAGTGGGGGGTCGATAATACCCCGGTACTCCACAGGGAAGGAGTACTGTATTTTGTCGGCAGGCCCCACGATACCGGACACGAGACGCGCCTTGATCATCTGGCGAAAGACGAGTGAGCAGACTGCGTCTTGAGTGCTGAAGCAGGGGCTCCCTAGGGATGAAGCGTCTTCTTTGAGCAACGCTACCGATTTCTGCGTGAACCGGTACACCCTTGTGCTGATAGCTCCCGCGGTCCTAGAAGCGAAGTCGAACGCCCCGGTCGATATCGTGTAAGCAGGCAGTTTTTCGATATCCGGCACGGCGCTAGACACAGAGAGCCGCGAGCGGTCAAAGGCCGCGATACTCCTCTCCGGGGCCGGCGCCGCCGGCACGAAGCTGTTCCGCGCCAGCGCCTGGATGACCAGTGATATGGCCCGCCCGTCCATGGCGAGGTGGAGTATGCAGATTGACAGCAGGAGCCCGCCTTTGATGAAAGTCGCCTGGATCCTAAAGCAATCCCACTCGTTCTCAAAGTCGATCATCCCGGGAACCGAGCTCAGAACCTCGGGCTTTAGCAGCCCCGGTGTGAAGTTCGCATCCTGTAGGTCTGCAAAGCCCAGATCGGGAGTTTCTTGACGTGCAGGCGTGCTTGTCCGGGGAGAAACGTCCACTTGCCGGACGCATGGCTGGCGGAGTGCGAGAGGACGGGGAATTCGAGGATTCTGGCGCGTAGCGCGTTGCAGAGGGTAGTAATGATATCTTTACGGCTGCGAGATGACGGAGTCGAGAATATAAGGACTCGGCGGGAGTAGATCGCTGGAAGAGCTGCATCAACTGATGTTGGCTGTTGCAGAACCTCGGGTCCAGGGAATTTGTACTCCTCAGGGAAGTCTTCTAAGCAAGGTTTGGAAGCCATCACCAGCAGTGAAAGGGACCGAACCGATGAACACTACGGACTGAGATGGCAATTTCAGGCACTCTATTTGAATTTTGTACCCTCATCCAGAAAACATCCTAATGTCTCTCTTCTCCAAAGCTTCGAGCCGAAGCTCATTGCCGAATCGACAGCTCATGATTCAGTACTTTTATTTTGCTACAAAAGTAGAGCTCATTCGGATCCTTTTTAAGCCCTACTGATAAATAAAACATAGTAATTAGCCAATCAAGCTGTTAGAGTATATCATGAATACTATAGGGTTATTCGTTGAGAGGATAATGCGTAACATGGAGGTGTCCTTCAGTCAAAACGGTGGCCAGTTAGTCAGGATGGCCGGCTTAGCAGTCAACAACTCTATTTACCACGAAAATACTAGTGTATACCGAAGTCTGCAGAAATTCCTAGTCTTTGCTCGGTTAAGAGTGGAGGACTTTCCATTTAGTGTTCCGTTCTTATCATGCATAGGAATGCGGAGTTCCATTCATGACCTAAAGTATCTGTTGTCGGTAAGATGTGGTCTTCTCCACTTCATACCGAAATACCATCTTTTACCGAACCTCACAGGAATACTGAATCTTTGCTCGGTAGGGAGTGGAGACTATAGTCTCGCACTTTGGACCCACGAGCTGCACCTCAAGAGAGAAAGCTCAACAACCGTATTGTCGCATCGTTGAATGTCTCTGAATGAATGTGAATATTGCATCGAACTCACCACCCATCATGGTTTCTGGGGGCCTTCCATCCCTATACCGCGCTTTGCAGCCTGACTGGCTGACGGCTGAAACATCCCAATATGCAGTTGTTAAACTATGCGTGGCTTTTTCGTTGGCGAGTTAACTCCTTTCATGACGGTGCTGAGCTATTCTAACTTTCTTTCCCATCGAAGACATATTTTGTGTATCTCTTGGCCTGCGGTGTCTATACTAACCTCTATTTCCACCCGTAAGTCTATATTTCCAACGAAATTTCGCTCTTTCCTCCCAGCCCATATTGTGGATTACCTCTGGAACTGTAGCAATTTAGATGAAGTGCCGTCAGGTCGTCGAACAAGCTCATTCCAATCTTTGAGTGGTGACAGACTAGCTTCCTACCCTGGTCCAAAGCCATATGCATTCAGCAGCTTTCCCAACAGCATCGGGCGTATCCGAGGTCTCATGTGGATCACATTGAAGGATGCACATGAAAAGTACGGTCCAGTCATCCGCTCAGCGCTCAATGAGCTCTCTTTCATCACGCCCGAGATATGGGACGATGTCTACGCAAAGAAGCCGGGCAGGCCGAGGTCCGAAGCGCCTTCGCCTCCGAGACTGCCATCGACATTGAAGGCGTCAGCAAGCTACGATACTTGATAGCCGTGATAAAAGAGAGCATGAGGATCCACCCACCTGTGCCCGGGAACCACCCTCGTCGCGTCGGTGCAGGAGGGGCCGTGGTTGCGGGAAACTACGTACCCCCGGGCACGAATGTGTCGTTTCCACATTGGGCGGCGTATCACCCCGAGAGAAACTGGAACCGACCAGGTGAGTCATTCTGTGTCTGTGGCTTCTCTCCTGCGAGTCCTGTAGAAACACATGTTTCTGAGCTTCCCTCTCGTGTTTTCCCAGAATCAATGTCCGCCTCTGATAGCTTGAGGCTCATGTCCTGTGGCCATTTGAGAGGTACTATGCCATTGTGCAGACGCGTTCTTACCAGAAAGATGGATGGGAGATCCTGAATTCGAAATAGACAGAAGGTCTTGTTTCCACCAATATAGCTACGGCCCACGAGAATGTCTCGGACAAAAGTAAGTTTTTCACAGCTTCAGTGTCTCAGTGGAATGGTCTGACAATGTCAAACAGCGTCGCTCCTGCCGTGACGCGGGTTATTTTAGCCAGATATGTTTATAACTTCGACATGGAGTTGGTTAGCCCAGAGAAGGGGTTGACAGATGGGTCAACTGTAAGGCTAGTCTGGTCGCACGCCCCTCTCATGATCAGGATCCGGCCTGCTGCTCCTTTGCACGCGTAAATAGTACGATTCTGTCGTGATGTAAAGAATTGGAGTCATCTACGCCCTCAAAATTGATCCTGGGTCCAGTCTACTCACTCAGGTTGAAAAGATTTTACGTACCTTGCTCCAGTAATACTCCTCAATATTACCACAAGACTAAGGCCATGACGAATTTATGCTTTCTTTAGACAAATCAACACACCTTCCATATAGATCAAGAATGTAAAGCTGTAATGGGTGGCAAGGCTGGCTTGGACGATGACACTGACTGGAGACGTGTGCGGGAGACTGCTAGGACTCACCGTCAGCGTCAATATGTCTGCACCAAGGCCCGCGCCAGTCACATTGTAGGGAAAGATGATATTGTGCGGCCTTTTGGCCTGGATGTCGCTGGCTCATTTGCTATGCCGGCGAGAAAGTTACACCCCACAGGAAGCCATATTGTCAGCTCAGGAAACCGATCAACAACGGCACTGGCAACACTACCCAGGCCGCACACGCCTTTGCCCTGTACGGCGGGCTCGTTCACGATAAGCGTCGCAAGCAGTCCTCGAACGCCTGGCCTGGCTCGCCTATGCCTGTGCCTACCCCATCGACTAGCGGGCAGGGTTCGTGCATTGAGTGGTGGCATAGTCGGCCTGGGGCTGATCGCCCAGGCACTGTCGTCTGGATCGAGGTGTTCTCAGCTACTTCATAGCCCCAACGGTGACTAAGCCCGGGAGTTACCCGGTAACAGGTGCTATGCGATAGGTACCCAGGCAGCCAGCAGGGCTGCCTAGCGACCTGCTGTCACAACTGGAAAACTGCTAAAGCACACAAGTATGCAAGCACTCAGCGCACGGACCACCACCTCCTGGGGGTCCTCATGTGTGGGGTTGCGCCTGCCGCCGCGTCGGGTTCGCGTTGAGTGGGTGGATTAAGCTCGCAGCTGCACCCCGGGAAGTCGCGGTCTCTGCCTAATAAACACCTGCAGTTTGATCATTGTTGCCTCTCGACGTCTGCTTCCACGCCACTCGTGTCCAATTGACTCGACATATCTTCTCTAAGGTGGCAATATTCCCTCACTCACATCAACCCAGCCACTGGTCTTTTCCGAATTCTCTGTCCCTCTGCATGTGACACTGTGTGCGTGCGATTCGACGCGTCGTGACGGCCGACCCCCAGGCACGATGGCCGCGCAGAACGGTGGCAAATCTGCCGAACATTCATTGTTCGACGAGTGCTCACTTGCATTTGTACCAAGTAGCACTCTGACTCAAAGCACAATCGACTTGGTATGTACCCGGGCCCTACTTCTGAGCTGGTGGTTCCATATACCAGATCTCTAACACGTGAGCTCTAGTTGAAAGAAACTGTCGAGAAGTATGGCGCCGAAGTCATTGATCTTGGTGAGGACGGCTCGGTCTCGGTCTCAGAGTGCACCCACATTATTGCCGATACGATCGACTTCCCAGAGTATGATGAGGCTATGGCATTGATGGTCCCTGTGGTGGTGCCTGGGTGGGTCAATGCCTCCCTTCACAAGGGCCGCCAGGCTCAGATCCGGCCATATTCCCCGGACCCGCGTCTGATTTTCTCCAATGTCGTCTTGACATGTGATGAGCTCCCAATCACCGACAAGGGAGACAATCGCTGGTGCGGTCCTCGCCATGGGTGGCATGGAGTCCAAGGATCTCGGCCGCCTTACCACTCATATCTGTGCGCTGTCAATGGATGGTCCCAAGGCTAAGTTGGCCACGCACAAGAATTTTCGATGCAAGATCGTCTTGCCGCATTGGTCAGCCAGCAGTTCCCATCCCACCGTGCCATTTTCTAACACCTCTCAGGTTCGATGACTGTTTCCGCCTGGGCAAGAGGATAGACGAAGGCCCCTACTTGCTTCCAGACCCCGAGATCCTGCGATCGGGCTACAACGATGCCGTTGCCATCCCACCGAGCCAACACCTCGACGGAGCAGCGTCAGCTCGCCCCGATCGACCGCCGATGACTGCACATTACCAAGCAGGAGCCCGCGAAAAGCTGACTGTCTTCCAGGACAAGAGTGTTGTCTTGTCGTGGGACCTCGGCATCAACGAAAAATTGCGGAAGACCTTGCAAGGCCTCATAGAGAATGGAGGAGGCACAGTGGTTGACACGGAGAGTGATTGCGACTGGTTCGTGTGCCAGTACCGCGACGGACCTGAGTATGTCAAAGCTGCTCAGCAGGGTAAGGACGTCGGAAATCTGGCCTGGCTTTATTACCTGATCATGCACAACCAATGGACGAATCCACTGCGGCGTCTCTTGCATTATCCCGTTCCTAAAGAGGGTATTCCGGGATTCCGGGGACAACGGATCACACTTTCCAATTACGGAGGCGAGGCACGCATATACCTCCAGAACCTGCTGAGAGCTGCCGGTGCAGAGCCCACCGGTTCCATGAGGCAAGACAATACACATCTTATTACCGCGCGCAAGAGTGGCGAAAAGTGCGAGGCCGCTGCTGACTGGCAAATACCTATGGTCAACCACCTGTGGCTCGAAGAGAGTTACGCAAAGTGTGAGGTGCAGGCCCTGACAGACCCTCGCTATGTCCACTTCCCTCCACGGACGAATCTAGGCGAAATCATTGGCCAGACCTCATTCGACGAGTCGAGACTTCACGAGAAGTACTACCCGGGCGGAGACGACGACATGGATGCTGTGGCTCGTCGCAAGAGAAGGATCCAAGACCTGGTCAAGGAGAATGGAGCTACCCATGGTCCCGCTGCTGGATTAGTAGTCGGGAGACAGAAGCACCCAGAGTTCGACGTGATGAAGGATGATGAGGCCGAGTACGCTGTGAAGACAACCAAGACGTTTGGCGTGCCAGCGCCTCCGAAGACCAAGACAAAAGCACAGGCAAGTGCCACGCCGGTTAGAACGCGACGTGCACTCGGTGGCAAGGAGAATGATACATCGTCTGTCTTCTCGAGCGGCAGCCGCAGTGCCAAAGCCTCGGCACTCAGCAAGTTGCACAACTTGGCGCCAGATATTGCATTATACGAAAAAGAGCGAAAACGGAAATCCTCTGGAAACACACCTTTCGGCGGTAAACGTGCCACGAACCTCTTTGAGCAGGAACGAGAAAAAGAGCGGGAGAAGAAGGCACAGGAGAAAGCGCGATCTACAAGCCCTACACATGATCGGCCAGACGAGGATGAGGACGAGGAAGAGGAAGATGAAGAGGTGGAAGAGAAGCGGCCAGCCAAGAGGCAAAAGCCCTCGCTACCACCCGTCGACATGCGCATCATCTTAACGGGCTACCAGGGTTGGCTCAACAACCTGAAGAAAGAGGACGCAGACAAGGTTAGTCTTGATGAATTTGAGAAACGGACCGATGCTTTGCTGACCCATGTAACAGCGGAAACTGCGTAGCATGGGGATCCAGATCGTACATGAGAATGCGGCATGTGACTATCTCGCCGCACCGCATATGGTGCGCACCATTAAATTCCTCCGCGCCCTAGCCCGTGGCCCAGAAGTCATCAATGCTAGCTTCATCGATGCCTGCCTTGAAGCTGGCGAGCGCCTTGACGTCAATGAGTACAAGCTCAAAGACAAGGCCAACGAGGCCAGGTTCGGAGTCAAGCTGGAGAAGTCCATCGCAAGAGCACGCGAGAACAAGGGTCGGCTGCTGTGGGGTGTCCCCATATATTGCACGAAGGACATCAAGAGCGGCGCCGAGAGCTATCGGCCGATTGCAGAGGCGAATGGCGCCATCTTCAAGACGTACACCGGACGGGGCGCGTCCACCATCAAGCCCACCAAAGCAGACGAGGATTCCCAGGGGCAGGAGCCGGTGTACCTTTTGACGTCGGGTAGTAAGGCGGAGCGGGAGCTTTGGCCGAGGTTCGAGAAGATGGCCAGGGACGGAAACATGGAACCGAGGGTTGTGTCCTCGGATTGGCTGCTGCAGGTGGCCATGAGCCAGGAGTTGAAGTTCGACAAGAAGTACCTCGCGACAAGGTTCTTCAACGGTAACTAGCACTGGGGCCATGATTCGAAGTATCGGTGATACTTTGATCGGCCGGGATTATTTGCTGTGGGCTTTTGTGTTCGGCGACTGGGGAGTCTCTGGAGCATCTTACCCTTGTCTGCTGCTGTTGTTCAGAAACGCCAACCATGGGATGTTAAGCATGATAGGCAGCGCAATGCTATGAATGCGTTGAATCTTGTGACCCATCTCTCGGCCCAACTGATCGCTCAGAAGAACTTGACACCTTGTGAATCCTCTTGCCCGAATATCTGTGCCTTTCCCCTCTTGACCAGTACGTTGAGGGCTTTTTGAAGCAAGTCCTGATCCAGGCCATGGAACTCTGTCGTAGATGGATGGCCACCGTCAGTATGGATTCTCTGCGCAGTTCCTCTCTCTGAAGCAACATAAGGGTCGAAACACGGCGCGACTTACCGGTGCCCCTCGTCCCCTCGCCCTCGGTGAGCTCATACAGCGTCAGCACCGTCCCCTTCTGCGCCGTCTCGTCGACCCAGCCCTCGACCAGCGCCGCCCACTCCTCGGGCGTCCGCCAGTACACCCACACGACATCACCGCCCGCGCCCGCGGCCCCAGCGGCGCCCCCCTCGCCGCCGACGTACTCGGCCCGCCCGTCCTTCCTCATGAAGTCGATCACCTCCCTGACGTCCGCGAGCGCCAGCCGCCTGTTGAGCCTCCTGTTGAAGAATATGTCCTCGGCGGCGTTCGGGTTGCTGCCGGAGGTGGGCGTGGCGTTCGACAGGGAGGAGGAGGCGGCGGTGGTCGAGGTAGAGATCGGGCTCAAGGGGAGCTTGAAGATGCGGTGGTGCTGGCAGTACGAGAGGACGAGGGAGGACCACTTGACCAGCTGGGCGTGGTGGGTGTTGAGGTTGGTCTGCCGGGTGAAGAAGGGCGGGAAGTAGTACTCGCGCGGGAACTCGAAGCCTGCTGGGGCTGATGCTGGTGCTGCTACTGTCGAGGTCGAGGACGCCATGGTCGAGATACGCTGGTAATATTGTGGGTTGGTTGTTGTTTGGCTGGCTGTTGTATGAGAACGGAGCGTAGGTCAATGTGAGTCGCGAGGATCCCCCGCGGTCGTCATTCTGGTGGGGGGGGGGGGGGGGGGCTCGGGAGCTCCGATAAGTACCATGGGCCTCGGAGCCGCAGCGCCTTAGTGGCGTTCTACTGCTGTGCCATGTGAATTGGCCATCAATGACTACCGTTTCTGCTACTTTCTGCTAATCATGGTCCATACCACTGCGTCTACTTCTCGCAGATATATGCATTCCTCCACGCCATTTCACCTTAGTTGTCACGATTTCCTTGCCAATGATTGCGCGTTTTGTCATGAGACCATGCAACTCATGTGCCCTCATGTGCCGGCTCCTGTGCCGCTTTCAGCACAGGAGCTGCGCCAATAGCTGCCGGTGAAAACCGACGCCACGCATCCGAGTAGCCTATTCAAGCTGCCTACATATGTAGACTACTGATGTCTTATCAGCCAGCCTGCTTATGCTCTGGAGCACCTGGACGTCAAGTACTGGGCGATTCTCCTGGCTGGACTTGCAAGTCGAATCATAGCCCTCCAGACGGCCTGGAAAGCCACGACAGCCGCAATAACCACTGATGTTAACGAACGACTGTTGCTTACAGCCACGGACTCCTTTTGTGAACTCAGGGAGATGACACAGCCACACCTGGGACGGTGAGGGTACCTGTGGCTCACCAACCTGACGCCTCTGTCTTCCGAATATGGAGCAATACTGGATGTTCTGTCCGGGCCCAAGCAAGGACTGCAAGAGCCTGGCTTATGTCGGTAGGCTTCATGACTGCATCTGGCCGCGACTGGCTCAAGATGCTGGTGACTTCTTTAAGAGAGCCGAGGCCGCCTCGGCGAAGGGGACCATGTTTTTCTCCCAAAAGGATACGAAGGCGCTGTTCACCGGAGAAAACATCATCGATCTCTTGAGCTGCCGCTGCAGGGATTGCGGCGAATACAAGAGTGACGCATCGGCTGCCTTCAACTTATTGGATTACGAAAAGCGCATCGCCAACCCAGACGAGAAGGGATGGCTGCTGGTGGCAGCACTTGTTTATCTGGGCAAGCTGAACCTGGTATACAGGTGGATACAGTATCCAAACATAGTCGGGGATTTCGGCAATTTGAGGAGCGCCTCAAGTCTAGTAGAGGATCCCTTCGGCACACCGCTTCAGAACGCACTCTTTTGGAAGGCCTACGGACGGACAATGGACATGTTCTTTCCAATGGAAATCAAGCCCGGTATCAACGGCAGACCTGAGCAGAACCGCCTCGCCGAGAGTCGACGCTTCCCATATCTGGATGAGCCAGGGAACATTCCCTCAGGCAGCTCTGGTAGCTTGATAACACGCTTCCTCGTGCCTGAGGAATACCTGCATGAAAGTTTTAGAGAACTGATGGAAACCAACTATGCCAAGTCCGTGGAGGACGATGAGCGTGGCAGAAAGGTATGGGCTGAATAAAGAGCACCATTCTCATCGCACTGCTGACCTTCATATAGTACCGCCTTGTCCGGAAAGTCCTCGTGCGCAAGAGTCTCAAACATATGGAGCACATCACACTCCGCATGATTGCTTCACGTCGGGACCAGAGAAATCTCATCACTCTGATGGCTTTGTACGAGTGGCGCGAGCAGATCCACTTCATCTTTCCGTTTGTCGAAACACACCTTGATAAGGTGCTTCTGGACCAATGGGTGTTCCCCGGGCCCACGCAAGTCTGGAGGCCTGCAGATCACGGCCTGTGGCGCCAGATGACAGGAGTTTGCGAAGCGCTGAAGACCATTCACTTCGATCTCAGGAGTCCTTGGGGCTCGGAGCAAGTCATAGCCTTTCATTTCGATTTGAAGCCGGCGAACCTGCTTGTCACGGCCGATGGCATAGTGAAGATCACCGACTTCGGGCACTCGATGATACAAATCATGCTTCCTGAAGAGGAGAAGAAGGGGTACTACAGAGGCGGGGATCCTGTCTACAGGGCGCCCGAGTCGATTCCAGACAGCGAGCAAGTTCGGGAGGCTAGCGAAATCCGAAACCACGCACCAACAAGCCAGGACTACACTGAAGAACTACCACGGAGCCAGGTCTTCCTGAACTACGACGTCTGGCAGCTCGCCTGTATCATGACTGAAGTGCTGATATGGATAACGGGCAAGGACCACTATCGGGAGAAAGATCAACCAGATGAGAAGGGACACGTCATCAAGACTTTCCGGCAAGAGAAGAGGGACGAGGATGGACAAGACGCATTCTTCACCATAAGGGCACAGCCCGACGGCGCTAGAACTCGATCTTTGAAGAAGGTTGTATGCGAGAAGCTTCGCTCGCTCCAGTCAGGCGACACGGAAGACGCCGATGTGGAAGAGTACCTGGAAAAGACAGTCGAAATCTTGCGCGGCATGTTCAGAATTGACCCTGTCAAACGTTATCATTCGCACAAAGTCTTGAAAAAGTTGGAAGAAGTCAATGAGAAGTATGTGATGAGCAGGCAGAAGCCTGGTGATTGGGTATCTCAGAAACTTAGAGATTACTCCCCAAGGGATTTTCACGAGGTTGGTTGGCAGGATGGAGGGGAGATTCGCTCATTCCTCGAAATGTAAGCAACCCTGTGGGGGCTGTCGACTACCTAACTGCTTCAAAGTTTCTCTCGCTGACCCGGGATTCAGGCCGGATGTGCGTGTTCGAAACGAGGTTCCTCACAAGATTACGCGGGAGTGTGCCTGCATGTTCCGAGTACTGTACAAGCCAGGGAAATTACTCATTTGTTACGGAGTCGAGGAAAAGGACAAACTGGACATAATGCTCTCTAACCCTCAACAGTTGAAACGTGAGTTGTGCTGCTACAATTCAGCCAGAGAACAGAGTTGATTCGCTGATTCAGACTTCAGTTGAGATGGAGAAGAGTCACATCATTCCGGACTATCTCTATCGTCAACCTGAAGGGAGATACGTCTGCACGATTTTTTCAGGCGACGAGACAGACGAAATTTTGTCCTTCAGTTTTGCGTCTCGAGACGGTAAGTTATCGCCGAGGTGGAGTCCATCGCTCAAGCTGACTTGAATAGACGCTCACAAGTTCCAACACGCACTTACGCGGCGGAAGGTTGAGTGGGAGTCGGAGATTGGGTATGTTCCTAGAATCCCTCTACCCCATCAGGCATGAGACCTGTTATCGGGAGGCTAAAAGCACGACCAGTAACGTTGAGCGAGTGACCTTTTACATCAAGCCCAAGAAACAGGACTTCGAGATGACCCGAAATGTCAAGTTACAGCTGTGGTCTTGCTGGAGGGATGGAATTTGTGACATCGACTTCAACTCGACCAGACACCTCAGCCCACCTGACCGCCTCCAGTCTCTCAAGCAAATGCTTGTCATTTTCGAGGATTCAGGCCCTTTTCTCATCATACCTTGTAAGAAGATGTCCAAATCTTGGTATTGGTTCCTGGATTTCGGTCGCTAATATTTGACAGTCAACAACGGCCAAAAACAATTCTTGGACCATGTGCAGACAGTCGCTATCAAAGCTTTCAGGAATTTCAAAGAATGCGAGCTATACAGGCCTCCTGACAAGTTCCCTTGTATAGAACAGGTATCTGTGAACAACTACATAAGGCAGTTGGGGTGTGTTGCCCCGGCGGTGCCGCTTGACCAATTCAAATTCGAGTCGCGGGCATGGCGCCTTGCGGCGGACCTGAGGAGGCGGCCATCGGCCATCACATTCTCAAGACAAGGCAAGGCTGGTACGAGCACCCACATGACAATGGGGTGAATTGGTCTAACCTGAATTTAGATGTGAACCGGGTCTGCGAGGTCGCCAGATTCTACGGCGAATATCCTGGCTAGCAGGCAGTCCACGTTAGACGACCGAAACCCGAGTCCCTATCGATCTCTTCCATGACCTATGCTGGTACAACTCGACACCAACGTAGACAAGCATGGTCGTTACTATCAGAGGGATAGCCAGGACAGCATAGATCTGTAAGTCATCTGTTGCACTGAGCTTGAAGCCGGCAGACTGTGCTTTGCTAACATAGCCCATCTGAAGGAAATCCTGTTGCCGTCAATACACTGTCTTCTGGCCTCAAGAAGGTACATCGACAACATACGGAGACGAACGATGCAGGTACGAATATCAGAGCCAGTACCGTTAGAACCTTGACCACGTGGGCCTCGTACCCCGATCTCACAGTGAGCTCGATCGTAGCCGCACTGTCGCGAATCGAGATGGTATTTCGGAGCTGAGGCAAATCAGTCAGCGGTGACACAAGCCGTCGAGCACGACCAACCTCACCTGCTCTGAGAGTGACTTTGCCCTCTCGATCAGTGACGCAAAGTTCTTGATGCTCAGTCGGTGCTGTTGCCGCATTTTTTTCAGTGACCGGAGGAGCGAGTCCATCTGCGTCGGATTGGTTGATGGATGCCGGCCTCGGAGTTCATTCATTACTTGGGTCATTGCGTCAAGCGTCTCCAGATTAACGTCAATGCTATGCTTCGCACGAAGTGCCATATCAACGAAAGCCTGCAGAGACTTCATGTCCCTGGACGAGCTCTCCAGTGTGTCAAACTCCCGGAGCTTTCCCGGCTCCACACCAGACATCATCACCCGGCCAAACTGGGCCAGCAAACCATCAGATTTCCCGCTTGTTCGGGTATGGAATGGAGTGGTACGCACTATCTCGGAGACTTTCTCGTCAATGAAATTGAAGCAGTCACGAAAAGGCTCGTCTACGCTGCCAAAGGCCATGGTGTGGATCCGCGTCCAGTCGCTGGCGATGCTGGCAGCCACTGCAGGCTCTTGCGTAAAAGAATGGTTAAGGCGACTCGTCAGAGCTTCAGAGGGCTTGACCAAGATGTGATCAGTTCGTTCGGCGTCAAAGGAGACCTTCTGGTACACGAGTGACTGGCTGATCGACCAGGGATTGGCTCCTGGCCTCGCTCGTCCTCGCTTCTGGACGTACTTTAGCAGGTAGCATGATTCTGTTTCGAGACAGCTTAGTCTATCAGATCATCAAAGAAGAAGGGATTCCAGTCAATACCGAAGCCAGAAAGACGCCCATCTTCTGCAACGCTCTCAGCCCAGTCATAGCCTCCAAATCCTTCGTCCTTGGAAAAAGACTTCCGTCCAAAGGCTGTCAAATTTCGGTAAAGTTCAGAAAATGCACCCAGTCCCGCAAGCAAATCGACCGTCCCACGCAGCGTGACTGGCAGCTCACTCCGGGTGAACGCTGGATTGACGAGGCTTGGGAGACATTTGCGTCAGAGAAGCGCGGCTGGAGATGGTTGTGGCCGTGGGCAGGGCCTTACTTACAAATATGATGCCCTGACTCCAACACCTCTGGCCGACTCGCACTCTAGCAGCTGTCAACAGTCGCCCACCACGACAGTGATCCTCAGACCAACCTTCGTCCACACTCGAGGAGTCGGTCCTATATCTCCTGTGTCTTCCCGGCGACCGAGCACATTCTCGTACATCGGACTCGGTCTTAAGCAGGTCGACGCTGGTCTTGCCTTCAAAGTGTCAGCAGACTATAAACCGGCACTCAGGGGTAAATATTTTGATGAACCTTCTCTGTCCACCCAGGCAACATGGACCTCGACAGGCCCGTTGCTCACGAAGAGGTCCCTTTGGTTCTCAAGAAGACCTTTTCGAACGTCTAAATCATATGTGAGTCCTGTTGGACTCGGCTGCAATGGCCATGCCAATTCAATTTTCTCGTCCATATCTTCGTTTTCCTGGACATTCCCAAATGCAAGTTCGAGAAATGGCTTGCGGCTTGTTGCTTGATTGGCGAGCTACTCTCACTATTTAATACATGGGCCCAACTCCAGCCCCCTCCCACCAGTCAGCTGCAGCGAGGTAGTCTGCCTCAGCTGCAGCTAAATCAACCCGCATGAATCCTGATTTATACACCCCTACCTGAGATTCATCACCTTCTAGGCCCAAAGGGTAGAGCAGGCTGTGGCACTGAGGCCTGGATCATTCTGTGCTGCTCATCCTGGCGAGAACAAAATCAGCCTCGGTGCTGCACACGCCAGGGGTCAAGTTGAATAACTCTTACCTGGTCGATGAGACGTGGCCCGGTGACAATCCACCAACTGGTGCTCTCCCTCAATTCTGACTGTCTCGGAGTCAGCATTCCAGGCATATCACACCATTCTTTCGGAGCGGCTGGAGGACTCACGCTGTATGTCCACACCATCGCCCCTCTCGAGTTGAATTGAGGACCAAAGTGTTTTGTCAGCCAGCGCTGTAGCACCACCTCTTCGACCTCGTAGCCAATCTGGGTTGTGGCGCCCATCTTGACCCTGGCCAACAAGTCGAGGTCGTATGAAGAAGCTATGCCGGTCAACGGTGGTCTTTATGACCTGCCATCAATCACAGTGGCGATAACACCCCGGTGACTCACTTCTCCTTTGCTGCCTACAAAATCTTGGCCTCTCACGCCATCACTCCGGAATCGCACGCTGTCATCTATGTCTCTGAATCCGGGAAGGCTCTCGCCCGGTATCTTGCCGCGGCTGAGCGGTCGGGAAGACACTATTGGCTTTGTGTAACCATGTCAATGTTCAGCCTCCGCCACCAGCTCCAACATGCCCCCACCACCGGCTAGTGAGCCTCATTTTGCTATCATATGTGAGGCGGACGCGCGAATTCATCACCGGGGCGGGAAAAATAGCCTGATATTACACTCGCTAGCCCCCGGTTCACCCGCGCTTCAGATGCTGCCGAAGTCAGCGGAGCCTCATTTGCACCCGAGAACGGACCAGGACCCGAGACCGCTGCTGATTAAATGCCCAGTATCTTTTGATTAATGTATCGCCTGTCATTCCCTGGCTCTCTGGTCTGAAACGCGTGCTATGCTCCCTCTCATGGTACTTCCCTTGCGTCCTTTATCCCGCGATGCCTCTCCAATCAGGGCCAACTCCACTTGGGGACTCCAAGTTGCCCGTGCAAAGCCATGTTGATGGCAGTGAGCACGGAGACTCGGATCTCCATGAAGATGCAACCAGGATGGCCGAGCAGCCTCGCGAAGGCTGGGCAGTTCCCGGGCTTACATGGTTTGACGTCTTCTCTCTCATTGTGAACAAGATGATCGGGACCGGGATCTTCACGACGCCGGCTTCCATCTTCCTCTTGACTGGCCAGAAGAGCCTTACTCTAGGGCTCTGGGGCATTGGCCTCTTCTACTCCATGGTCAGGTGAGCCTGGGGACGGCAGCCGTGTCTTTCGCACGAACGCCGGCTGACTTTGCGTAGCATGGCTTTGTATCTTGATTATGCCACAGTATTTCCCTTCACGGGAGGAGAGCTACTCTATGTAGGTGGATATTCACATTCACACTCTGCTCATGATCATGTTCTAGAGAAGCTCACATTAATATGTGATAGATGGAGGAGATGACAGCATATTCCGGCATGGGAAAACTAAACGACGAAACCACCGATGCTAAGGAGAAGGCACCCCACGGCGTGGCTATCTTTCTCAGAAAGATTGGCCAATTTTTATCACCGGTGCGGCGTACCATAAGGAAGCTGTCCGGCGATGGGCTTCTGGGATTCATCGTCTACGCGGTGATCTTCGTTGGCGTCTTCAACTCCAGCACCAACTCCATGCAGTTCGGGAAAGTGATCCTTGTAGCCATACAAGCAGATCAGTTCTCCAAGGACGCACGCCACGAGCTCAACCGTGACCTCGTACGTTTCATCGCGGTGGCTGCGCTGTCCATCATCTGCCTCGTGCAGTTCTTCTCCCCCAGGGCCGGGGGAAAGGCTCAACAACCTAGCAGCCGTGGTCAAGATCCTATTCATGCTGCTCCTGATCATATTTGGTGGGCTCGCTGCCAGCAAGGCCCGAAAAAGCCCCACGGACTGGACCGAGAAGAACTGTGTCTTTAGCAATGGCACGTACAGCGTTTTCCCGGGTAACACCTCCTGCTGCCTCGATAGTGACACAGACAGTGTCCTCAGAGACACGACATGTTTCCCGGGCGACGTCATCGATAATGTTGTAAGGCCAGACGCCGATAACAAGTTTGCGAAGAAAGGCACCGGACGCCTGGGCAAAAGCCCTGCTATTGGTGCTGTTTAGTTTTGAGGGATGGGAGAATGCAACCTTCGTAGGTACCAGACCAGATAGTGGACAAGATAGGTCAACATCTATTACTGACTGAGATAACATGGCAGGTAGCAGGCGAGATCCCCCAGCGCAAGGAAAACAAGAATGTCCTCCGCCAAGGCTTCACGACAGCAGTTATTCTGGTGGGGATCCTCTACCTGTGTGCCGTTGCTGTCTTCGTATGTGACCCCCCACCCCTGGGTTTGCGCCACTGACATGTCCATCAGCTCGAGGCATTTCCATACGGTGAAAATTTACAAACCGCTGTCACACTCAACTACTCATCCTACGTAGGTCGCCAAATCGCTATACCAAGTTTTCATCCCTTCATCGTAGCTCATTTCTACCCAAGTACAGCTCATTCTCCCTCGTTAACGACGGTCTCGAGAACTCAGCAAAACCAGATGCAGCTTCGATCCGAGCCTGGGCCATAGTAATAGCGATTTCCTGTCTTGGAAGTCTCAACTCGATCATATATACCTTCTCCCGAGGTACGAACATAACCCCTAAGCTGGCTTAGATGTCCTTGCTAATCCTCGCCACCGCCTCAAAGTCAAACAAGCCATCGGTCAGGCCAATATCCTCCCGTGGTCTAACATCTGGAAGAGCAGTCACACCCTATCCAAGGGGAAGAGGGAGGACGACATCAAGTACAAATCCCCACAGGGAGGGCTGATTGCCCACTGGCTGATGAGCGTCGTCTTCATCTCCGTGAGCTCTGGCATTAATGCCATGACGGAGTCGATCCTCTTGCCTGGGTACTTCCAAATTTACGCGCACGCTTTCATACTCCGTAAGCCCACAGAACTTCTCCCCATTCTACCACGTAAAAGAACCACACATACCACAGAATCTCGAGGGACTGACACACCAGCACGCAGTGATCATGGCAGTCGTCTTCCCCCGCCTCGGAGGGCGCGCCGAAGCCCTCCAGCGCGACAAGCCAGACCACCTGTTCCGGCTGTGGCAGCCCAGGGGCGCCGGGCTCGTCGTCGCAGCCCTGGTCATCCTGGCCTACATCGCACTCAACGTCGCTATCCTGGTCGTCGTGCCCCAGGTGTCCCTCACCTCCGACGGCAAGGGCCAGGGACTGCCAGGCCGGTACTACGCGACCGTCGTCTTCAGCCTGGTGGCGCTCGCGCTCGCCTACTACGCCTTCGTCATCAGCGACGCGACGACCGAATACGTCGAGCGGCGGCCCGGAAACGGCGAGCCCGCCGTCGTCGAGGAGGTCGAGGGCTTGTGGCGGTCCAAGGGCTTCAGCCTGCTTAGCCTCGCGCACATACGGTGCCGCATCCGGAAGGACCTCGTATACGACGCCGAGATGGAGCGCGTGAGGCACTTTGGGCGGCGGTGGCGCGCGGTTTATATCCTGCGGAGGGACCTCCGGGTAAGTTGTCATCACTTCGAGCTTGTGGCCGTCGTCGTGCTTGTCGGAGCCACCTGAGCTGACCATTGGACCAATATGTGACATGCCACAGGACCAGACCCCGGGCGAGGAAGCTTCCTTCAACGTGCTTTACTGGCTGTTCGGGGGCGAATGGTATTTCCGACGAAACGATACTCCGTGGAAGCGGTTTCGGAACTGGCTGCCTGGCTAGATAGGACGGTTCTAACTCAGCCAAGCGGTACTTGGAAGGTTGCGAGGCAACCGTTATGCTTGCATGGCACTTGTTATTTAGCCATGGAAATGGTGGGAAAAGATCAGATCTTGAGCCGTCACCTCGGATTCACTCACTATCGTCTACATGATCTTTCGCTGGAAGTGTTTCTCACTGACTAAGATTGAGCATGTGTCGAACCCTGGGAGACCATGTGAGATGGCGGCACAGTCGTGACAATCGACAATAATCTTGTATTTCATATCATTCATTAGACATATCCTCATGAGCTGCAAACGCGAGAACCCTCCCTATCTACCATGTCCCCGTGCGTCCTTCTCATTAGGGGGCTCCATCAGATACAGCCGACTTCTATGCATCTCTCCAGGCCCGGCCTGATATCAGGGCGAGCAGAGTGTCCGGCCCCATGCCTTCAGATCCGGCGTCTTCGCGAGCGCCAGTGGAAGGTAGAAGCGGATGCTATGATAACATGCAGGAAACCCCAGCCTTGGAAACGAAAAAATAAGAGATCCGTTTGCCATGCCGCCATTCATTCCAGAACTCCAAATGACTCAGTCAGCTCATGCAAATTTATGAGTTGTTGCTTTTCTTCCTTCCCTAGACTCCGTGTGGCCGTGATCATAACGACCACCCATCTTCGCTCGGGGGCGTCTTCTCACTTCCTTCCAAGCGCGGTGACGGGCGGCTCACCTGCCGTATTCGAGAGCCACCACTTCTCTCGTCATCTGCCGCTTCATGTCGCCCAGTAGCTCGGTCCACTTCTCATCCTTCCACTAGGGGGCAGCGGATAGCGGCCCGTCGAGCATGAAGTCCAGCTTCGGCATCTCCAATCGTGGTGGAGGCTCCTCTAACAATTTCTTCTTTGGTGATGCAGGGGCCCCAGCGGCAGGCTTCTTGGGTGATGAGCTGCGTGATTCGGCAGGTGGGCCGAATCGTACATCTCTCACGTCCCAGCTATCATCCGCTGCCGCTGCAACCCAGTTGCGGAGAGCATCGTGCACAGCAGGATAAAATTTCTCCTTGCAGAGGCGCAGGCTACCTCCAAGGCAACGCTCCCAGCCCGAGATGCGGAACTGCTCACGTAGAGCATTTCTCTCGGCCTGTGTTGGCGTACACGCCAGAATGGCATTGATGATGTCCAAATGCGATGCTAGGTAATTCGTAGCATCCCATTCGACGCCACCGACATATGGGGCAGCTGGAACAGGAGGCCGCTCCTGTGGGAAATGACGAATCATGTAGGCGTACGGATCCGTGTTGGTTGCTGTGCTTGTCCCTTGTACGGTTCTGGTAGGCGCGGCTGCATCCGTTTGGTTGGCTGTGGTCCTGATGTCCTCGGACGACTTGTGCCCTGCTGGCAAGGCGACGACGTTGAGTTGATGAAGGAAGATCCAGAAGACTTCCTTCGTGACATTGACGACCTCTTTGTTCCATACGCGGTAGGGCCGCTCTCGCCTCATCCCGAGCACAAAATCAACTGGCCGTTCTTCCTCCTTGGCCTGTGGATCACGGAGGTAAGACAGAACAGTCTTGGCCCTTGTCACCCTCTCCTGAGGGGTGCCGCTTTGGATGTAGGTGAAAAGCACGGATGTAATGATGTTTCGTGTGGTGAATTCGCTGGGACCTTTCTTCTCCGGATCAAATACCATACCGATTAGAGCAGGGAAGAGGGTGTCTTGAATGGAGTGGAGATACTGCAAGGCCAAAGCGGTTGTGCACAGTGCCTTTAGGCAAAGCAGGTTCTCATGGAGTAAAGCGTCCTCATGTTCCTCCCTATAGCACAAATAAGTCAGCTGCAGAAACATAGTAGATTAGTGAGTAGACTCACCTCCACTCAACTGCCATGATCCGGTGAAGTAGACCGACGATTTCCTGCATACCACCTTGTTTCACGAAATCTTCGGTCCACGCGACCCGCTCGTTTCGGAGCAGCAGGCGCAGTTTGTGAAGCTTGCCAACCTCCACGGACTCTGGCTTCTGAACCTTGCGCAGATAGTTCACAAAATCAGAGGGTTGCTGGCCGGTGATCTTCGCAATGATTCCATTGCCAGCATACGAGCCGCCCGAAGAGGAAGGCCTTTCACTGATGGTACTGTCCGCCGACTTATTCCGGGTGTGTCCTCGGATCGAAGCGTCCTTCTTTTTGCCCTTGGACGGCGAGGTCCCAAGCTTCCAGCTGTTTCGTGAAAGCGTGAAGCTCCTCCCACGCGACTGCTTTTTATCATTGTCATGCACAGATGTATTGCCGGTAACCGAAGTAGAGTCGTCACTATCGTTGGTCTGTGGCCTGACCAGATTCTTCCCCTCATTCTCCGCCCAATCCTGCCTGATGAATTCCATCTTGATCGTATCGGTCAGACTTCGCATCTTGTGTCTCTGATTCTCTGGGATGTTCCGCCGGTCAAGCATAGCCTCCAGGTGCTTGTCAATTTCTTTGGGGTCGATATATGGCTCGCTCGCGTCCTGGGATGGCGGTGAGGGTGACTTCGACTTCCGTCCTCCTCTTGTTGTCAGGGCCGACAAGACTCTGTTGCGCGATTTGGAGCGTCCTTTCCGTGTCGAGTCGCGATTGCCATCATTGGGCTCATCGTGTCTCATCCGTCCACGGCTCTCCTTCTTGTCATCCATCTGGGCGGTATCGGGCTTAGAGAGGTACTGAGGCTGAAACGACTTAGGTCTCTGCTTCTGTCCAGGTGCCACGTTTGATTGGGATGGACGAAGTGAATGGTTGAGGTTCAGCAGACTAGTCGAGGTGAAGGGGTCGGCAGGCGACTCGTAGGGGGAGCTGGGGACCGAAACTGCTTGACCGAAGCCTCTGCTGCGCATCTGGGCGAAGATTGGAGTTTGGGGAGAGTCGGCTGCGCTCGGATCTGACGGCTTCCTGTTTTCCTTGTTCTTGACTTGTTGCTCCAAGTCCAACTTCAGGTTCTTGTTCGACCTTGGGCGAGACAGCAGGCCAACAATGTTAGTTGAAGACCGGGTCTTCTTGGGTGGCGAAGCGTCTCTGGTGCCTTTGTCCTTGGAGAACCTCGAAGAGAAAGTACCCAGTCCAGATTTGGTGGGAGATGCTGGGGGCTGCAGTCTGTCGTTCGAGTTGGTGTTTGTATCGGCGCCTTCTCGATTTGCCCTGGTTGGTGAGTGCCGCGGCTCAGGAGTTTCGGTGCCAACTGTGAGCTTCGGGAATGCCATGGCGGTTGGCTGATGGTCCTCGCCGCTACGACTTCCCTGGTGTCCCTGATTGCTCGCCAAAGGAGTATTTTTGGGTGAGGTGGAGAAGAGGTTGACGCCGTCCGAGTTGTTGCGCCTGTGGAGAAACGATCGCAGACCCCCAGTCGGTTTGTTTTGCTCGAACTGCTGTCGCCGTTCCGAGAAATTGTAGTCCCCTTTGTGGATAGCAGCCATGCTGTGTCAAGGCTGGATCTTGAGGAATGAGCAGGCTGAGATCAATTCATGTGAGGGTGACCCGGCTGCAGGATGTAAAGGAAATGGAGCGGTGATGTGATGCGATGCGATGCGGTACGATGCAGTCGATATGCCAACGGTAGCAATGCTGCGTGCAGATAGAACACTAATCTATGTGATGTATGATCATGCCATTGTTGTCGCGACAGCATCGAAAGAAGTCAAAGTCAATAAGCCAAAGCCCGGAGGCCAAAACACGCCGGGTAAGCAAGCTGTTGGTGACGGGTGCAGATGCTGGTGGTGTCGGTGTCGGTGTGGAGATTCACGACGCGCCGGAAGGATGCCAATTGATATTGAGAGGGAGAGAGCAGCAATCAATAGGATCAGTAGCGCCTCCGGATGGGGACGGTCAATTCATCAAGACGGGCAAGGGCGAAACTGGAGAGCTACCTAGGTAGGCAAGGCATCCACTCTGCACATCCGCGCTGCCCGTTTTCCACAATCCGCCCCAAATAAAAAACGCCCGTCGCCGTTGCCGCAGTGACGGGGGCGCACCCGCCTGGCCCGCTCCTCGAGCTTGTTGCTGCAACTGCAGCACGGAGGCATGGCTGATGCATGGGTGCAGCTGCGCTGTTATCCAATTCCTATCTCCAGCCACCGCAAGCTACCACTGTGGGCTGTTAGTGGATGCTACCCCACACCGTTCCTGTCAGCCGGGGGACTGCCCACTCCCACTCATTCTGACCGTTGCTCCACGGCCTGTGACTTCATCCTGCCGACCCCTCTTGAGCAGGAAACAATAGAGTTGGTTCGGACAAAGAAGCAGGCTGCTGGAGACGCGATGCCATCCCCAATCTAAGACAAGCCCTGCCAAATTTCCGAACTGATGACTATGATGTCGGACGCTGTTTCAGAAGCTTGCAGAGCCTCCCTGGGCCCTGGGTATCGCCGTTCTGTGACGCACTCTCAATTTAACGGGGCCTCGAGGCTAGGGCCTTGGGCTCCAGAGGTCGGCTGTGCCGTCGAGAGTCGACGCGGTTCCTGATCGTTGACGATCCTGAGTCAGCCTGTTCCCAGCCACCCGGTATCGACAACCCACACGCGACAGTCGAGAGTGCACCGTCACCGCCTGTGTCGTGTCGGCAGTCCACGCGCCGCCCTGCTCAAAAACCCCACGATGCCCACGATGCTGAGGTCCAGCTGAACTCCCAGTGGCTTTTTTCTAATGGGGTCGCGTCGTGTCATTCGTCATCCTTCGCGTGGCCCTCGCCCACAGCGTTCGCCCGTTTTTGAGGATCCTTCCACGCTTCCAAGGCTCGTCCTCTCGTGCAGTGCCCTGTGGGGTACACCCAACGAAGCTTGGCCATCGATAGAGTGGGACGACATGGGCCAACCGGTGGTGCCTGTTCGTCTCCAGGTTCTTCGTATGCTATTTCGGTCGGTCACCGCGGTTTTGGGTTTTCTCCCCTGCAGCCTGCCGACTTCAATGGTCTCCTAGTGCGCTCGCTACCTTGCTCCATGCGTGAGAGTTTACGTCCTCGGTACGGTACTTGTAAAAGTGAAGCCACGCAAAACGGTAGAACCCTAGACCCTTCAAACCCCTCAGAATGGATTCGTAGATTACACGGGAACATATCTTCTAATGATCGTCACACGCTCAAACTTGTCGAGTCACCAGACTTCCGTCCAGAGCCTATGCGGATATAATACTCAGTTGAATGTCCCTATGATACACCGGTCCAAGAGCCTAAATCAAGCTGGCCTCGCCAATCTTATGAGCCGCTACCACCCGCCTCAGGCTGTGAGCCACTGCCACCGTCCGCAGCGCCGCCATTCAAAGCAGAACTGCTACTCTTCTTCGTCGCCACTTGAACTTTGTCAGTAGATGATCTACGATTTCCAGAAGCAAGGATGATGACTAGAGGAGAGCGAAAATTTGAGATCGATCTCGAAGGTGGAACCCGTCACTTACTAGCTCTCTGCCACTCTGGTATCTTCACTGTGGAAGCTGAAATGCCGCTGCTGAACGGTGAGCTCCGCCCCGTGCTCGCCGCGTAATCCTGCACAGACGGTCCACTGCTCGGCTTGGGTGTTTCCTCAGCGCCAGCATTGCCATTGGTCGCACCGTTCGAGATTGACGTCGCTGGCGCTGGCGCGGGAGAGGAAACCGGGGTGGGTACCGATGGGCGGTTGAAAATGGGGTTTGTCGTTGCGGATGGCTGTTGGCTGGTCATCCGCTGGCTGATAATAGTCTTGAGACTCTTCAATTCTGAGTTGATCTCTTGGAGCCTGGTGTCGGTCAGGTTCTTCTGTGCATCTAGAGCTTTAGGCACGGAGTCCTTCAGGCCATGGACGTCGTCCCGGATGCGCTGGGCCTCATCTTCTCTCCTTCTGTTGGCAGACTTGAGGTCACTGATCACCGTCTCGAGTTCAAACAGCGCATTGTTCAGCTTCTCATTCCGTTGCTCTTCGGCGGCCTTCAGCTCTTCTGTGTCCTTGGAGAGCTGTTCCACAAGGCAGAAGGCCTTTTCAAACTGCTCGTCGATTGACTTCTTGTCGGACTCGAGGCGTTCTGGTGTCGGTGGTGCGACAAGAGGGTAGACGTAGCGCTGTCGAATTGTCAGTCCTGCGGTGTGTTGTTTCCACGATTGACCATCCGTACCTTGCCTAGGGCGTACAGTCCGTAGCCTACACCTCCGACCACCGTGGCCATGATGAACCAGTCCCTCCAGTCCCTCTTAGGCACCGCTGGGGGTGGCTGCTGCCATCCGTAAGGCGGATATCCCCCATAATATGCTGGCTGCTGCCCTGGTGCTACGCCGGGAGGAGGTGCGGCGTATGACGGGGCGGGTCCTTGCTCAGGTCCAGCGCGGGAGAGGGCGGCGTGTACTTCCTCCTCGGTCAGGTTCTTGGCCTTGAGAAAGGCCACGCGATTCTCGACTGGCGATGCCGCGACACTGGGGTCTTGAAGGACTGTCGCGAGGTGCTGCGTCAGCGATGGTAGGGGGCAATCTGTGCGGCTCGCCGTGAACACTTACACTGGGCCTGCGTGTCGTTAGCATGCTGGACTTGAGTGGCTGGAGAGCCCGGGACAAGTACTTACTGCGGAGGCCACAAGGTCCTCGCGAATCGTCATGATGGGCAGCCTACGCGGTCTGCTTCATGACTTTACAGCAACAAGAGAGGAAGAGGTGCCGACTTGAAGTCCGTTGCCGGATGGAGGGACTTGTGATCAGCCGTTGAACAGATTCCCGAAGCCGAGGTACATTGGAGCACGCTGCGGGCAGGCCAGCCCTTGGCATTAACTGACTGCTGCTAAGCGCAGGCGACAGGCGATAGGCGAGAACCAACCCCCAACTTCACATGCCCCCTCCCGGGCCCCTGCGGGCTGCTCTCAACCCCAACCCTCGCCCGCCTCCTCAAGTGGACTGCAGGTCTCTGCTGATTGGGCCACCGCCTTTTGTTTTTCTGGCGTCCTGGCAACACGCACCTTGAACTTGGGCCCCACGGCGCTGGAGAGCCACTGACCTTGGAATGTCTGGCGCATGTATCTGACCCTGCACGACTGATGTCGGGTTGGCTTTTCAGATTCCATCTTCGCGACTCCACGTCACAATTCAGTTTCGTATCAATTCCCCATCCTCATTCAGCAGCACGTTGCGACATCCGTCATGTCGCAAGACACAGGCCTGTGGAGTGTGCGCCGCCCGAGAGAGGTCAGTCTAGGTCCCTTCCAAATATTACCCTCTGTTACCCACTCGCGCCCGCCCGACTTTGTCCTCAACAACAACAACACACCCAACCAGTCCCTCGTTTTCCACCTCTTGCTACCCTGTATTGTCGCCACAACATACTGACCTCGATCTTGTCGCGCAGACTCTTGGCGGCATTAGCCACAACTCCGCCATTCCACACCCCACTTCCGCAATGAAGCGATCGCAATCCTCCTTCGGCGGCGCGCCGTACTCGTCGAGCCACTCTCGCTCTGTCTCGGGATCTAGGCAGTCCCTGGCATTGTCGAGGCCACCTCAGCCCATGTTCGCGCGCTCCTCGTCGGGTGGCAATCTGGCAGATCTCGGCGCATCCTCCGTCAAACGCATGTCGTTCCAGCCCCAAAGCACAAGCACTCTAAAGTCATACACGCCTTCAAACATACCGGGGCGCGCATCCAGCGGCGGCGAGCGGAGGAGCAGTGTCTACCGCGCAAGAACATCCAGCCACGCCCACATAGGGGGCCATCAGAGCTTCTTCCAACAGGCGCCACAGCCAGCCGGTGTACCACGCGACCCGCGGCCTCTGAGGGACCGGGCGTACCAGGCGAGGATAGGGCAGGAGTTGCTAGACTACCTTGCTCAGAACAACTTCGAGATGGAGATGAACTACTCGCTTTCGCCAAACGTTATGAAGTCTCCGACCCAGAAGGACTTTGTATACATGTTTCAATGGATGTACCACCGCATCGACCCGAGCTACAAGTTCCTGAAGAATATCGACCAAGAGGTGCCGCCGCTGCTGAAACAACTTCGTTATCCCTACGAAAGGAGTATCACGAAGAGTCAGATTGCTGCAGTGGGTGGGCAGAACTGGTACACTTTCCTGGGAATACTGCACTGGATGCTGCAGCTGGCGCAAATGTTAGAGGCATACTCATCCAATCGCTATGAGGAGGCATGCGCCGAGGCCGGGGTCGACGTGACTGGTGACCACATCATTTTCGACTTTCTAAGCAAGGCTTACAGGGATTGGCTCGACATGGACGATGACATTGGCGACGAAGAGGCCGAGAAAGTTCTGGCCCCGCATGTGCAGATGATGGCGGAGGCCTTCGAGGGATCGAATTCAAAGTACCAGCAGGAGCTACAAATGCTCGAATCCGAAAACCAAAGACTCCAGCGGGAGGTCGAAGAGTTGGAGAAAAACACGCCAGACCCGGCTTTGCTCGATGATCACCACCGGATCATGGAGGAGGACCGGATAAAGTTCGAGGAATACAACACTCTGGCTATGCAACGATCAGAGAAGTACGAGAGCCGGATACAAGTCCTACGAGAGGAGCTCGAGAAGATGATGCAGGAGCTGCACGAGGCTGAAGATGAGCGGAGAGGCCTGCAGAAAGTAGTCGACGACCAAGGTATAAGCATGGCGGATATCGACCGCATGACTTCGGAACGGGAGCGACTGCAAAAAGGTATCGAGTCAGCCAGTCAGCGCCTGGACGAGGTCAAGAAGAAGGTCTCAGAAAAAGAAGTCGAGGCTAGCAGGAAACTCGACGATCTCGAGCGCACGGTCGACCGATACAACACATTGGCTTACCAGATCGGTCTCATACCCGCCACCGCTGTCAATGCGAAAGGCAAGGACTACGAGCTGAAGGTCACAGTCAACGAAGGGCCGAATTTCACATCATCGCAGCTTAAGGGCTCGTTTGGCGATGCGTTTGAAAACGAACGACTCCTCGCCGACCCTCACACAGGCTACCAGCCTGCGCACATCCTCAACCTGGACCTCCGGGGTCAAGTTAAGAACGCCTTTCTCTCTCTGCGAAAGGAGATCTCGGAGCGCCGCAGCCATGCCATGGACACGATGATGAAGGACCATGAGTTGCTGGACAACATCAAGGAGGCCATGGAGGACAAGCGGAACGAGGTGGAGTCACTGGAGCACCGGGTGCGTGCGGCCGAGGAGGAGCACGAGAAGACCAAGGAGGTCACCAACACACAGCGCATGGCCTCGGACACCCAGATCGAGAAGATGGAGAAGGAGCTCGCCAAGATGCGGTCCAATCTGTCGGAGAGCGTCCAGCTGATGGAGCAGAGGGAGATGAACGTCAACATCGAGTAAGTAAAGTCGCCGCACAACCACTCTACACGGGCTTTTTGCTAACTTGATTTACAGGTACGAACAGCTTACCATTCGTGCGAATGCCCTGAGGGAGGAGCTACACACAGAAATCACCCGCATGCTCAACGATGTCATCAAATTCAAGATGCACGTCCAGAAGAGCATGGAAGACTACGAGGGCTTCGTCACGGAGGAGCTCGAGAAGGAGCTTGCGAGCGAGGGTATGCCCGAGGAGAAGGGCGACGATGAATAACGTGTTTGCTTAATGACCAGTGAGCTTGGTGTTTCTGGTGTTCATGCTTGGTTACGAGGTACTGCAGGCCGGGATGTTTATGTGAGGGACAGGAAGCATTGGCTGTTTACAGGATTAGGAGCACGACATGATGATACCAACCTCTGCGATAACTATCTGTTCGGATACCGCTCTAACATTGTCTTTCCACGATATAATGACGCTCACGAAAATCCTGGTGCATGTTGGGTCACCCATGCAGATGATTACACGACTACACCTGCAGTGATGACAGTTGTGTGTTTCGCACTTGGGCTCAGCCCTTGGGCGGAGGTGAGTTCTATGCAATGGTTGGATGTAAATTTGGCAGAAGACTGCCCCTAGGGCTGCCTTCAGCCAGTGAGTCTCAGACATATGATGGGACGTATTGGGCTATCATCCGTTTGTCATGCCCTGACGCGCAGGTTTTTTTTTTTTTTTTTTTTTGTTTTTTTTTTTTTTTTTGTGTCCAATAATTTTCATTCAAGTGTTGGAGGGGCTGTTCGGGATATGCCATAAGCAGAATCCCGTTTTGTCAACGCGCCTCCCGAGCAGATAATGATCCCCTGTTCCCAAACCTTCGGATGGGTCTTGCTAAGCTGACTCCGGAGGCTGGACGGAGACGTATGTCTACTCGTCAAAAAAAAAACTTTGCAGACATTTTCGGCAATACTTCAGCTGCAAAATGGAAAATTTGCGACAGCTGAGGCTAAAGAACACTGCAAAGGAGTGACCTTGGAGAATGATACATCCACCCTCGTGGGTCATTCTGTCTCGGTACTCTACCCCTTAGGATATGACTATGTACCAAATTCATATTGATGGTATCCGTGATCTGAATTGGTTGGATGTACCTAGAGTATGCGGCTATCCTCTAAGAACCTCGGATATCAGGCACTTCAGGGCATGTAGTATATTGCTATATCGATCTAGCTGACATATTCATCAATAGTGCTAATATAGTTTTTCAACCCAAGGTTTCGTAGTACAGGCTGGAGAAGGTTCGGCGCGATCTGTGCAAGCTTGGCATCAAGATAAGGCTTACAGAAGACGGTTGTCATCTCACCTGGTTCTTGCTAATTTGACCGCCTACCGGCCCGGCCAAGCACGAAATACCTCCGTTACCATTAGCAACTAATACTACACGCGTTTTTTGTATTGTGCGCCAAGATACTTCTAACAAGATGCAGGTGCCAACAGACCGAACTTTGCTTGTCGCTGCCATGTGTTGACGACCACGAAGCTTGACTGATCAGGGAAGATCCGGACTGACATCATATTTCAGCACCCCCCCCCCTTCCTCTGTTCTTGTACTCATATCTCCTCGATCTCTCATAGCATTCTCCCAAGCCTAAGCAGACTTTGTCTCATGAGTTTATTGCTTTATTTATACCAGTAGTGGCCATAGTATACTATTTGCCTATGTTCCCACTTCTAGTTCCATATCCGCTAACGACAGACCAATGCACCGTCAACATAGGTGATAAAGGACGACTAACGCTTGCACGAGTTTCAGTACTGGAAATACGTAGAATTTACCCAGACTGGTCCGACAGTTGACTCACAAATTTTGGATCCCTTATTCGCCAAACCACCACTCGATTAGACCTCTTTCCGCAATGCACAAAAGGCAAGACCTCCGCCCTTCTGAGCGTCTTTTCTCTGCCAGACTCCACAGTATTTTCTAGCGCGAAACTGAGCAAACCACAAGGTAAGACCTGCCCGTATCTGAACTTGAATCGTCTTTTCCTCATAGCTCCGCCCAGAATCTATCGTCACATCATCCCGTGAGGTCCTGCCACCATGGCATCTCATGCTACTTTACCCCTTGAGCTTCGCCTCGATATCTACGAGAGATGTCTCGCACATTGCTTTGATGCGCCTGGAATCTGCATGTTCCCTGGGATGTCATTTGACGAGAGTGACTTGATCCAGTCGCACCTCCTCCACCTCCTGCGCATCCTGCGCTGGCGTTTGTTTCGGGTGTCGTTTGGGTTTTCGCACCCGTTTTCGGATGGTATAGAGTACGTCCGAGAAGGAAAGGTCAAGCTACCAGTCCCTTCTGTCCTACAGGCTGAGTCGGGCGACGTTCGCTCTCATCTCCTGAAGTGGCTCGCCAAGCACAGGGGCATAAAACCGGGCAAGAGTGCACCAACTCTGAGATTTCGTGATCGAGCGTATATACCCGAGCACGACTTTCTTTACCTGGAAAGTCCCAGAAAGGTACAAGAGTTCTCTAAAATTCTTGACCCGAAAGACCCCAGCAGCATATGCGGCATCTTCGGGCCCAGAATCCGCCGAATCGCTCTGCCCGCGTCTATCCGCCACACGGAATCCCTGCCCCTCTTCCTCTTCCTCCAAAGGCTGGACACTCTCCCTGGTCTGAGAGAGTTGGCGTTCGCTTTCGTGGAGCTTGATCACGGAGAGCTCAAAATCATCGACTCAGTTCCCAAGACGGACCCCGCTGCCTACACCCTTGAGCGACTTGGCGACGGCGACATTCCGGACTACCGCAGGAAACTCAGCAGATCGATCGAGGGGCTCGAGACGTTCATTCGGCCCATGCTCGGGGGTCATTCGAGGAACCTCAAGATCACTGCATGCAAGATGATACCCCGATGTTAAGGTCAGAGGTGCGCCGTCAGGCCGTCAGGCTCACGATGGCATGCGCATTGCGAGCATTTTTGTCGCGCCAACACATGGAAGGAGCTTGGCTGGGGTGTCGTTACTTTTCTCTTGGACAAATAAGCACGAGCTTTTTTTTTTTTTCGTTCACGGAGATACCTTGTCTTCCTGCCGGTAGGGCATTGGCTGGTGGTGGATGTTTGGTGAGAACAGCTCGTCGGATCGATATTGGACACAGGGCTGACAGATCAGCTCGTATACTTGGCTGTTGATCTTCTCCTCCCCCCCCCCCCAAAGAAGGTTAACAAGCTAAGAAAAAGACGTCAGGCGATCAGATCACGTACCAACCAGGGGCAGCTCATCTTTACAAGGGTTGGTTTAAGCTGCACCATATCAACAGTAGGCACTCGGTCCGAAATACAAGCAGTAACACGTGTGCAACGATCTGTGCGAATTTGTGTAGGTGAACGTTAATCACTCAGGCAGAGAAAATAAATTGCCCTGGGCATCATCCACACGCGCAATTCTACGTATCATCTGTTATGGTTCACGATAAGTAGACACACACCTCTAGATCGCTCTGTGCGTCATTGCGCACAGCCTCGTTCTGAGACATCAGACGAAACTTTATATCAACCGTCAGTGCAGTAACAGCATGTAGACGGTCACGGGATATTCATCACGATACTCCTCGTTCATTATGTGTTTTACAAAACTGTGGTTCCCACAGATCGCGAGTAAGTACTGTATGTGCAAATACACCTTGAGCTTTCTGTAGCATCGGGATCCACGGACCGCGCTCTAGCACGGGAGCTTGTCATGTCCTGGGACACGGGCCTCGGCTTATTATGAAGCTGTGGTACCCCGCGTGATTACTCTTCCGCCCCCTTCCATTCCCCACCGTCATAACATGCCTCGATTCCGACGGTCACGAGGCGGTTGCGCAACGTGTAAGCGGAGGAAACGAAAGTGCGATGAGACCCGCCCGGCGTGCCTGGCATGCCGCGCTAAGGGAATAGAGTGCGATGGATACGGCATACGGCTGCGCTGGGGCAGCGACAACGTTGCCTCCCCGTCCCACCATGGCGACCGGACAAACTCGAAGCCCAACAGCGGGTCCGAATCGATGACCCTGGGCACACCGGAAAGCAACGCAGGCGAGAACAGCGGAAGCCCCCCAGCAGCACCCAGCGAGACTTCGCCTGTGTCACTTCCGCCACACCAGTTGAATGAGTCGCCGGCCTCTTTGAGCAGCCCTGCAGCGATAAACCAAGAGATCCAGCTTGCGTTCCAACGATGTCAGTCGTGCTCCCCAGCCAGACATTTTCAGGTGAGGCATCTGCTGACGTGGCCCAGTTCTCGACAAAGGCATTTACAACATCTATTCGACGACTATCCATGAATGGGTCAAACCCCTCATCGCAGAGGAAGCAAAACCGTCCACTGCCCTATTCGTAGTCTGCGCAAATTTACAGATATTCTTGGAAGATGGCCACTCATTAAGGTTTCATCAACAATTCGAGCATGCCCTGCGCGCATTCCAGGCAGAGCTCTCAGCGTGCAACGGTATTATTAAAGCCAGGACATTGGGAGCTGGTCTCCTCCTGTGCACTCTTTCAGTTGGTGCTCCCGTTTGCGTCATCACATCCGCCTCATATTGACTTTCCTATAGATCGTCCGAGGATTTCGATGGACATCCCATCTTCTGTGCACGGCTGACCTGTACAACCTGCATGGCGACCTCCAGAACGTAGGCTGCGATGCCGATCTATACACGCATCATTGCTTTGAGGTCATGGGTATTATGGATCTCCCTAGCGTCGTCCTAGGCAGGACAACAGCGCATCTCGGCTTCTGGCGCCGATTTCGCAAGGCACAGCGGCACTGGTTGAACTGCAAGGAAGACGGGGTCGAGCCCGTCTCGGGCCTACCGCGCATGTTAGTGGACATATTCGCCCGTATCGATGAGCCTGGATGCGAACTGGAGCTCTGGCTCTGGCCGGGAGATGTCGGAGAGTTCGTCCAGTCGCACCTCTGGGATTCCTGGCGTTTTGCTGGCATGTTGGATCACAGAAGGCGGTGGAGGGGAAAACTAGCAGATATGAAGGACCCTCCGCCTGGAGTCGTTCTGCCATCCACGGAACAGCTTGTCTTCCGCTTGATGAGCTGTCTCGAGGCCGTACACCTCGGCCTCGAACAACCAGAATATGGACATTCGCTCGTCGGTAATAGCACGCTCTACCCGTTCGTGATGGCCAGCTTGGAATTCGAGGTCCTTGCTGCTCACCCCCAGTGGCGGGTCGACCTCAGACGATTTCGGGACAAGATTTTAAGTTGGGACTCGAGCTTGAATGCGAAGATCCTCTTCGAAACACTGGAAGAAGCAGAGATGACCGGCGATGCCTCTTTTGACGCAGACGTAGCCATGAGAGCTCACGGGGCAGAAATCGCTCTCTTCTGATAGAAAGTAGTAAGCGATGCCATCGGCTCAGTCCTGTGGAAAACACCATCACTTCATAGCTTTGCCATGAGCCATAGTCTCACGCCTTGGTCCGACTCTATCAAAGGATCTATCAAGCGCACCTCAGTCACGACCTTGAAACCATGTTTCTCGTAGAACCCGACGTTCTTGCTGTCGGTGCACTCCAGATACACTGGATGACCCTTCGGGCAGAGACTCACAAGATGCTCTACCATTTGGGAGCCGAGTCTTCTCCTCTGATATGATGGGTCCACCGCAACAACCTCGATATACCACGCAGGCTTGCCTGCGATGTTCTGCACAATTGTTTTGCTTCCGAGGTGATTGGCCATCATCATTTCAACCCTCTGGTCACGTTGTCAGCTCGATACAACACTGGAAGAGCCATCATCTTGGGCACTACGGACCTTCATACTTCCACCGTCGTCATCCTCGGCTGGCCGGAGATAATCGAGGACTGCCAGGCGCAGTCGCAGCAATAAAGCTGCAAAGCGGCGCCACCAACTTTGGTTGAGAGGATGGAGGAAACCCACTGCCGGGAAACCTGCTTTTGACTTCGTTTGCTCGTCTCCTTCAGGCTCCAGATCCACAGCGACGTAGACCTCTTCCTGCTTCAGGACCCGCTCCACCCTTCTTTGTTGCCATGACATTGACCTGGGATTCAGCGCCCCCCACGGCGTTGCACCTGGGCGCAACCATCGTACGAGAGGATCGTCAGAGAAGCTATTCGAGATTCAGTCGCTGTATGGGCGGCGTGGTGATGGCAGAGACATCTTACGCTCTGCAGAGTGTTCTGGCGACTGCCGCCACGGTCTTACTGTCACCTGCGATTTGGTCGTCAGCCACTGCAACCTGATGTTTTGGTGGGCGACTACAATTTATCGAAGGCAGTGCGTTGCTCTTGAAGCACTAGAAAACTCACCTCCACTGAGCTTGGAGATTCTGAACCCGTTCATGACTAGCACTGGCGTGCCCTTCGTTGGGACAATCGAGTCTCATGGCATCAATCACTTTTATACCCTTGGTCTGCCAGAACCTTGTCACTGACAATCGAGCATGGCTGATACCTAGGAAGGTTTGCACCAGTCCCTATCCAGCCATCATACGCGCGGACGGCCATGCGCAATGCATCTAGCTCGGCCGGCGCGTACGATTTCTCTTTCGGGTGAAGCCCCATACCCCGTACCCCATACCCCACAGATTGCCAAACCAGAGTGCCGGGATGCCAGGAGATACCCGAGAGATCCCAAGATGCCCAACGGCATCATGGCACAAGCCGTCTCGAGGGCAAGGAGGACGCCTCTTATCACCGTATCACGCGCGCACACTCGAGTTCACACTTTACATGCCTAGAACGGCAAGGTCGCTACGCCCGGTTGGAGGCACGCATTATCTCTCCTCCAGGTTCATTCACACCAAGCTCAGCTCAAGACTGTCTGACAGCAGCTCGTAGATGGAGAGCTCGTGTATTTGAGTGAACGGGCCCCAGCTCAGCGTGAGAAGATATCATATGCCAGTCTTGAACCTGGAATAGACTTCCAGCCATACAGTCATCATATCTTTGAACATTTAGTTGCTCTTGCTATCGCCTGTCGTACGCTCCGTTTTACAGCCTGTGGTCTGGGACACACTGTCGTCTGGATCTATCGGAATTTAAGGCAATCAAATCGACATCATGTCGGCACATGACACTGGAGGGGATCGGGCACCTGGAGATGTTCTCTTGGTTCATCGTAAGACCTTTTCATGTCTGCCCCTGAGGAAAATGTCACGCGGAATTCGCTGAGAAACAAGCACAAGATAACGAGAATGAATCCGACACGTTCGTCCGCTTCCCTATTCCTTCCAGTGACCCCAACGACCCACTGGTGCGTAAATCAAATCCACCTATACCGCTTACCTGTAAAGGAGACCGTTGACATGGCGAGTCCCAGAACTGGAGTATCTGGCGCAAGGTTCTGAATTTTGCGCTCGTATTAGCGCAGACAGTGGCGGTGTTTACAGCGTGAGTTGCATTCTCTGCCGCATTCTCGTCAGTATCTGGCTCCAATCACACTCATTGATTCATCAACAGCTTGTCCGTGCAGACCCGTTTCTGGCAGCAGATGTCTCCCGAGATGGGCCTGAGCTTCGAACGGCTCAACAATGCCCAGTCGGCCAACTTTGGCCGGACTGGCCATGGGCTGTGTGTTCTTCATCCCAATCACGAAGAAGTATGGACGTCGCTCAACATATGTGTTGTCAACTGCGGCTATGGCCGCTGTGAGTTGGTGGTCGACATACATGAAGACCGACGCGGAGCTTTTCCTAACCAACCTATTTTATGGTCTGGCGGGAGCCACAAATGAGACTGTTGTGCAGATGACAGTGAGTCCTCCCCGCGTATTGGCCTGATTTCGAATATCCCATGAAGAGCAGCAAAGGATTTCTAACTGTTCACGTGCACTGTCTAGATCGCAGACGTTTTCTTTGTGCACCAACGAGGCACGGCTAATGCTTTCTACATCACTGGTGTCATGGTAGGCAGCTTCTTGACTCCCATGGCGGCAGGTATTCAGGCGAAATACACCGGTTGGCGAAGGTCATATCTTGCCCTCTCCATATCTCTTACGCTCCTGTTCGTTGTCTTTCTGTTCGCATACGAAGAGACGAAGTATGTCCCGGTTTTGCAAGGCGTCTCCGGAGACCGTCCTTCGGATGCAAGCCACAAGGACTTTGAGGACGAGAAGGACAAGGCCAAGGAAGATTTAGATACTGCCCTCCACCAGACAAGGAGCGACGCCAGGATTCCCGAGTCTATCCCACCAGCCACCTACCGCCAACGCCTCCGCTGGGTCACATACTCGTCCGAGTCGCTCTGGAAGATCGCATACTTCCCAGCCTACATCATCCCGCTCCCCCACGTCCTCTACAGCGCCATTCAGTACGCCGCGGGCATCGCCTGGCTCGTGATCATGGCCTCCACCATCCCCATCGTCTTCACCCAGCCGCCGTACAACTTCAACACGGACGGCATCGGCCTGATGAACCTTGGCCCCTTCGTCGGCAACCTGCTCGGCAGCTTCTACTCGGGCCTGCTGAGCGACCGCTCCGTGCGCTGGCTCGCGCGGCGCAACGGGGGGTACTACGAGCCCGAGATGCGGCTGTACCTGCTACTCCCGCCTGCGCTTTTCATGGCTGGGGGTATAATCATGTTTGGGACGACTGCAGACCGCGTAAGCGACCCTGTCTTTTCCCACTTTGCAACCTTCCACGACGAACAACCTCACTGACGGAACCCAACCCTTAGGGCATGCACTGGATCTTCCCTTCGATAGGCGGCGGCCTCTTCGCCTTCGGGCTCGGCGCCATCGGCGACGCTGCCCTGACCCTGGTCATCGACGCGTACCGACCGCTGACGGCGGAGGCGTTCGTCGGCATCGCCTTCGTGCGCAACGCCGTCAGCATTCCGATCCCCTTTGCCATCAACCCGTGGCTGCAGCACAGCGGCCTGTCGAACATGTTCATCACCGCCGGACTCATCTCGTTCGCTATCAGCATGTTTTTCGTGCCGCTGATCATCTGGGGCAAGAAGATCAGGAAGGCGGTGGCGCCTCGGTATTATGAGTTGTTGGAGAAGCAGGGTGGTTTGATGGCCGCGCAAGGGTAGGGTGATGTTGAAGTGTATTTGATGACGAAACCCAGCAGTGCAGTGGTGAGTTGAGCTGTGAAACACTGACTTGCAATATGCTTCGCCTTGCAAATTTGGATTGGAGGATGGTTGCGGGAAACTGGCCGGTTGAATGAGGTGAGGCCTATCTATTTTGGCCATTCAAATTGCTGCCCTCTATTTGCACCTCTGTATAGTGTATTTGATTTGTGACTGTGTCTATACTGTGTTGGCCACGAAGGACCTCTGCGCAAAGTATCTACAAAACAGTTCTGTTCCCTTCTCTCCAGAACCCACTGCGTAATGACAACAGAATTGGTTTGAGGCTCCTGCCGCAGTCCTCGATTGTCAGTATCAATCGGAGCGCTTGTCTTTTTCTTCAGCAAGCAGATCCCGCGCGTCCTCCAAAGACATGCCAGTGGTTTCAACGCGGTATGCGTCATTCACAACTTTTCCATCCCAAGTATTCACCACGCCAATAGCCACGGTGCTACTCATCCAGCTATACGGGCTGTTTGCAGGAGCGTTGTAGGTGAGGCGTGAGAAAGTATCACGCCTGTCTTGCGAGCCTCCCGAGTTTCCACCGCCAGAGGACGAGGCGCTGAGATCGAGATTGAAAAGCCCTTTTGATTCCACAAGGATGGGGGTTTCGTCATTTGCGAGAATGGTGTAACGAGATTCGAGAATATAAACTTTCTGGTTGCACATCGGGTCAGAGGGATCTCGGGTGGGAAAGTGGTTAGTGATCAGTGCGTGGAATACAACTTGCTGTTTCGCCCGAATCAACTCGGGTCGCCAAGTCCGCGCCACTGTTATCCAGCACTTTGCCGTTCACCCTCGGCCCTGTAACAACACCACGGGCCATATTGGCGGCGGATATGGTTTGGCCGGTGCCACGCTCAACCGGGTCGCCGCCCATATCTGCAATGAAACGGTATAGGTGCTCCAGGTGCGGGAGCAGTGCGGGAGGCAGCTCCGGGGTAAACGAATCGCCCGGAGAAGGAGGATGAGACATGATTGATCAGTGGCCCTGGAAACTGCCGTTACACTGTCCGAGCTTCTGGGGGAGCCGTGTCGGGGCTGTTATCTGTAGGCGTAGATCCAAGATGCGCCCCGCCCTGTTATCTGATTGTGTATCCGCGGCGCGTACAATTGCCGTAAATGGTTAACACGATTGAGTGTGGCATCAACGCCATGATCTTCAAGTCTTGGAAGTGCTAAGCTGGCATCAAATATTCTACAGCATCACGATACAGAGAGTGATCATCTCTAGGTGACTGGTTGAAAATCAACTGTTGAAGCCTGATTTCTACAATTATTTCAGTCCTGACCGAGGTGCTATTGTAGCTCATTTGCGAAGTCGAGGGCCGAAGGTCATCGACAACGAAACCGGATCCGTGTAATGCTATTGGTCAGACTACAACCACGGCAACACTAAGCCCTGTTCCCGACATGTTTCATCAACGATGGCATCGACCGAAGACGGAGGCGTCACCGAAATCAGTGAATGTGTACAATGTGGGATTAGCCCCAACGCAGGCTCGGTCCCCTTTTTTAATTCCAGCAACTTCGAGTGCGAGTCTGCGCAAGCTACTCAAGCTGTCCTTCGAGGATCCAATCGTGCTAATCTACTGTTTGAGCGTCCCATTCCTTTTCGCCGTTTCACCATCAGAGCCCATCGGCTAACGTTCATACTTCCAACTAATGTCCCAGTCCTGGCTTCCTGCACTCACACATTTAGGAGCACCCTGGATGCGGAAGTCAGCACAGCGCCTTGATCCGGGTTAGCCTCATCTGCTGAAAAGGAATCACCCAACTCACAATTGCATAGCACTCATGACGGCGCTCGAAGAAGCCAGGTATAGTGTTGCGGAACTTGGCGGCTTCTTCTATCTTCTGACATCTGGCAATGCCATCAAGAGCCCAGAGCTCGTGCCTGGGAATCGGGTTGCCATACTCTTTGGCCCAGTCCAGGCATGCTTGCAGGTTCTTGCGTGGGTATTCATCGCCCCCCCCCCCCCGGAGATCCGCCTTTCGAGCCCATCTATTATAAACTGCCACATTTTCTGATCGTGCTTAGAGCAGATCATTTCAAGAATAGGTGCGGCAAGTGCGATGGGCTCACCCTTGGATGAAGACCCATGCTTCGATTGAAATGACCCCATCTGGTTGTATTGATGGGTTCCGACCGCATAAAAGTAGATAGCAGTGACTAAAGCAAAGGCAGCTTTGAGTGCTTCGCAAAAGCTGCGGTTTTTGACGAAGTTCAGGAGCCGAGATCGAGTGAGAGGTTGGTCAAGATCAATGTGATGTTGCTGATGGCTGCCTGGCGGGACGTTGACCCGCATCTTGTTGGTACACGTAACGACCAAGGCTTTTGTGGGTAATTGGTCCTCGAAATTTACCTGTGTCAATTCAGTCAGTGGCCTTGAAATCTCTTGCCGACAATCGCTTTCCGTCCCTACATGCGCCTGCTGGTGTTGGCCTACAAGAGCTCGAGAGACCAGTGAGGGTTGGTGGCCAAGAGCTAACAACTCGATTGTGTCCTCAATATTCCTGCCGTGAGTTGAGAAGTCCTGTGTGATGATGTGAGCATCAAATAGCCGGGTTGGGGAGAATGTTGCAGTTATCGAATGCTGCCACTACAGAGTTGACCGCTTAAACCTGCCCGGTGCCCACTTGTAGGGCCGGCACTGCGGACTTTCCAATGTGTTCTACTTATATGGAAATCTGAAAGTGTGTATAAATGCAGCGCGCTACATGTCCTTACTCGGCAGGACAGCACCTAAGAACCACCTCCTGTTGATCACGTAGTCGATCGCTTCAGCCCACTTTGGGAACAAGCCGTCATCGAGGATGCTCACCATGCGTGCATAGTTCCTCACGGCCTTGTCCTCGTCTTCGGTCTTGACCGCCCATTTGTCGTCTGGCCCATAGACCATCCAATTCCCCTGTCCAAACCTCCTCCAAGGATCGGTACCATGTGCGAACCGAATGAAATCCGCCCCCAATTTCCGCGACAACTTCATCTCCTCATGCGTCATCTTGTCTTCCAGGGTTTGAAAAACAAAGACCAACTCAGCCGCATGGTGAGCCAGACCCTTGAACGAAGTCTCTAGTTGTGAGACCTGATCAAAATGGTATGCGTATGTCCTGTCCACTTTCGACGCATGTGCGTGCAAGTAGGTGTGCAGCCAGAACACACACTCAGTCGCCATGTTCTCGAAGCGCAGACCAAGTTCCTCGTGCGACAGGTCATCTGTTATGCCGTACCTCTGCAGCACATCCGCAGCATGCTTCTCTCCCAGGAATCCACTCAGGTGGCCCAGGATGGATGCGTAGTTTTGGTCGTGCAAGCTGCCACGAAACATGGCCGCCTCGTCTTTGACATCACCAATCATGTACCCCTGTAGCCACTCCGGCGGTGAGATTATGCCCCCGTCTTGCAACGAAGGCCGATACGAGTGGTACCACCCATCGTTACACGGGTTCCCCGTCGTCCCCATGGACCCCTCGATCTCGCATGTCGCCGCAGCAATCGCCTCCTGCGGCGCGTCCCGCAGCGCCGCCAGCGCCGCACTATCGGCCGCACCCTCGATCTTGAGGTGCCTCAACAAGCCCCGGAACCGCCTCTCGTGCTCCTCGAGCGACCAGACCGGGATCGTGTTGATAGTCCCCGACATGCTGATAGCGCGAGCGAATGGCGCAGGCTCGCGCGCCCAGACCTGATGAGCGACGCTCATACCGCCCGCGCTCTCGCCGAAGATCGTGACGTTGCCCGCGTCGCCGCCGACGCTGGATATGTAGCGGTGCACCCAATGCAGTGCCGTCTGCTGGTCGGTGAGGCCGAAGTTGCCGACGCCTGCGAGGCCGTCTGCCTTAAGGTCGTTGGCGATGGCCTCGGAAGCGAGGAAGCCGAAGAGCCCGACGCGGTAGTTGATAGTGACGCCGACGATGGGGGCGCCGATTGAGGACGAGTAGTCGACCAGCTTTACCATGTCATAACATGGGTTGGTGGAGGAGCCGAACAGGAGCGAGCCACCGTGGATCCAGACCATGACGGGGAGGTTCTTGGTCTTTGAGGCGTGCGGCAGGACAATGTTAAGGTTGAGGCAGTTCAGCTCATCTTCGATGTCCTCTTTGAAGTACGGAATGGGTGGCACAGGAACCAGTTCGCTGCCCCAGGTATATTGAGGAGGTTGCGGGCATATTGGTCTACTCTCGTCAGAACAGCCTGTCCCAAGCATCCAGAGTCTTGATTCTTACCCGTGCTGTGTTCCGTCATGAAAGCCATCTTGCAGAGACGTGTTCAGCGTAGCCCGAGTCCATCGTTTCGTGAGCTTGGCATAAGGTATGCCGCGGAACTGACGTGCTCCACTGGGATACACGAGACCCTTCACATCTCCAAAAGTAGGGATGTTGATTGTCTCTGTAGAAGTGGGCGTTGGGGGAGGCATGTTACGTTGAATTGATTGGTTTGAGCGTTGGGCAGAATGTGGGAATCTTTCAAAAGTGTCAAGTCAAATTGATACGAAGCCGGACCTTACACTCCCATCCTCATTTGCCCTGTTATCAAAGCAATATATAATGACACCTGCTCACAAAGCACCGGAGACTCCAAAGACCCCGATTTACTGACTTTGTGCCTGTTTCGGAAGGCGTATGCGCCGGCATGGAACTGCGGGGATACAAGTTCACCAGTACAAGCCGGCAAGAATGAGTAAGCAGTGATCCTTCCGCCATTCGGCCTGGTGCATAGAAATGTTGTCACCAAGGTCGGCGCATCGGTATTACTAAGTTTAGCGAAAGAAGCTTCCGTGCGTCTGTCCTAATGAGATGAATGATTCTTGTCAAAGTCATGTGTGATAAGGCTCTTCTGATTGCTGAAATGCTTGGCCAAAATCTTCGCTATCTTAATGGGGAGTGCGCAGACCTGGCCGATACAGTTGTCTGAACGCTTTCCAGACGCACAGGTTTCCAGACGCATATAATGGTGTCGATCAGTGTTCGTTCCAACCGCGTGGAGACAGGCCGGGATTTGCTATCAGCTTCACATCGGCTGTTGGCAAGTACGACCCTCGCACTTAGAAGGCTACTTTAGTTATCCCCTCTAGGGCACGTAGCCTTTTAAAACTTAGATAGAATAACATTAGTACATAATTGCTTTCCATATAACTATTATATATATAAAAGACTTATTAATATTAATTAGTAGTTATAGGTATTATAAATTAATAAGGTAAAAGAGGTAACCTTATAAGGATTTCCTTAACTTAAAAATTATATTCTCCTTATTAATAAGCATTATATAGCAATAACTACTTTTTTAAGCCTTTTTATATTATTAAATTCTTTAAGCAAATATTATAAAGATTAAATAAATTAAATAGCATTCCCTATAATATTTATATATATATTTATTGCTATTTAGGAAATATATATTTATTATGCATAAAATTTTATTAAAAATAAACTTATTTTTAACTTTTCTTTAAGACTTAATAAAACTTAATAAAGCCTTATTTTATTAATAAATAAAGCTTATAACTATTATAATTATTAAAGCTAACTTAATGCTATATTATAAGTAAGCGTAAGTTATATATTATGCTTTTAATTAATATAAAAGGATTTAATAATAAGAGAAAGCCTTAGCTTTTAAGGCTTAAAAAATTAATAACTTTTTCTTTTTAATAATTATAATTTATTTATTATTAAATTATTATTATTAATTTACTTTTAAATATTACTTATTTTATTAATATTTCTTTATTTTATTAATTTTACTTTTTATAATATTTATTATAAAAACTTATAAGTATAATTAATAATATTAAAAAGTTATTAGCTTTTATTAAAAGGTATATAGTTAATAAAATGCTTGCTTAAACTTTAATTAACTTAGCTTATTATAAATATATTAATTTAAAACTATAGTTTATAACTTTTATATAAAAAGCATTATTAAAATACTTAATTATTTACTTAATAAATACTTTAGCAAGCTATATATAATAAAACTTTTATAATAATAATCTTTTTATTGCTTATTATAAGAATTATATAATATAGATATAAGTAATATTTAAAGTATTATTAAATCTTTATTAATAATACTTAAAAGTCTTTCTTTAAATATAAAGTATTTATATAAAATATAATAATTAACTTATAGCATTATAATTAATTGCTATGGCTTAAGTTAAGGAAAGATTAAAATAAATTAATAATAAGCTTTATAATACTTTATTAGCTTTAAAATTAAATATAAATAAATATTATATATAACTTTAAAAATAGCAATTATAAGCATAGCCCTTATAAAAATCATAGGTAAGTTTTAAATAATAATAGTTATTAAAAGGATAATTTTTAAGATAACTTTTATTATTATTGCTGGCTTTAAGTATGTAATTATAGAATTTAAACTTAGTAATGTAATTTATTAAAAATTAATATAATTAATAAAGCTTATTATTATTAATAAAAAGATAGAAATAAAGCTTATATTAAAGATATATATTATATTTAGCATAATCTTAAATTATTTTAAGAATGCCTTTATTAAATAAAAAGTATAATTTATATAAAACTCTTTCTTTATAATATATTTTTAATAAATACTTAAATTTAATAAAGTTAATATAATTTATAAAAACCTTTAATAATTTTTATAAATATATTAAGAATTTATATAATTTATTAAATAATAAAATAAAGATATTTTTTAATATTTATTATTATATTAAAATTTAGCTAAGTTAATTTTATATAATTTTTTTTTAAATACTTAAAAATTAAGCTAAGGCTTATTATCTTTATTTTATAAATTAAATTAATATATTTATAATAATATATTTTAAAATTAAGATATATTTTAATATAAACTTTAATTATTAGCATTATTATATAAATTAAATAATAATAATATTTATAAAAATAAAAATATAAAACTTAAATAAAGATTTGCATAAAGTTTTATATTTAATGTTTAATAAGTTATAATTTTATTAATAAATATTAAATTAAGATTATATTAAAAAGGATAACTTAAAAATAATAATAATTAAAGCTTATAAAAAAGTGTTTAAGCTAAAAATAGCTTTTTTTAAATTAACTTAATTATATAAAGAGTTATTTTTAAACTTAAGATTTATAATAAAAATATAACTTAATTATATAATTATAATTTATATTATAAATAAAGTTTTAAATTAATATTATATTAATTATAAGTATAATGGCTAAAAGCTAAGGGAAGGATAATAATTATAATTTTAAGCATTTTAAGGAAATTAAAAATTTAATTAATTAAATTTAAGTTATTTAAGCTTTAAGTAGCTAAGATTTTATAGCATTAATTATAAAGCTTAAAGTAATAATGCTTATAAAAAAAGAAAAGAAAAATAACTTTAAAAGAAAAGATATTATATTTATAAAAAGAAGAAATATTAATTAATTAAATATTTAGCTAATAAGTAATGTTTAATAAGAAGAAGCTATTTAATATAATATAAATATAAAGGTTATAATGATAATTTTAATATTTTTTTAAGTAAGTTTAAGGAATGTAAAATAAATAATAAAGATAAATTTTATAAATATAAAGATAAATAAGATTAAGATAATAATTATAATAATAATGCTTATATTATAAAAGTAGAACTTAATAAGAAGGTTTATTATATAAATATTAATTTCTTAGTTAATAAAGTATTTATATATTAAATTATTAAAGATAATATTTTTTAAATAGAAATAATTATTATAGCTAGTTAATTGATTTTAAAGAATAAATATAATTAAATGTATTTTTAAGGAATCCTATTAAATATAAGAGCATTATTAATATTTATAGTTAAATATAAGTAATTCCTTGCATTATAATAAGAAAATTTAAAGTATTAAATTAATATAATTGCTATAGGAAAAGCTAAGGTTAAATTTAATAATAAAATAATTATTAATTTACTTAGCATAATAAAGATTTCTATTTTAATTAATTATATTAACTTTTATATTATTTAAGTATAAACTTTATTTTTACTTTACTTAATAAATATAAATAAGCTTTAAGTATATTATAATAATATTATAAATAAAATAGTTTCCTTTAATAATATAATTATTATATTAATACTTAAAAAATAAAGTTACTTATAGTTTTTTTTAAATTAAATTATTAATGCTATATATTTCCTTTTAAAAATAGAAATAAGGAGATTTTATTATTGCTTTAAGCATTTATTAATAAATTAATTATGCTAAATGCTTAAAAAAGCTAGTAATTTAAATATTAATAAATAAGCAATAATAAAGATTAAAAAAATATATTATTAACGTTAAGCATTAATAAACGACATACACTAGCAAGCAACATACTTTTCAGCACTAAGAGCATAATAACCTAAATTGCAGCACTATAATTAGAAAAAATTAATTAAATTTAATTAAAATTAAAATTTATAAATTATTTTATATCTTTTTTATAAGTTTGCATATTATACTTAGTTTTATTATAATTATTATATTATCTTTTTATTAATTTACCATAAATTAACTTCTTAGCATTACTATTTATTTTATTAGCTAATTACTTCCCCTTTTCCTTTTTATTAATTAACTTTTTAGCCTTTTATATAATAAATACTTTTTTATCTTATATATATATTTTTTTAACCTTTTAATACTTAAAAAGTATTATATTTATAACTTAAAGATTATTAATTTTTTAAGTTAAAAATATAATTATATAAGCTAATAATTATATATTCTTTATTAATTTATTAATAATAATTAAAATTAATATTAAGAAGCTTTTTTAATAATAAGAAATTTAATCTTTAATTAAAGTTAATTAAAAAATTGCTTATATTAAATTATATAATATTTAAAAGATTTAAAATATAAGTAATATTAAAAAGCTTAATATAGCTATTAATATTTAAATCTTAATATTTAACTTAAAAAGCATAGCTTTTTAATTAAATAATATAAGGCTTGCTTTTTTAAAACCTTTTTTAATAGTTTTTAACTTAAAAACCCTTTTATATATAGCATAAAAGGCAAGGAAGAACTTTATTTTATTAATATAGGTAATTTAGGCTTTGCTAAACTAATTAATTTTTGCATTATATACCTTTTTTAATAAATTAAAATACTTAATATTTAATAATTAAAGTAAATAAGATAAATAAAAAAATATATAAAGAATAATAATATTTTTAAATTTATAATATTATTTAAAATTTATAAAATAATAACTTTTATACTTATTAAGAATTAATAATTAATAAATACTTTTTATATATAATATAATATATTTTTTAAAGTATTAAATTTATTTTATAATAATTTTATTACTTATTTATTTATTTAAGCTTATTTTAATTACTTAATTATTTAAAAGGCTGCTCTTAATATATTAGCTTATAAAGTATATTTTAGCCTTAATAAT